TTTCTCTTCCTCTCTCACACCACTTCTAGGATGCGTGGAGATTTGGGACAGTTAAAAGAGACTATTGTTCACACAGCAAACGAGGGAATTCAGGGCTTCTCCAGACTTCCTTTGGGGCTGCATTTCTAGGTACAGGTCTGGGCTGTAAAGTTCCGGCTCTGAGCATTTTGTTCTTGTTTTGTCTAGGCGCTACCCCTGGGAAAAACCTACAAATGTCAAGTGGGTTTTCTGTGGATTTGACATTTGTTCTGATTCAGCTGTGAAACGTGGGTTTTCCTGGGGAAAGCGCCACCCCCAACCCCAAAGGACACACTTGGATACAGCGCTTTAAAGTGCAGCTCTCTGCCTGGAAAGCAAAGAGCAAAAGGAAGTCTGGATGATCCTTCATTCACACAGGATGCAGTGACAGCCACCAACCTAGATGGTTTTCAAAAGACAAATTCATGGAGGAGGAGAGGTCTGTTGATTCAGCCCAGACACTGAGGTCCAGCGCTGAGGGCCTTCTGGCGGTTTCCTCACTGTGAGAAGTGAGGTTACAGGGAACCAGGCAGAGGGCCTTCTTGGTGGTGGCACCCGCCTCCCGTCAGATGTCAAGGAGCTTCACAATATTCAAAAATGCCTGAAGGAGTGTCTCCACCCTCATAGTTCAGCCTGGACACTTGAGGTCCAGCTCCGAGGGCCTTCTGGCAGTTCCCTCCCTGCAAGAAGTGAGGTTACAGGGAACCAGGCAGAGGGCCTTCTCGGTAGTGGCACCGCCCTGTGGAACACCCTCCCACCAGATGTCAAGGCAATAAACAACTATTTTACTTTTAAAAGACAACTGAAGGCAGCCCTGTTTAGGGAAGTTTTCAATGTCTGATGCTGTATTGTTTTTAATATTCGGTTGGAAACTGCCCAGAGTGGCTGGGGAAATTTATTATTATTATTATTATTATTATTATTATTATTAGCCAGAACAGCTCTGCTCTACCTCCCCAGTTGGAGAAAGCAATGCTTCTGAATGCCAGTTTCTGGAAAGGGGGAGGGAGGGGGAGAGTTGCTCTTGGGTTCGAATCCTGCTTGCGGGTTTCCCCTGAACATTTTGTAGGTCACTGTGGGAACAGGGTGCTGGACTAGATGGGCGACCAGCCTGACCCAGCAGGCTCTTCTTAGGTTCCCAAGGCATGGGCCATCCATGCAAGCCTATCGCCCCCATGTCCCCATGCCCACCACCCCACGGATTCCATCTCTGACCTGCCTTGCGTTGAGCAGGGAGGTCTGTAAGGGGCTTTTATTTTGGGGTGTTCACAGGCCATATCCGAAGAGTGTAGAAAGAGCCTGTGTACCTGTGGACACAGACCTTGAAATAAACTGTTAATTAAAGAAGAGAGAGACTGATCAGCTGGAGCGTTTCAAGAGAGGGTGAGATAATTATTTATTATTATTATTATTATTATTTATACCCCGCCCATCTGGCTGGGCTTCCCCAGCCACTCTGGGCGGCTTCCAACATAATATTAAAATACAATAACCTATTAAACATTAAAAGCTTCCCTAAACAGCGCTGCCTTCAGATGTCTTCTAAAAGTATGGTAGTTGTTTTTTCCTTTGACATCTGGTGGGAGGGCGTTCCACAGGGCGGGTGCCACCACCGAGAAGGCCCTCTGCCTGGTTCCCTGTAACCTCATTTCTCGCAATGAGGGAACTGCCAGAAGGCCCTCGGCGCTGGACCTCAGTGTCCGGGCTGAACGATGGGGGTGGAGACGCTCCTTCAGGTATACAGGACCAAGGTCGTTTAGGGCTTTAAAGGTCAACACCAACACTTTGAATTGTGCTCGGAAACATACTGGGAGTCAGTATAGGTCTTTCAAGACCGGTGTTACGTGTTCTCGGCAGCCGCTCCCAGTCACCAGTCTGGCTGCCGCATTCTGGATTAGTCGTAGTTTCCGGGTCACCTTCAAAGGTAGCCCCACGTAGAACGCATTGCAGTAGTCCAAGCGAGAGATAGAGATAGAGACCTATTAGGACAGCAGTTTCCATATAACTGAAGTTCTGTCCTGCAGGACATGGGAAGGACTAGAACCACACATGGGGATGGCATGGAAGGAGAAGAAAGATAAACATGAGCAGGAAAAGCTTCCTAACTCACAAGCTGCTTTTCAGGGAACAGGTGACCGCAAGCAGGGGGTGGGAATGGCCTGGAGGTAGGCAGAAGCTGGACACACATTGGTCATGCATGTTGGAGTGGATGACATCCAGAGCACCTTAGAAGCACAGAATTATGGAGATGGAAGGACCCAATCTAGTCTAGCCCGGTGCAATGCAGGAATGACAGCGACCTCTCTGATTCCATTTCAGGATTCCCAAAAGGGGCAATAAGACTGGGTCTTCTCCACGTACAGAAACCCTTTCAGCACATAGAAACCTTGCATATTTCCCTGGGAAACTGACTCCCACCCCCCCTTCTTGAGAAGCTGTCTCAAGTGTGGCTGGCTCATGTCTCCCCTGCAAGCTTAGCAGCTGAGCCAGGATTTGAACACAGGCCTCGCCTGTGCACACTTGTCGTGGACATCGTGAGACAGTGAACCACGGAGCGTCCCATTCTGCCTGCTCTGAGGCTGGGTGGGCTTTTGCATCCCTGAAGGTTGCAATTCTGAGTCTTTGCTTCTAAGGAGCCCTGTCAAACAAAGGCTTCCTTTCACCCAGGCGATGGATGGGCTCGATCAGGATGGCTGAGGCCCATCTGACACCGCTGAACAAACAGCCCCAGGAAATTAGGGGGCCAATTTCGCTTCCTGCCTTTTGCTCCGAACATCTGGCAGTCAAGATGGGCGACAGGACCGAAAAGGCAGCATCTTCTGAGCCACTCACTCAATTTGGGGAACTTTCGGTGGGCGTTTTCAGCCCCACCACAGGAGCTTGAACCTCAGACATTAAGAAGGCAACTTTTCCCCCTGGCACAGGTATAAGCCGTGAAATTGCCATGTCCTGTCAGTGTCTGGAAAGCGAGGGATCAGGGCCAGAGGAGAGAATGTTGCAGCCCTGAAACCTTTCCCCCTGTTGAGTGCTGCACAACTTAGCTTCAAGGCAAAAGTCAGCCTCACACTGTTTACTCCCATTTCCCCGTCGCTCTCCTCATTGCAAAAAGCTCAATCTTTTGGGGAATCGCATTCGTTAGGGAAGAGCTCCAGATCCACTAACTGTGCAGCCTGGATAGGACAGAATCCCAATAGAAAGGGCACAGTCTGGACATGCCCTTTGCAGTAAGGGAAGTGACTGGGAAAGCGTCTAACCTCCCCAGAAGGAATGAATCCAACATCGTCTAAACTCCCTGCAAACAAATCTGTTAACAAGTCATCTGGGAGCACCCTAGATATTTGCACCGGACCAGGGATAGACCTGCGAAAATGCTAAAAAAAGGGGGGTGCAGAATACAGATGTGTGGGTTGTTGCTTTTTCGCAGGGACATCCTTCTCTATTGCTTAAAAACACCAACACAGCATGCAGCTCTGAAACTCCTTCAGTCCGGAGAGTTGGGAGATCTCACTGGGGAGCCTTTGGGGGGGCAGACAGTAGTTGCTGGCCACTGGCCCAAATACCAACCTATCCCAAGGGGCTACTGTGCCCTCACCACACACAGAGCGGTGGACCCAAGAGAAAGTGGAATAAGGAGTCAGCCAAGGGTGTGTAAAAGGTTGCAGAATTGTCTTTCCAGCATTCTGTATCCTCTGGTGATTTAGAGCATATACGGAGTGCTTTCCTTCGAGAAAAGCGCTTTTTAAAAACCCCATGAGGCATATTGCAAAGAAAAACTATTCCCCCCCCCCCCAATGCAGATAAGGAGATCCAGAATTTTTCTGACAGCTAGTGTAGTCATATAATTGTTAAACTGTTGGAACAGGTGTGGGAAAGCGCAGGTTCAATCCTCAATTTGTCACACAGGTGTGACCTTGGACCAGCTGGCCTTTTTTATGCTAACCTACCTCACAGGGTTGTTGTGAGTTAAAGATGGGGGGGGGGACGATGTATCTGCCACCCTGAGCTCCGTGGAAGAAAGGAGGGATTAGCTGGGATGTAACTGCAATAAATTGTAGCTGTAGGGTGACGCTGTGGTCTAAACCACAGAGCCTAGGGCTTACCGATCAGAAGGTCGGCAGTTCAAATCCCCGCGACGGGGTGAGCTCCGGTTGCTCGGTCCCTGTTCCTGCCAACCTAGCAGTTTGAAAGCACACCAGCAGAAGTAGATAAATAGGTACCACTGTAGTGGGAATGGAAACGGCATTTCCATGCACTCTCGCTTCCGTCACGGTGTCCCGTTGCACCAGAAGTTGTTTAGTCCTGCTGGCCACATGACCCAGAAAGCTGTCTGTGGACAAACGCCGGCTCCCTAGGCCTATAGAGCGAGATGAGCGCGCAACCCCAGAGTCGTCCGCGACTGGACCTAACGGTCAGGGGTACCTATACCTTTAACTGCAATAAATAAACAGAATGCTCAGAGTGGCTTTTTCCCAATGACATGGGACATTCTTGTTAAATAAGTTGCCACAAGGCAAGGCTACCTATGTGCATGTGCAGAAGGCAGGCTTCTTAAGGGTTCCATCTTTAAAATAAAACTCACAGAAAGAAGGAAAATAACATGAAACCACCTAACATCTTCCACAAGCCCTGGTTTTACTTTTTCCTTGGGTGAAGGGGAAAATTCTGGCCACCTGGCAGCCACATCTGGGTCAAAAGGACCCCCCAGCAGACCCCTCTGGGCGCAGAGACCTTGGGCCAACCCCACACTGAGCACATCTGCTTGCTTAGCGAGCTGCAGACCAGAATGCAACGTGGTTAATCGAGGCGACTTCAGAGGATGTTTTGCAAACACCGTTCATGCCCTGGCAAAAACCCACTTCTGAAACCTTCCAGCCCAGCCCTGTCCTGCCACAAACCACATGCCCAGATGTGTCCCGACCCCTGCCTCCTCCCCTTTGCCCAGTTCCCACCCGGGCCGACAGAGAAAGCGAATCTGCATCAAGAAGTGGGGAGTGCATTTATTCCGCTAACCAATTTTTCCTTCTTAAAAAAAAAGCAGGTTCCATCCGCCGGCTGGGAGCTGCCGTTGCTGTTTTTATCCGGACGGGACGATAGCGTTGCCGGTCGGAAGCTGGAGGGCTCTGCTGTTTTAGAGTCCCTTCTTTGCTCTGCCAGTCAAGAGTCAATAACTTACATAGGGGGTCGAGCCCTGGTCCCCCGGCGGGGAGGACGCGAGTGCTGTCTGGTCCCGAAACACGCCCCCTGAACCCCTCCATCACTCAAAGAAGAACATCCCAGGGGTCCTGTAGAGACAGTGGGGGAGCCCTAGCTGGTACCCGCTGCCCCCTTGGAGGGAGAAGGGCCCCCCGCCCCAGGCTTCCTGCTCTCCTTGAAGTGGCATGAAGGGGGCTGGCTGGCTGGGGGCCGAGGACCCAGTGGCCATGGTGGCTGTCAAAAGGTGCTCCAAGGCTGTGCTGCAGCCACCATGCTCGTTGACGCAGAAGTTCAGGGCCTGCAGGCGGCACTGGTAGTTCCCGCTCAGGGAATCGGCTCCCGAGTAGCCCAGGGAGCCGAAGACGGGCAAGACAGCAGGCTTGGCATAGGCCTGGCCTTCCAAAGGCGACGGCTGGCGGCTGCAGGCCTGGGCACCCTTGCTAGGGCCCAGGAAAGTTGGGGCCAGCTGCCCAAAAACCTTCCCATCCTGCCCGCTCTTGGGAGGCCCCAGAGGTGGTTTGGGGCTGCCCTGAAGGGGCTCCTTAGCCTCTGCAGGTGCCTGCGCCATCCTGTCGCCCGCTTGGCTAAGAGGGCTGGCTTGCATGCCCTCCAGGGCTGGCTCCTTCGCCTGGGAGCAGTCCAGCAGGGCTTGGTAGCAGGCCTGTCGGTCGTACGGGTGAAGTTTGGGCACCAGCTGCGGCGGAGCAAGGCACTGCTGCCCTGGTGGGTCACCGGGGCTTCGGCCTCCAACGACGGGCACCTCTAAGGGCAGTGTTTTCTCTTGGCAGGAACCCTGGAGCAGGCCCACAGCAGCTGACGAAGAACCGGAACCACTTTCTACTTTGATGGCTTTCTCCACGAACAGCGGGCATTTGGCCAGTGGCTTCCTGTGGCCCTCGGCGCCCCTCTTGCGGGTGAAGCGGCGTCTCCGCCGCAGGAAGCTGCCGTTCTCGAACATGTTGTGGCAGTCGGGGTCCAGGGTCCAGAAGTTGCCCTTGCCGGGCTTCTTGTCGTCCCGCGGCACCTTGACGAAGCACTCGTTGAGAGACAAGTTGTGGCGGATGCTGTTCTGCCAGCCCTGCTTGTTCTCCCGGTAGTAGCCGAAACGCGCCGTGATGTAGCGGTAGATGCCGTTGAGAGTGATCCTCTTCTCTGGGGTGCTCTGGATGGCCATGGTGATGAGGGCAATGTAGCTGTACGGTGGCTTGGTCCCTTCGGGGGCCAGCGGCGAACGGGACCCCTGGAATGGCTCTGGGGCTGCGTACCTGCCGAAGCCCACGGCCAGCTGGCTGCCTTCTCCTCCTCCTCCAGCCTCGCATAGGGGAGGCAGGCTGGACCGGGAAGCAGCAGCCGGATGGAGATATTCCAGCTGCATCTCTCTCTCCTCCAAGCAGCCGTGAGTCCTGGGGAGACTCCCGTCCTACTGACTTGGTTTGAAACTCTGCTGTGGTCCAGCCTCTCTCCCGCCTGGAAAAGCAGAGCCGAGCGGCTCCACCTCCTGCCCACAGGGACCCAGAGGAGGGGCCGAGAGCAGCTCCTGCTCCTTCGCAAGCCGGCCAGCCTCTGAGCAACATCGCCTCCGCGCAAGAGGAAATGCCACCTCAAAGCCTTTCCCAGACGCAGCTGGCGGGAGGCAAGCCCAGGATGGAGGTGGTGAAGGCAGCCTGGAAGCTGCAGCTAGGTCGTTTTGGGTTGTTTCAATAGTCAAAGGAGAGTTTATAAACTAGAAGGCAGCAGCCCAGGACCAGGCAGCAGGGCAAGATTGGCGCTACCCCATAAATGTTTGGTGTCAGCGACTACATCTGGGCCAGGACGGGTAATTGCTGCTCTTCCTTTCCCCTGACAACTAGAACTTTGTGGGCATCCTGTGAAGCTAAGTGCTGGAAGATTCAAGACAGATGAAAGGAAGGAATTATTCTCCACGCAGCACATAGTTAAACTATGGAAGTCCCCCCAAGAGGCAGAAATGGCCACCAACTTGGAAAGCAGATTAGACAAGCTATCGATAGCTAAAAGCCAAGGTGGTGATGCTCTGCCAGTGTGGTATAGTGGTTAAGAGCAGTGGACTCGTAATCTGGTGAACCAGGTTCGATTCCCTGCTCTTCCACATGCAGCTGCTGGGTGACCTTGGGCTAGTCACACTTCTCTGAAGTCTCTAAGCCTCACAGAGTGTTTGTTGTGGGGGAGGAAGGGAAAAGGAGAATGTTAGCCGCTTTGAGACTCCTTAGGGTAGTGATAAAGTGGGATATCAAATCCAAAACTCTTTTCTTCTGCCTGCAGTTGGGAGGCAGCAATGCTTCTGAAAACCAGTTTCTGGAAACTGCAGGAGGCGAGAGAGCTCTTGGGATTGATTCCTCCTATGTAGGTTTGCCTAGAAGTCCCACTGAGGTTAGCGGGTCTTACTCTCGACTGAGACCCTCCCTGCCTGCACACCTGTCTCACCAGAGTGGCGCATGCTCTGTTATCTCCCGCTTGGACTACTGCAATGCGCTCTACATGGGGCTACCTTTGAAGGTGAATCAGGAACTACAGTGGTGCCTCGCAAGACGAAATTAATCCGTTCCGCGAGTCTCTTCGTCTTGCGGGTTTTTCATCTTGCGAAGCACGGCTATTAGCGGCTTAGCGGCTATTAATGGCTTAGCGGCTTTAAGAAAAAAGAAACAAACTTGCAAGATGTTTCGTCTTGCGAAGCAAGCCCATAGGGAAATTCATCTTGCGGAACGACTCAAAAAACGGAAAACTCTTTCGTCTAGCGAGTTTTTCGTCTTGCGGGGCACCACTGTACAGCTAACCCAGAATGCGGCAGCTAGACTGGTGACTGGGAGCAGATGCCGAGACCATATAACACCGGTCCTGAAAGACACACATTGGCTCCCAGTACGTTTCCGAGCACAATTCAAAGAGTTGGTACTGACCTTGAAAGCCCTAAATGGCCTCATCCCACCCCCATCGTTCAGCTTGGACGCTGAGGTCCAGCTCCGAGGGCCTTTTGACAATTCCATCACTGCGTTGTTTTATATTCTGCTGGAAGCTGCTCAGAGTGGATGGGTCAACTCAGTCACACGAGTGGGGTACAAGTAATAAATCATCATCATTGGAGCCAACTCCTAGCAGTTGAGGTCCCTTTGCCCCCAATAAAATATTTGAGGGTGCTGAGCCCTGCCCCAGTTGATGGGCATTGCCATATAAATGGGTTGTGTGTGTCATGTCTTGTGATCAATTATGCGGGGTGAGGCTTACATGTTCCCCCCAAATATTTTATTCAAGTTGGCACCCCTGATAAGAAGTCTCTAGGATTGAAGCCTGAACAAACCTAGACAGCATCTTAAAAAGCAGAGACATCACCTTGCCAACAACAGTCCGTATAGTTAAAGCCATGGTTTTCCCAGTAGTGATGTACGGAAGCGAGAGCTGGACCATAAAGAAGGCTGATCGCCGAAGAATGGATGCTTTTGAATTCTGGTGCTGGAGGAGACTCTTGAGAGTCCCGTGGACTGCAAGTAGATCAAACCTCTCCATTCTGAAGGAAATCAGCCCTGAGTGCTCACTGGAAGGACAGATCCTGAAGCTGAGGCTCCAATTCTTTGGCCACCTCATGAGAAGAAAAGACCCTGAAGTTGGGAAAGATGGAGGGCACAAGGAGAAGGGGACGACAGAGGACGAGATGGTTGGACAGTGTTCTCGAAGCTACAAACATGAGTTTGACCAAACTGTGGGAGGCAGTGGAAGACAGGAGTGCCTGGCGTGCTCTGGTCCAGGGGGTCACGGAGAGTCGGACACGACTAAACGACTAAACAACAACAACAGGATTACAGCCTGAATCAACTGACTGCTTGCGGCCTTTTCAATGACACCCCAGAACCCACTGCCTCATAAGAACGTTAAGAGCCCAGCTGCTGGAACAGTCAGTGGCCATTTAACCCAGCATCCAGGCAAAGGTATTCAGGGGCATAGTGCCCAAAACAGTGAGGATACAAACCAGCCATCATGGCTAGCAGCAATGAGAGCTTTATCCTTGCTATTGCCTAATGCTAGGGCTGAGTGATGATTGACATGTTACCTTCACAGAGGGTCTTTGCTATCATTATGCAGAACATAACTGTCATGCTTTATAAATAAGTGACATTAATTGCACCAACATCATTTTAGGAGCATTTGAACAGCTTATTATTATTATTATTACAATTTTAAATACTTTAACATTACTATTATTTCCTCCTAAATAATTTTTAAAAATCAACATGAGACGCAGCCTTTCAAAAATACCCTTTTAAAGTACAGTGGTACCTCTGGTTACATACTTAATTCATTCCGGAGGTCCGTTCTTAACCTGAAACTGTTCTTAACCTGAAGCACCACTTTAGCTAATGGGGCCTCCCGCTGCCGCCGCACCACCGGAGCACAATTTCTGTTCTCATCCTGAAGCAAAATTCTTAACCTGAAGCACTATTTCTGGGTTAGCGGAGTCTGTAACCTGAAGCATATGTAACCCGAGGTACCACTGTACTGAACCCCCCAGCACAGCAAACATGCCCCCTAGTGGCCGCCTGCCTCATCGTCTTCTACCTTCTCTCATCTTTCGCTAGGTCTTTGCAGAACTATGAAGTTCGCCGAATCAAAGCGAGAAACATGCGCAGACCATGCAAACGTGCAAAGTACAAATTATTTCAATAACTGCGTACCATTTTTGTAGAAAGAACTCATGCTCATAGATAAAATGCAATTAAAACTTTATTGGCGAAGGCACAGTATAAGCAAAAATATAGAGGCTCAGTAGGTAGCTGGTTTCAAGAGTTCAGGATCCCTTTGAGATGGGAAGTTTAAGAAATCCGTATTATGAGCACTAGAAGTCCTGTAGCTTCACAGTCCTGGCTGAGTGCTTTTTCAGAGTCACAAGACATATCTTGGAACAAACCTCTTATTAAATCCACAGTGGGCAGGTTCCTCAAAGAAGAGTTTTCAACAGGTTCACATGCGTAAGTTTCAGCAGCTGACAATCCCTGAGAAGGCCTGGACCTTGCCCAAGCTGCTCATCTGCATTACAAATGCTTCTCTGCTCTCTCCTGCACATGAACCACCACTAGGAGAAAAGCCCCCAGTGATTTAAACTTCTTATTCCCTTGCTATCCTGCTTGTCTGACATGTACCATACGTGGAAGGGATATCCAGATGTTGCTTCTGAACCAGGGTTCAGCCCACTGGAAGGTTCCTGTGTATCACTTTGTTTTTAAACTAAATTGGGAATCTCTTGAGAACTCGAGGTAAGCACTCAGAATGAAAACAGCGGTGTCTTGTACAATGGGATCCTGCTTCCCCCTAGCGGCAAATGCAAGAAAAGATCTTCTCCAAAGTCTACTGCAGGGGTCAGCAAACTTTTTCAGCAGGGAGCCGGTCCACTGTCCATTAGACCTTGTGGGGGGCCGGACTATATTTTGGAAGGGGGGGGGGAAATGAACGAATTCCTATGCCCTGCAAATAACCCAGAGATGCATTTTAAATAAAAGCACACATTCTACTTATGTAAAAACGCCAGGCAGGCCCCACAAATAACCCAGAGATGCATTTTAAATAAAAGGATACATTCTACTCATGTAAAAACATGCTGGTTCCCGGACCGTCTGCGGGCCGGATTTAGAAGGCGATTGGGTCGGATCCGGCACCCAGGCCTTAGTTTGCCTACCCATGATCTACTGTTTGTTTACAATGACCCTTGACAATCTGGTGCAGTAGTAGTAGTAGTAGTAGTAGTAATAATAATAATAATAATAATAATAATAATAATAATAATTTTATTATTTATATGTCACGTGTCTGACTGGGTTGCTCCAGCCACTCTGCGTGGCTCCCAACAAAATATTATAAAACACAATAAAACATTGAAAACTTCCCTACAGTTGTTGTTGTGTACTACAACTCTTAGCAGTCGCAGCCCACTTTGGACTACAACTCCCATCATCCCTTGCCAGCATTGCTGTGTATCAAGCTGCTGTCAGAAGCTCCAAGAGCAGGCTGGGAAGTACTCATCTGTGGCTGCACAGGTCTGAATTTTCGCCGCATTACAACAACCCTGTCTCTGCCAGTCTCTCTTGCACAGGCCTGCAATCCTGGGGGGAGGAAATGTGTTTGCTCAGGACCTCAGCGAAGGTTAGCAGGGGGCTTGCAGAGATTTGTCCAGGGCGCTTCATCCTGATCTATTTGCAGAGAAGTTAAGACGACTTAAGCTATTTAAAGAAGATTCATTCTGTTATTTTGCGGGGGTGGGAGGTCACACAATGTTGCGTCAAGTGTGTCCTCCCACACTTTCCCAACTGCAAAAAGTCCAGCCTTTGGGGGAAGTGAGATTGTTGCACAACACATCCAAAGCAATTGCAATTGCGCAACCTGAATTTGACGGAATCCCCCGCAGAAATAGTGGCAGTCTGGAAGTGCCCCAGTCTCTAAAAAACTAGGGATGAAACAGGACTGACACACCAATTTCAGGTGTTCCTGCTGCCCATTCCCCTCTCCCATCCCAGAGTGCCCAGATACAGAAGACAACAAGGTTCATCTGCCTTTAATAGTCCTGGGCTGCAGCTGCTGAAATTCTCTCTTCTTGTTGTTTAGTTGTGTCTGACTCTTCGTGACCCCCTGGACCAGAGCACGCCAGGCACTCCTGTCTTCCACTGCCTACCGCATTTTGTTCAAACTCATGCCGGTAGCTTCGAGAACACTGTCCCACCATCTCGTCCTCTGTCCTCCCCTTCTCCTTGTGCCCTCCGTTTTTCCCAACATCAGGGTCTTTTCCAGGGAGTCTTCTCTTCTCCTGAGGTGGCCAAAGTATTGGAGCCTCAGCTTCACGATCTATCCTTCCAGTGAGTACTCAGGGCTGCTTTCCTTAAGAATGGAGAGGTTTGATCTTCTTTCAGTCCATGGGACTCTCAAGAGTCTCCTCCAGCACCAGAATTCAAAAGCATCAATTCTTTGGCAATCAGCCTTCTTTATGGTCCAGCTCTCACTTCCATACATCACTACTGGGAAAACCATAGCTTTAACTATATGGACCTTTGTTGGCAAGGTGATGTCTCTGCTTTTTAAGATGCTGTCTAGGTTTGTCATTGCTTTTCTCCCAAGAAGCAGGCGTCTTTTAATTTCGTGACTGCTGTCACCATCTGCAGTGATCAAGGAGCCCAAGAAATAAAATCTTTCACTGCCTCAAATTCTTCCCCTTCTATTTGCCAGGAGGTGATGGGACCAGTGGCCACGATCTTCATATTTTTGATGTTGAGCTTCAGACCATATTTTGCGCTCTCCTCTTTCACCCTCATTAAAAGGTTCTTTAATTCCTCCTCACTTTCTGCCATCTCTCTTCTACACAACTATAATTAAAGGCACGGTAGTCCAATTTTTGCCTTTCCTTCCCCCACCATCTCTAAAGTGATGTGCTAAACTTTCCTCTTCTACTCTTTAAGTAAGGAAGGACAGAGCAAATCACACACTTCAAAGCAAAGAAATAAATGCAAATAAATGCTCGCTGGATCGCTTGAAAGGCCGCTCCAAACCCAACCACACTGAGATTTGCTCATTGTATTTGAAGAGCCCAAAAGCACAGAGAGAGTGTGCCTTAGAGAAGGCTAGGGTTGGTCGACTGAATTTGCAAATCGCTTCCCAGGACAAGAAGTCCCGAGCCAATTTATGACAAGAATAAAAGGTAAAGGTACCCCTGCCCGTACGGGCCAGTCGCGTCCGACTCTAGGGTTGTGCGCCCATCTCACTTAAGAGGCCATGGGCCAGCGCTGTCCGGAGACACTTCCGGGTCACGTGGCCAGCGTGACGAAGCTGCTCTGGCGAGCCAGCACCAGCGCAGCACACGGAAACGCCGTTTACCTTCCCGCTATAAAGCGGTACCTATTTATCTACTTGCACTTAGGGGTGCTTTTGAACTGCTAGGTGGGCAGGAGCTGGGACCGAAAGACGGGAGCTCACCCCGCCGCGGGGATTCAAACCGCCGACCATACAATCGGCAAGTCCTAGGCACTGAGGTAAGAATAAAAGACTGCAATAAGAGTGCATAAAGACATTAAAAGCACACCCAGAGTAAAAATATCCAGTCGTTGGTGCTGCCTGAATGCTTGGGGGGAAACAAAGAGGACATTGGTTTGCATATTGAGACAGCTGAAGGCAGCCCTGTACAGGCCAATTTTTAATGGTGGATGTTTTATTGTGTTTTTAAGATTTTGTCGGGAGCAACCCAGTCAAGCATATAAATAACAAAAATATTATGATGGTAATTTTGTGGCTATAGCATGAAATGTAGAAATGACTGCTGTAATTTAAATAGAAATACAGTGCGTCTCACCATGATGGGGTATCGACTGCCCAGGTAACTTCTGTCTTGCCTGCTCGGGGTGCTGACAAGGTGGGCAAATTCAAGCCCCCCCTTAGGGTTCCTGACCTTTAAACCAGACTTGGACTGGGCGACCCTCAAACAGAGGACACCTCAAAACAGTGAACTGCCCTTCCAAACTGAGGATTTGCATCTGAGCTGTACCACTTCAGGCTCTATGTGCACAAGATGCTATGCACGGGAAAAAAATTCCAACCAAAAGTGTTGCAGTGTGAAAACTAAGCTAGAACCCTGTTATGTGTGCATTTCAGATGTGAGCTTGTGAAAAATAAACCCCTCTATTCAAACAAGCTTTTTAGTGCATGCCAGTCAGGCACTCTAAATAGCATAGCAGGGGCAGATCACCCAGGTGACTAAACCAGGACAGTCAGGAGAGGCACCAAGATTTCTCCTCTGCCGGATTCCTGCATCGCAGAGGGTTGGGCTAGATGACCTTCGGTGTGCCCCCCAACTCTCCAATTCTATGAACCCTGAGGCCCGCAAGTCCCTTGTCCTTCAGCCACCAAGCCAAGGATGCCACTTCCAGCAGATTCAAGGCGGGCACAGCTGTTTCAGGATCTGGATGATGTTCTTGGGAACGTCAGGAATGCCCGTGTGAGAGTCCTGCAGGAACCGAGGTCCCAGCTGCTGGGCATGGAGGCAGAGATCATGAGCAAACACCGGTTCAACCTGGGGGCGGGGGGTGAGAAATGGAAGGTCACAACTAGGCAGGAAGTGGGCTGTTTGGCCACAAACAGGAAGTGGGTCACTGGTATCGTGGGAGACACTTCCACAGCTGCTTTTTCTGCCCCCCAGCCTTGGTCGCATTTTGCAAGGGGGATGAGAGGAGGTGGCGGGCAGACCAGCAGCAGCGCTTGGCAGCATTTTCCTGGGTCCAGATTCCCACTTTTTGAGATATGGCAACCGCAGTTCATCATTTATTGTTGAATTGAACTAAACAGTTTTGATTGGATTTTGGAAGGAAGCTATGCTCACCACTATACCATTTTGAATAAATGTGCAATTAATTGTTACTGATCTGAATTTTATTGTCTTACTAGTTGGTCATGCAAACTGCTATTCTGAATAATGCTTTTTATTGGGCAAGGGGCTGCCGCCAACTGCGAGGGAGGAGGAAGAGGCAGTGGTGAGGTTGCCATGGGGCAAACATACCAGCGGGAGCGCTGGATTGGCTCCCTCAGAGTATTTGCACCACGCTGGCCTCACTGCCCCTCCTGGTGAGCAGAGGAGAAACTGTGAATGGGAGGTCAGGCAAATTCCACTGCCCCGCCACCACCTCGAGATATTTAGTCCCTGCCCTTCCACCAATCCATCTCCTTTCCCCAGTCCCCAAACCAATGCTATCTTGGGTACAGGAAGTGAGACAGGCCACTGTCCTCATCCTGACATCCATCTTCTAGTTTCACGACCAGGACGTTTTTGACTGGGCGATATCGGGTTTTCAACACTGCGATATATCACCAGCTGAAGATCGTGAAATACAGTGGTACCTCGGGTTAAGAACTTAATTTGTTCTTGAGGTCTGTTCTTAACCTGAAACTGTTCTTAACCTGAGGTACCACTTTAGCTAATGGGGTCTCCGCTGCCGCCACGCCACTGCAGCATGATTTCTGTTCTCATCCTGAAGCAAAGTTCTTAACCCGAGGTACTGTTTCTGGGTTAGTGGAGTCTGTAACCTGAAGCGTCTGTAACCCGAGGTACCACTGTACCGATTATCGCAGAGTCTGAAACAAGGGGGCAGCCAGGTAGAGGCACCGGCCGGTTTCACGGTTTTACCTGCATTGTGATTTTGGCACACCCTCCCAACTCATGATTCGTGATATAAAGGTAAAAAGGTAAAGGGACCCCTGACCATTAGGTCCAGTCGTGGCCGACTCTGGGGTTGCGGCGCTCATCTCGCTTTATTGGCTGAGGGAGCCAGTGTACAGCTTCCGGGTCATGTGGCCAGCAGGACTAAGCTGCTTCTTGCGAACCATAGCAGCACACGGAAACGCCGTTTACCTTCCCGCTGGAGCGGTACCTATTTATCTACTTGCACTTTGACGTGCTTTCGAACTGCTAGGTTGGCAGGAGCAGGGACCGAGCAACGGGAGCTCACCCCATCGCAGGGATTCGAACTGCCGACCTTCTGATCGGCAAGTCCTAGGCTCTGTGGTTTAACCCACAGCACCACCCGCGTCCCTGATTGTGATATACTGCCACATTATGAAACCGGTATCACAATATGGACTTCAAACTGGTTTTGGACAATATATCACCCAACCCGAACACACACACCATGATTTGCCAATATATGGCCAGGTCAAAAATTATGAAACCAGTATCACGATATGGGCGATGCATCAATATATCACCCATCCCTATTTGACACCCACCACTCCCTTGGTCCGAATCCTGAGTTCGCCACTCTGCGGCTGCTGGCCAATACCTACCTGTGCCATGATGAGCTTGTGGGGTTTCTGGTCGGGAGCTGTAGGGTATTCCTCCCCAAAGCAGAAGCAGATCTGATATTGTGGCGGCGCATGTCCATGGATCAGGAAGCCCCGTAATTCTGAATGGCACACAAAAGATCGCAGTTAGGACCCGAGGCTCTCTCTTTATTTTAAAAAAAGAAAGTCATTTTTATTTGATTTTACAGATATAAATTTATAACAATGCCAAATACATATCCATATAAAGAGATTTCTCTGAATCTTGAGACTTCCCCCCATCCCCTCCATCATAGCTGTCAACGTTTCCCTTTTTTTAAAGGGAAATTCCCTTATTCCGAATAGGATTCCTCGCAAGAAAAGGGAAAAGTTGACAACTATGCCGCCCATGGGTCCTATCGTCCACATTTTCAACTGCATATTATATCATAATCTGTATTTTAAAACTATCCATATTGTCCATGGTACTTGTTACATTACAAGTGAGGTTAAAATCCTGCTAATGTTTTCATGTGGTTACAGCGGTCGTTGTTGCATACATAAAAAGTATTTTCATTTCCTTTGGGATGTCGGTACCAACAATTCCTAATAAGAAGGCTTCTGGTTTTTTAAAGAAAAGTTATTTTAAACGTTTTTTTCCAGTTCATTATATATATCATTTCCCCAAAAAGCCTTCAGTACTTTACACGACCTCTTCTTTTTCCTTACATTTCCAGTAGGTTTTTGTACTTGTTTGATACATTTTTGCTAGCTTACTAGGAGTCAAATACCACCGGCACATCACTTTCATACAATTCTCTTTTAGTGTACATGCCGTTTCAGATTCAATTTCTATAACCTTTCCCAATCTGCCATCTGAGTGTAATGCCCCAAATAGTTTGCCCAGTGTATCATTACAGATTTAACCTGTTCGTCTTTTGCATGCCAGGACCCAAGGCTCTCTGAACCGGCCATTTGCAGGCCAAGGTCCCGATTCCCTCACAGGCAAGTCTTACTAGGGGTGGGTTCATGATGTTTGGGTCATTCCTTCAGAGAAGCTGATTACAGCTGGCGTTAACTGGTTTTGTTATCTCTTCTGCCAAGGTCATGCTAACTATAAGAGACCAGAAGGTTTCACTTTCTCTTTCGATCTCTTTTCCTTCTGGTGTGCTGTTCTGTGTAAGTTTTAGTCTTATTATAAGTTATTGTAAATTTAAGTTAAGTCTGCTGCAACTGGATTTTGTATGGACAGGGCCAGTCCTGAATGTACTGGAATTGTGACCATTATGTTCATTTGCTACTGAAGATAAATAAAGTTTTATTTATCTTCAGTAGCAGTAAAGCTCTGCTGGATGAAATATTAACCGCCTCTGGTCTATTTTTTGGGGAATCCTGCAACATGTTTAAGTTTTTACTTTGCTAACTATATGTTTTTGGAGATCTGCTCTGGATCAATATTGAGTAGAATTCCAATGACAGTCCGGAGGGTGGCAACACGAGAACGGGGCCTTCTCTGAGGTGGCTCCCCGTTTGTGAGATGCTCTCCCCAGGAAGGCTCGCCTGGCTCCTTCATTATACACCTTTAGGCGCCAGGAAAAAACATTCCTCTTTAACCAGGCCTTGGGCTGATTATCATCCAATGCCCTTTTAAAATGTGTGTGTGGGAGGGGGAGTTATTGAGTTACTTCTGTTTTTATTTTGTGCGTTTGGCGTTTTTATATTGTGGTTTTCTCTTGCGAACCACCCCAAGACCTGCAGGGAAATAATAATAATAATAATAATAATAATAATAATAATAATAATAATATTTATACCCTGCCCTCCCCAGCCAAGACTGGGCTCAGGGTGGCTAACAACCGATATAAAAACAAATTGATTAAAATGCAAGTTAAAAAACAAGATTAAAATACAACATTCAAACATTAAAATGCAGCCTCATTTCAATGGAAACTCAAATCAAAAACTTTTTGGGGGATGAAAACGTCAAGTCTTCACCAAGGCCAACTATCCAGACTGGTCCTACACGGGCCAGAAAAAAGCCAGGGAGGTCCCCAAATAGGAGTTCCATCACAGGTAAAGGTAAAGGGACCCCTGACCATTAGGTCCAATCATGGCCGAATCTGGGGTTGCGGCGCTCATCTCGCTTTACCGGCCGAGGGAGCCGGCGTACAGCTTCCGGGTCATGTGACCAGCATGACTAAGCCGCTTCTGGCGAACCAGAGCAGCGCACGGAAACGCCGTTTACCTTCCCGCCGGAGTGGTACCTCTTTATCTACTTGCACTTGACGTGCTTTCGAACTGCTAGGTGGGCAGGAGCAGGGACCGAGCAACGGGAGCTCACCGTCCCGGGGATTCAAACCACCGACCTTCTGATTGGCAAGTCCGAGGCTCTGTGGTTTAACCCACAGCACCACCCGCATCCCTCCATCACAGGAGGAGAAAGGAAAAAATAAATTTAATAAACGATAATAATACTCACGCTGCAGGAACTGCTGGGTGTCTAGGAGCTTGTAGGTTTTCTCCCTCTCCAGTTTGTTGGGCTGGTTTTCGTGGGGGGCCAGTGGCCCTTTCCAGTACACCCTGCCCTGGCACTGCCGTTTCATGAAGACCCCTTCAGGGGCCACCCAGAGCAGGATTCCCCGGTGCAGGTGGGGAAGAAGCCTCTCCAAGGGCCCGGTTAATCCGCCGCACTGGCTGCTCCCGGCCAAGGCATCCAGAGACGGGAAGAGCACCTGCTCCAGGCCGCTCGAACCATAAAGGCACACGTTGTCCGCCGGAACTGGGCGATAGGTGATCCGGCAGCCCTCCGCCGTTTTGGTGGTGACCTCCTTTACCAACGTGTCGCAGTAGTAGAGGCGGACGCGGAGCCAGCAGTCTGGGGGGCAAAAGGAGGCAGAGGTGAGGATCTGGACGCAGTTAAAAGTCTCCATGCTCTGGGAACTTCCAGACTGGACTACTGCAATGCGCTCTACATGGGGCAGCCCTTGAAGACAACTTGAAAACGTCAGCTGGGCCAAAATGCAGCAGCCAGATTACTGGCTGGAGATCCGTCTAGATCTCACGTAAACCCGGTTTTAAAAAGAGCCAATTAAGGAAAAACCCTCTCTAAAATGTATAGACTCCTCCTTGACTAGGAAGTCCAGGAGGAGGTAAAATCAGTACAGTCATACCTCGGGTTACAGACGCTTCAGGTTGCGTTTTTTCCTATTTTTAAAAGACATCTGAAGGCAGCCCTGTTTAGGGAAGTTTTTAATATGTAATGCTGCTCAGTGGTACCTCGGGTTAAGAACTTAATTCGTTCCGGAGGTCCGTTCTTAAACTGAAACTTTTCTTAACCTGAGGTACCACTTAACAAATGGGGCCTCCTGTTGCCACCGCACTGTCACCGTGTGATTTCTGTTCTGATCCTGAAGCAAAGTTCTTAACCCAAGGTACTATTTCTGGGTTAGCGGAGTCTGTAACCTGAAGCGTCTGTAACCCGAGGTACCACTGTATTTAATGATGTATTGTTTTTAACACTCGACTGTGAGCCGCCAAGAGTGGCTGGGGAAACTCAGCCAGATGGGTGGGGTATAAAAAAAAATGTTGTTGTTGTTATGTCAGCAAATCAGGACGACTGCTCAAGGAAAAGGTTGTTTGGAGAAGCCCCAAAAAACCAACGCAGAGAAAGTTTGGAACTGGCTGAAACTGTTGTTCTTTGGGAAACTGGTGGCTGCTCTTAGAAGCCAGGTTTCTTCCAAAAGACTGTGTTTGCAAATAAAGCAAAAGCGACCAAGGTAACCTTAAAAGTGCAATCCTAACCCGCTTACAAGGGGCTGAATTCTGTAGGAGCTGCGTCAGAGTATCACATGGTTTGAGCTGAACCGGGAGTTTCCACAAAGCCAAGCCCTGCAATTCTGCTCCTGAACTTAGTGCAGCTTGGGGAGAAGGGAGTCAGGGCAAAGTGACATTAAACAATGACTGAACACAGACCGGAATCAAGAAAGACCATGCATCAACTGATGTAAACAAGATTAATCACAAAAGGGGTCATGAAACAGCTGGTGAGCGAGGTTCAATTCTGCACCGGCTGCGTGTCCCTGCTCCCAGAAAACACAGCAGAATTTAACCCCCACCTGACAGCAGACAAGCAGAGGGTTAAATCTTGCCCAGTTTGCAAAGAGCAGGCTTTGTAAGGGAACCTGAGGGTCATCTAAGGAGCGTCTCCACCCCCATCGTTCTGCCCAGACGCTGAGGTCCAGCGCCGAGGGCCTTCTGGCGGTTCCCTCATTGCGAGAAGTAAAGCTACAGGGAACCAGGCAGAGGGCCTTCTTGGTGGTGGCGCCCGCCCTGTGGAACACCCTCCCATCAGATGTCAAAGCGATAAACAACTACCTGACATTCAGAAGACATCTTAAGGCAGCCCTGTTCAGGGAAGTTTTTAATCTGTGACATTTTAGTGTATTTTTGGTCTCTGTGGAAGCCGCCCAGAGTGGCTGGGGAAACCCAGCCAGATGGGCGGGGTACAAATAATAAATTATGATGATGATGATGATGATGATGATGATGTCCAGCCCTCTGGCATTGGTGGACTACGCAGTTGTCCCACACGGGGAACGAACTCGCGACCTTGGCATGATCAGCAACCATGCTCCAACCAACCAAGCTATCCAATTAAAATGTCACTGTGTCTTTTTTATCATATGTGGTGGACCTGCCCCAAGGTGAAAGACTTCTGGGAGAAGATTTATAATGAATTTTAGAAAATGTTGAACTCTACATTTATTAAGAAACCAGAGGCCTTTCTTCCTGGAATAACAGGTTTGGAATTGCCCAAGAAAGATGTTAGACTGTTTTTGTATGCTACAACTGCAGCTAAGAATTGGAAAACACAAGAAGTCCCAACAGTGGAGGAATGGCAGATGAAGATGATGGACTTTTCGGAGCTAGCCGACCTGACTGGAAGAGCCCGTGATCAGAAGGAGGAGGAGTACCAGGAGGAATGGAGGAAATTCAAAGACTATTTAGTTAAATATGTTAAGATAACTTAATGGGAAAAACTTGCAAATACCAGATAGGCTTAGGATTTAAATATGTATTGTTAGAGAATAACATGTTTAAAGTTAAAATGAAAAGAAAGAAAGATGTTAAGTGATTAAGTTAATTTTATGAGAAAAATGGTTTTGGAAAACTGTTACAATGATATATACTGAAATTCAGCCGGGGGATTTGAGGAAGCCACTTAACAATGTTACTAAGATTGGATTAAGTACAAATAAGATGTATGTTTGTTTAAAATTTTTGGAAAACCAATAAAAAAAAATGGGGGGGGGGGAAATGTCACTGTGTCTTATTTCTGCATTGCAGAGGGTTGGACTAGAAGACCTTTTGGGTCCCTTCCAACGCTACAATTCTATGATGCAATGGAGGCGGTGAAGGATAATAGAAATCGCAGAATGGCAGCGTTGGAAAGGCCCTTAAATTCATGTCCTAAAAGAGAGGAAGCTGAAAAGGGGAATTGCAGAACGGAAAAGGAATGGCTCCTGCCAATTAATCACAACTTCCTTAGATGTGGGAGAGAAACCCGTTTCAGTGCAAAGCCTGCTTTTAATTTCATCTTTCTCTAGGCTTGGCATAAGACTGAATTTATTATTTCGGTCACAGACCAGTTCCAGCCCACATACAATATCAAAGAAGTCATAAAACACGATAGGGACACATTTGAATTTGCAATTAGGTATAACAGGGACACTACAGATATAGCAACAGTTAAAAATATATATAAATTAAAACGTAGCTTGGCATAAGATGTATTTTTATTATTACTGGCCCTTCAACCTAAGTTCTCCCCTTCTCCCTGCTTTGTGTAGACAGGTGACTGGGAGCGGCCGCTGAGACCACGTAACACCAGTCCTGAAAGACCTACATTGGCTCCCAGTACATTTCTGAACACAATTCAAAGCGTTGGTGCTGACCTTTAAAGCCCTAAACGGCCTCAGTCCAGTATACCTGAAGGATCGTCTCCACCCCCATTGTTCTGCCCGGACACTGAGGTCCAGCTCCGAGGGCCTTCTGGTGGTTCCCTCCCTGCAAGAAGCCAAGTTACAGGGAACCAGACAGAGGGCCTTCTCGGTAGTGGCCCCTGCCCTGTGGAACGCCCTCCCACCAGATGTCAAAGAGAACAACAACTACCAGACTTTTAAAAGACATCTGAAGGCAGCCCTGTTTAGGGAAGCTTTGAATGTTTAAAAGGTTATTGTATTTTACTATTCTGTTGGAAGCCGCCCAGAGTGGCTGGGGAAACCCAGTCAGATGGGTGGGGCATAAATAAATTGTTGTTGTTATTTCTGGCCTGCAGAGGGTGAAATCTGGGTTCATCATGTTCTAGCCCAGTTACAGATTTTGGCATTCCTGCGCAGAGCAGCGTGGCCAACCTTTGCTCTCTTTCATTTTCTTCTTGCTTTCTGCACTGAATTGAGCTCTGGGTTTCGCACAATGCAATGGGATTTTCTGCCTCTTGAAAAGCGTGTCGGGGGAAACAAAAGATTTTAAAAGCCTCCAACTGCCCCTGGCCATGGAGGTTTCATTTCCCTGCACTGGCTAACAGCCACGGACACAGCCCTTCTCTGCTCCCGGTGTGGAGCAATGGGTCAGTGGGTCTGGCTGTTAACCATAAGCTTGGGGCTTGAGCCCACCTAGGGACAGCTGTGAGCAGGACTCCTGCATTTCAGAGGGTTGGACTAGATGACCCTTGGAATCCCTTCCAACTCCTTAATTCTCTGGTTCCATAAACACAAGAGCAGGAGGCGGCTTTCCCTTCCCAGAAGAGAAATCTGGAAACCCCGCTCTCCCCGGCTCAAACATAATAGGGGGAAAAGACAGGGGGGAAACCCAATTTAAAATACAGGTTAAAATGCAATTTAAAATGCAGCCTCATTTTGAAAGTAGCTGATAAATCAAGACCATAAGGGGAGGGAAACATAAGGGTCAGACTGAGTCCAAACCAAAGGCCAGGCGGAACAGCTCTGTCTTGCAGGCCCTGCAGAAAGATGTCAAGTCCCGCAGGGGCTTGTGACAAAGCATTCCACCACATAGGGGCCAGTGCTGAAAAGGCCCTGGCCGTAGCTGAGACCAATCTAACCTCCTTGAGGCTCGGGACCTCCAAAGTGTTGTTATTTGTGGACCTTAAGGTCCTCCGCGGGGCAGACCAGGAGAGGCCTTTGTTGTCCTTTATTGTCTTCTCCCACTCCTTTTAAAGGCATCTGAGCTAGCGCTCATTGTTTTTAAAATTATTTATGGCATTTCTATCCCAGCGTTTTTCTCCAAGGAGCTCAAGGGCCTCCTCCCCAACACACAACAACCTTGTGAGGTAGGCTAGGCACAAAGAGGCAGTGACTGGCCCCAGGTTACCCCCAGCAAGAGCTTTGTGGCTGAGCGGGGATTCGAACCCTGGTCTCTCCCAGGTCCCAGTCCCGATGCTCTAACCGCTATTGGCTGTCTTCGAACAGAGACCCTTTCTTCCTCTCCTTACCCGAGTTGATGTTTTGATTGTCAGCGTACTGGGGATTGGGACCGGCAGCGGTGGGGCTCGGATGGCAGTGGAAGTGTGCCAGGTTACAGCTGTAGAAAAAACCTTTCACCTGGTACCCTGGAAAAGGAAGCGCAACACAGGAGAGCTTTAAAATTGGTTCGTTTGTCCCTGCGAGATGTGAAACAGCAGCTTGGACCAAGCCATCTCTTTCCCCAGGTACATATTCTCCAGAGGCTTCACACTGCAACTCTTAAGAGCCCCAGACAACACATATGGCAGATCTCCTTAAGGAAGGGACGTAGCTCATGGAAAGAGCGTTTGCTTTGCATGCAGAAGGTCACAGGTTCGATTCCTGACATCCCCAGGTAGGGCTGTGAAAGACTGCCTGCGTGAAGCTCTGGAGAGCAGCTGCCAAACAGTGTGGACGACAACGTGTTATTGCAGGGGGTTGGAATAGATGACTTTAGGGGTCCCTTCCAACCATACAATTCTATGAGTCTATTTATTTCAGAAAATCTGAAATAAATAAAATTTATTTATTTATTTCAGAACTTAAAAATGGAAAGCGTAATGCTGGTGGTCAACAAAAGAGGTTTAAAGACTGTCTCAAGGCAAATCTAAAAAAAAAAAAGTAGTATAAACACAGACAACTGGGAAACACTGGCCTGTGAGCGCTCCAGTTGGAGAACAGCCTTTACCAAAGGTGTCATGGGCTTTGAAGACACTTGAACTCAGGACTCAAGGGAGAAACGTGCTAAGAGGAAGGCACGCTTGGCAAATCCACACCGTGATCAACTCCTGCCTGGGAACCAATGTCCCCACTGTGGAAGGACGTGTGGATCCAGAATTGGCCTCCACAGTCACTTATGGACTCACTGTTAAAACTGTGTTTGTGGAAGACAATCTTACTCGGCTACAAGGGATCGCCAAAGAAGAAGAAGAAGATACCACTAGGTAGTAAAACACACATTCTCTCTCTCACCTCAAAGCAGCTTACAAAAAGAAGGAAGCAGTGAAACTCCAGTTTAGAACAACTATTTAAAACATCCAAGAAGGATAACAATAGGCTAACAACCTGACGTATATTCTTTATATCTGGTGAAAGGTAAAGGTAAAGGGACCCCTGACCAGTAGGTCTAGTCATGACCGACTCTGGGGTTGCGCTCATCTCGCTTTATTGGCCGAGGGAGCCGGCGTACAGCTTCCGGGTCATGTGGCCAGCATGACTAAGCCGCTTCTGGTGAACCAGAGCAGCGCACGGGAACACCCTTTACCTTCCCGCTGGAGCGGTACCTATTTATCTACTTGCACCACATGCTTTCGAACTGCTAGGTTGCAGGAGCAGGGACCGAGCAACGGGAGTTCACTCCATCATGGGGATTCGAACCGCCGACCTTCTGATCGGCAAGTCCTAGGCTCTGTGGTTTAACCCACAGCGCCACCCGCGTCCCTATATCTGGATAGGTTTGCCTAAACAGAAATGTTCTCATCAGACACCAAGAGCAGTTAAGTGGAAGGTGGCTGCCTGGTGTCAATAGGCAGGGAATTCCCAAAGGCAGATGCTGCTATTCTGCAAGATGGATGTCTTAAAATTGCAGGATGATTATTACGCGGCCCCCTGATGGACCAATGCTCTGACTCAGAGAAGGCAACTTCCAGTGTCCACGTGGGCCACTGGAAGGATACGGCCAACAGGGCATTGGGGATGGGCATTGGCACTTTAATAATAATAATAATCATCTTATTATTTATACCCGGCCCATCTGGCTGGGTGGCAGACTTTTCGTCTTGCAGAACCTTTCAGAGGCACAGCAAACAGGCTTCCTTCAGAGGCTGGCTAGGGTGTTGGATCAGGTCCCTAGCGATTTCTTCCAGGTAGCAGATGAAATAGATCCAATTGCCAAGGGGAAGCAGTGACCCAGAGCAGCAGGGCCAACTCAAAAAGGGAGCCAAAGATTTGCAAAGTTGGGAATGTAGGGAAGCTCTTCTTCCTTACCCTGGTGCTCTCCATGGCTTGGCTGCTGGGGGGCCTGGGGTGTCTCTGGGGCACTCTGTAGAGTCACCAGTGGCTCATCCTTGCTGGCCTGGCCTGAGTCTGAAGGTGTTCTGACCTGGGAAGAAAGAAAACACAGCAGGTGGAATTCTGAACGAGGCACCATCACCCAGGGCTAAGGACAGGAAATAGACTTGGAGTGTGGCTGCATTTGGGCTTATAGTGCCCCCTAACTTTGTAATAAATAAATAATAAATAAATTTTTATTTATACCCTGCCCTTCCCGGTTCAGGAAACCGGGCTCAGGGCAGCTAACAACAAATTTAAAACACTTAATTGATGCTACAAAAAACCAGCATAAAATATGGTATAAAGTGTAAATAACAATAAAATCAAAAATCAATTTAGGGGGGAAATCTATCCAATAAACATTAGATGATCACCAGGACTAGCTGGCTAAATTAGTCCCACTTGGGCCAGCGAGGAGACCAGGGGAGAATTAGCTGTGGGACCCCAGAGCGGGTAATCTTCATAAAAAGAGGAGGGGGAGGGAAGGAAGGGGAATAAAAGATCAGGCTAAGTTCAAATTGAAAGCCAGGTGGAATAGCTCTGTCTTACGGGCCCTGCGGAAGGAGGTTAAATCCTGCAGGGCCCTGGTCTCATGGGACAGAGCATTCCACCAGGTCGGAGCCATCACTGAGAAGGCCCTGGCCGAGGATAATAATAATAATAATAATAATAATAATAATCATGTAAGACATAAGGAGAGCCTGCAGGATCAGGCCAATGGCCCATCTTGTCAAGCACCCTGTTCTCACAGCAGCCAACCAGATGCCCCAATGTCAAACTTGCAAGCAGGATCCAAGCACAAGAGCCCTCTCTCCCTTCTTGTGGTTTCCAGCAACTGGTTTTCAGAAACGTTATTCCCTCCAACTGTGTCCCTGAAGCAAAAAGCCTAGTTTTGGGTTCCTTGTTTTTAGACAGATGCACAGATTTGTCATAGCAGGAATCGTTCTAGGAGCGTGCATTTCCTCCTGGGTGCGAGAAAAGGGAAAACGCCTCTTTTAAGCGTGCTGAACCAGGAGCACCCTTTGAGTCGATTAAATGTTTCCAATTAATCACTCTAACTGATTAATAGTTCAGGCATTGCAGCCAGAAGACAGAGCGGCCCCAAGGCACGAAGCCAGATCAAACTGCTCAGAAGAAGGAAAAGAAGGGAATTTCTAAGCGTTGGCAGATTTACCACATCCTGACCTTCAAACCGTAAAGGTAGGCTCAGTGCATCTCAGCAGAAAACTTTTCCATCGCAACATCTCTCGCTTCAAAAGCTCCCATCTGAGCAATGCAAGAGGTATGTGTGCAATTTGCAGCTGCGTGGCTGTTCTGACTGCTAGAAGCGAGTTTTCTGCTTCCAGCAACACCAGGAAAGCTGGCTCAGGAACTTGGGTGTGTTTGCTGTTCCAGGTGGCACCAGGGTCTGGCACCACAAACAGAGAGCATGTGCCCACGATGCCAGTCACGTTGCAGGCAAGGTCAGTTGCAAGCTGCCACTGACATGGCTGGTGACTTTGGAACTGCAGAAATTTGGTGGGTTGGATGCTTGAACCAGCCCAGCTGATCAGAGGCTACGGGTGGCCCCAAGGCAGTCACCAGTTCTTAGGAAAGTTCGCCATAGAGGAGAGGACTATAACACTTGCAGTGATGTCATGATGTGTGGGATGTATTGCTAGAGCAGTCAAGTATTGTTATTCAATTTTATTTATACCCCGCCCTCCCCAGCCAAGACCGGGCTCAGGGCAGCTAACACCAGTATAAAAACAACTAATTAAATTACAACTTGAAAACAAGATTAAAATACAACATTAAAATGCAGCCTCATTTCAGTAGGAACTCAAATCAAAAACTTTTTGGGGGATGAAAACGTCAAATCTTCACCAAGGCCAACTATCCAGACTGGTCCTACATGGGCCAGAAAAAAGCCAGGGAAGCCTCCAAACAGGAGTTCCATCACAGGAGAAAGGAAAACGGAAAGAGGGGAAGGGGATCAAGTTGATTCCAAGCCAAAGGCTAGGCGGAACAACTCTGTCTTACAGGCCCTGCGGAAAGAAATCAGATCCTGCAGGGCCCTGGTCTCATGAGACAGAGTGTTCCACCAGGCCGGGGCCACTGCTGAAAAGGCCCTGGCTCTGGTTGAGGCTAATCTGACTTCCTTAGGGCCCGGGACCTCTAGGGTGCTACTATTTATGGACCTTAAGGTCCTCCACGGGGCATACCGGGAGAGGCAGTCCCATAGGTACGAGGGTCCTACGTACAACATTTTCCTGTTGCCCAGAGTGGACAGACAGGGGAATGTGGCTCCAGACAGGGAGGATTTCCTGTCACACCTGCTCTGGAGCCTCCTCCCCTTGTGTGTGACCAGGTAGATGAGCAGGACCCTAGCAGACCCTGTAAAAGTGCTAGCCACGCAGACATCTTCCCTTTTTAGACTTCTCTCTTGGACCTCCTCGTCTGGCTTAGCCAGCACATGGCTCATCTTTGCAGAAAGATGTTATTATGAGAGGGAAATAAAGGGGAAATTTACCAGGAACAAGCCAGACTGGATAAGCCAGACTGGATTGCTTAATTAAAGGATTCTAACAAATCATCAACTTGCTTCCAATTATGTTGCAAAGGGAACATGCTCAGCTGTTTGCACTCTAGCGTGAGTGAGGGAGGATCATATCAAAACAATACAGTCCTACCTTGTGTTGCGTTAGGTCCATGTTGCGTCTTTTCAGCGAACGCGGCAAACCCAGAAGTGTATACTTCCGGGTTTCGCATGCGGAGAAGCATTCTGTGCACTTTGCTCCTGTGCAAAAGTGATCTGCACGCTTTGCACATGTGCAAAAGCAATCTGCGCGCTTCGTGCATGTGCAAAAGTGATCTGTGTGCTTCGCGCGTGCACGCTTGATCGCGCTGTGCACATGCGTGGAAGAGGCACTCTAGTTGCCAACTTTTTGGTGTAGGGATCAGATGGGATTACCATGAGGAATTATAAAATATACATCAAGCCATCATGTCCACGATGAAAACATTGTGTTGACTGGGTTTGATATATTGACGATAATTTTTGATTAAATCCCATAAGATTCTACATTCATGTCCTTTTCATGCCCTTTTGCCTCTGCTGCCCATTTCTCTCTCTTCATAAGTCACATACACAGCAGTTGCTTCGCCAGGCAGGCATCCTGGGCCATAAAGATAGTGGGCAAGTTTCTTTGATGTAGTTTTCTTATATACTTATCTTAAGATGTTAATCTTGGAGCCAGGAAACAGATCTCACATGAAGGTGATAGTGATCTGGTCTTTCTGGCCATCCTTCTTATAATGTTTATTTCTTACCTCTGGGGTTGCCAGATGCTCCCCTTTGTAGTTCTCAACTTATTTACCCCAAAATATATGCATGCTAACTAGTGTTTATAGGTTAACGTGTCCCCACGTGGGTTTGTTTAAATGCTCGGAGGAAATCTGATTGGTTCTTACGAACACTCTGTAAAAAGTTCTTTTGTGAATAAAACGCCCTGGGCCGGGGGCTGCGGAGATCTGACGGACAGGCACAGAGAGACACGATTATACGCACCCTTCCCAGAGTCATGCTGGTTCAAGTCTCTGTGTGTATTCTTATTAATCAGAGTTCAATCCTTCCTTTACTTTGCAAACGCAACATTTGGGGTGCAAACGGCACCCCGGAACGGATCATGTCCGCAACTAGAGGTACCACTGCATATCCTCTCCTACCTTCCTTAACATTCTCACATGATGGCGATGCGCTGCCTCCACAGAGCTGTTTGACAGTGGAACAGTCTTCCTCGGGAGGCGGTGAACTCTCCTTCCTTGGAGGTTTCTAAGGAGAGGTTGGGTGGCCGTCTGCCATGGATGCTTTAGCTGAGATTCCTGCATTGCAGGGGGTTGGACTAGATGGCCTTTGGGAGGCCCCTTCCAACTCTACAAGTCTAGGATTCCAGGGTTGGAGGCAGCAATGCTTCTGAGTACCGTATTTTTCACCCTATAGGACGCACCGTCCCATAAGGCGCACCCAGTTTTTTGGGGGGGAAATAAAGGGGAAAAAATTATTCCCCCCCAGGCGCGGGGCTGGGGCGGGGGAAGCTCGAGCTTCCCCCGACCCCAGCCCCCAAACAGGCAGCTCTCAGCGCGCGCAGGCTCAGCATGCAGGCAACTCTCCGCAAGCAGCGGGAGCCCAGCGCTGGGCTCCCGCTGCTTGCGGAGAGGTGCGCGAAGCCTGGAGAGCGAGAGGGGTCGGTGCGCACCGACCCCTCTCGCTCTCCAGGCTTCAGCGAAAGCCTGCATTCGCCCCATAGGACGCACACACATTTCCCCTTCATTTTTGGAGGGGAAAAAGTGCGTCCTATAGGGCGAAAAATACGGTACCAGTTGCTGAAAACCACAGGAAGGGAGAGGGCTCTGCTGTTTGCATCCTGCTTGTGTGCTTTCTATAGACGTCTGGTTGGCCCTGTGAGAACAGAATGCTGGCCTAGACAGGCCCTGGCCTGAACCAGCAGGCTCTTCTTATATTATTTCTGCTTCATAAACCCATTCTTCCCCTTTCTTCTTCTTTTTTTTTTTTAAAAACCCACAGCACATTGCAGATATAATTATTATAATTCCTACTGCCAACGCCCAAACCCTGACATGAATAGTATTTTAGTATTTGCAGCCTGGGTTTTGATTGATAGCGTGCATTTTCATCAGGCATCCTGATCAAATTTGCAGATGACACCAAACTGGGAGGGGTGGCTAACACCCCAGAGGACAGGATCACAATTCAAAACGACCTTGACAGATTAGAAAACTGGGCAAAAACAAACAAGATGAATTTTAACAGGGAGAAATGTAAAGTATTGCACTTGGGCAAAAAAATGAGAGGCACAAATACAAGATGGGGACACCTGGCTTGAGAGCAGTACATGTGAAAAGGATCTAGGAGTCTTGGTTGACCACAAACTTGACATGAGCCAACAGTGTGACGCAGCAGCTAAAAAGCCAATGCAATTCTGGGCTGCATCAATAGGAGTATAGCATCTAGATCAAGGGAAGTAATAGTGCCACTGTATTCTGCTCTGGTCAGACCTCACCTGGAGTACTGTGTCCAGTTCTGGGCACCACAGTTCAAGAAGGACACTGACAAACTGGAACGTGTCCAGAGGAGGGCAACCAAAATGGTCAAAGGCCTGGAAATGATGTCTTATGAGGAACGGCTAAGGGAGCTGGGCATGTTTAGCCTGGAGAAGAGGAGGTTAAGGGGTAATATGATAGCCATGTTCAAATATATAAAAGGATGTCACATAGAGGAGGGAGAAAGGTTGTTTTCTGCTGCTCCAGAGAAGCGGACACGGAGCAATGGATCCAAACTACAAGAAAGAAGATTCCACCTAAACATTAGGAAGAACTTCCTGACAGTAAGAGCTGTTCGACAGTGGAATTTGCTGCCAAGGAGTGTGGTGGAGTCTCCTTCTTTGGAGGTCTTTAAGCAGAGGCTTGACAACCATATGTCAGGAGTGCTCTGATGGTGTTTCCTGCTTGGCAGGGGGTTGGACTTGATGGCCCTTGTGGTCTCTTCCAACTCTATGATTCTATGATTCTATGATTTTACAGTGGTACCTCGGGTTAAGTACTTAATTCATTCCGGAGGTCCGTACAGTGGTGCCCCGCAAGACGAATGCCTCGCAAGACGAAAAACTTGCTAGACGAAAGGGTTTTGCGGTTTTTGAGCTGCTTCGCAAGACGAATTTCCCTATGGGCTTGCTTCGCAAGACGAAAACGCCTTGCAAGTTTGTTTCCTTTTTCTTAAAACCGTTAATATCCAGGGTGCATTGCTTGAAGAGGTGCAGTTGCGACTTGACTTCGAGGAGCCTTTTTTGAGGTTTTTGAAGACTTTGCTGATTTTTAAAGCTTTTCCAAAACTTCTTTTGCAGCCATTTGGTAAGTTAAACTTTTAAAACTTTTTTGGGGGGTTTTGGATTTTGGATTGGGGTGTTTGGAATTCAAGGACTTGGTGTTGGGGAGGGGTTTGCAAGAATCTGGAGGCTTGTGTGGTTTTTTTCTGCATTTTTATGATTTTTTGTGACCATTGGACCACTCTGCTGTTTTTTTTAAAAAAAAATTCTGGGTTTGAATTTCTGTGTGGTGGGTAGCTGGGGGAACAGTTGAGGAGGGGTTTGCAAGAATCTGGGAGCTTGTGTGGTTTTTTCCTGCATTTTTATGATTTTTTGTGACCATTGGACCACTCTGCTGTTTTTTTAAAAAAAAAATTCTGGGTTTGAATTTCTGTGTGGTGGGTAGCTGGGGGAACAGTTGAGGAGGGGTTTGCAAGAATCTGGGAGCTTGTGTGGTTTTTTCCTGCATTTTTATGATTTTTTGTGACCATTGGACCACTCTGCTGTTTTTTTTTAAAAAAATTCTGGGTTTGAATTTCTGTGTGGTGGGTGGCTGGGGGAACAGTTGAGGAGGGGTTTGCAAGAATCTGGGAGCTTGTGTGGGGTTTTTTAAAAAATTTTATGATTTTCTGTGACCATTGGGCCATGTTGTTGTTTTTTTTAAAAAAAAATTTCTGGGTTTGAATTTCTGTGTGGTGTCTGGCTGGGGGAACAGTTGGGGAGGGGTTTGCAAGAATCTGGGAGCTTGTGTGGTTTTTTCTGCATTTTTATGATTTTCTGTGACCATTGGGCCATGTTGTTTTTTTAAAAAAAAAATTCTGGGTTTGAATTTCTGTGCGGTGGGTGGCTGGGGGAACAGTTGGGGAGGGGTTTGCAACAGTTGGGGAGGGGTTTGCAACAGTTGGGGAGGGGTTTGCAACAGTTGGGGAGGGGTTTGCAATTTCTGTGTGGTGGGTGGGTGGCTGGGGAAACAGTTGAGGTTTTTGAAGACTTTGTTGATTTTTAAATGTTTTTCTGTCATGTTTAGAAACTTAATTTATTGTTCCTTCAATTTTTGAAATGCTCTTTACAGTATGTGTGACTTTAAAGAGCACTTAATAAACTCTTGTTGTACCAAATTTGGCTTTGTTTGGACTTTTTTTGACCATAGGAACGCATTAATTGAATTTCAATGCATTCCTATGGGATTTCGTGCTTCGCAAGACAAAAAATTCGCTAGACGAAAAAACTCGCGGAACAAATTAATTTCGTCTTGCGAGGCACCACTGTACTTAGCCTGAAACTGTTCTTAACCTGAAGCGCCACTTTAGCTACTGGGGCCTCCTGCTGCTGCCGCACTGCCGGAGCACGATTTCTGTTCTCATCCTGAAGCAAAGTTCTTAACCTGAAGCACTATTTCTGGGTTAGCGGAGTCTGTAACCTGAAGCGTATGTAACCTGAAGCATATGTAATCCAAGGTACCACTGTATTCATATTTCACATTCTGATTCTATAGTTTTCACTTTGCAAACAGCTTAGAGGTGTTGTTTCTATACATTAAGACATCTATATATTGGTTATAGGAATGAAGGAAATCACTGGGATGGATTTCCAAGATGACAGGTAAGGAGACACAGAATACTTTAGATGCGCTGCGTTGCCTCCCAAGAGGCTTTCCCAACCTGGTGCCCTCCAGCTGTTTTGGACCACAACTCTCATCAGCCCCGGCCAAAACAGCTGGGCGGCGTCAGTATCAGGGAAGCCTAGCCTGCAATGTTAAAAGTAACCAAAAACAAACCTGAAAATTAGAAAGAAAAAGGGAAACATTTGCAAAACACAGCAACCCATTACTGCTGCAAAACTTGATCCGTCTGGGTTGGCAACAACAGCGGCATGCAGCTTGAAAGCTAAGGCGGTTGGATTCCTGAGTGACATCAAATTAGCTGGGTTTATTTATGTTTATATGCATGACAGTGTCCAAGCCCCAGGACTGTGCCAGCAACACCCTTACCTTGTTTGGTTTTCCATTTTCTCTGGTCTCTTGATGTGCCGACGTTGGGGGCTGCCTTGGCTGCAAAAGGGGCTCTTTGCTATTTTCCTTATCTGAAAGGCAGAGAGAGAAAATCTGTTTAATCCCAGATAACATTTATTTGAGTCCCAGCTGCCCCTTATGCACTACTCATGTTAGCATTGCCACCTATATCTGCTCTTTGATCAGTTGGTAATTCTGACCAGTTGCTTTAATTCAGTTTCACTTTCCTTTCCCCCCATTAATAGCTGTGCTGCTCAGATAACCCTGCTGCGCTCAGGCAAAAAACGTTGACGTAGCTCTAAAAGAGATCTCAGTGCCTGGTCTACCGGATATTTCTGGAATTATTACAGCACAGATTGTGGAAATTGTGCCATACCTGCGCAAATCGCCAAGAGGCCTCTATTCCTCTCTGCTGTGTCACTACTTAAGATTGTAAGGTCCTCAGGGCAGGGACCTAGTCTCTCTCCTTTTTTTGTGCCACCTACACAGATGTCACTGATCTATCTGTATGAATAGATATAGACAGATCCGGCAAAGACTGACCAATGGGGACCCAATACCAATATTCAGCTGAGGCTACAGAGGGACAGAACCTTTCTTAAGGAAACTCTCTTGGAAATCCCAGTTGCAGGAAACTCCAGGAGGGGATATATAATAATAATAATAATAATAATAATAATAATAATAATAATTTATTATTTATACCCCGCCCATCTGGCTGGGCTTCCCCAGCCACTCTGGGCAGCTTCCAACAAAATATTAAAATATAATAGTCGTCAAACATTAAAAGCTTCCCTAAACAGGGCTGCCTTCAGATGTCTTCTAAAAGTCTGGTAGTTGTTGTTCTCTTTGACATCTGGTGGGAGGGAGTTCCACAGGGCGGGTGCCACCACCGAGAAGGCCCTCTGCCTGGTTCCCTGTAATTTGGCTTCTCGCAGTGAGGAAACCGCCAGAGGGCCCTCAACGCTGGACCTCAGTGTCTGGGCAGAACGATGGAGGTGGAGACGCTCCTTCAGATATACTGAATCGAGGCCATTTAGGGAGAGGGCTCTTGAGCACGGATCCTGCTTGTAGGTTTCCCACTGGGAGAACAGGATGCTGGATGGGCCTGATCCAGCAGAGCACTGCTTAGGTTCTTAGGGTCTATCTCCAGGGCAATTTCCCCCCAATGGCTGATCGCCAAGGCACACTTTCTTTCTTGAATTACAACTGGAGGCGCAAAGCATTCACTTTTGCAGTGTAAATAGAGTAACCATCTCCCCTTTGAGGAATGTGCTCTGTCCCATTTCTTCATGAGCCGCCGTAGCCCCAGGTCCAAAAATGTTGTTGACCCCTGATCTAGCCTAACAGTGTTATCTTGGCTGGCAGCAGAAGCAGCTCTCTGGAGAGCAAAGTCCACGCCAGCACCTGCTACCTTTTAAAATGCGTTTGCAAAGGACGGAGCCCGGAAGGTTTTGCTAGCGAATTAACCAGGGCCTCTATTATTGAGCTATGTGAAGAGGCACTGGCACAGCAGGTTTAGGAGGGCAAGGGTCTCCGCTCCCTACTTTGCCCTCCAGATGGTTTGGCAGGAGCGGAGGAGTGTGGCAGTCCAAGGGGGAATTGCCTCACAAGCCTGAATCCTCTGCACATCGCTTCTCCCCAAAAGTCCTGGCTCAGATGCACCTGGAGAATATCAGGAGAGGTTTAGATTGTGGTCATGTTGCCTTGAACAGAAAATCGCCTTTTGACCAGGTGGAGGAATCTTGCAGAGATCAGCCTCTGGGCAGCTGGGGGGTGAGATAGCCTGCGTGCCCCCATGGGCACAGCCAGGATTTATGTTAGTGGGGGGCCGGACACCCAACTTTCACCATCCTGTCCGGCTCTGGTCCAGCAGAATCTGGTCCAGAAATGTCTGAACAACAGTTGCTTTGAATTACTTCCTTTTGACTCCAAGAGCTCAGAAAGACCTGTCAAAACCTTTCTACAATTTCTACTTGCAATTAAGTAATTGTATTTATTTACCTGATTTCGGGGGCAGTTGTACCCCTTGCCTACGCCTATGGATGCCCCCAAATTTGTCTGGGGAGAACAGAGGGGACCAAAGTTAGGTTGCTTCTTTGGGCTTTAAGGAATGGGACCCAAGAACCAAATTCAGATGCTGGGAGAAAGGAATGGGAAATTCAAAGCCACCTGCACGGAAAACAATGGCAAGGTTTAGGGACAGGAATGAGGGGCCCCATCCAGACCTTGTGGGAGCTGCTGACTGAGCCCTCTCCTTGCCCCACAAGTTGAGATTCCTGCATTGCAGGGGGTTGGATGAAGGAGTGTCTCCACCCCCATCATTCTGCCCAGACGCTGAGGTCCAGCGCCGAGGGCCTTCTGGCGGTTCCCTCACTGCGAGAAGCAAAGCCACAGGGAACCAGGCAGAGGGCCTTCTCGGTGGTGGCACCCGCCCTGTGGAACGTCCTCCCATCAGATGTCAAAGAGATAAACAACTACCTGACATTCAGAAGACATCTGAAGGCAGCCCTGTTCAAGGAAGTTTTTAATGTGTGACATTTTAATGTATTTTTAATCTTTGTTGGAAGCCACCCAGAGTGGCTGGGGAAGCCCAGCCAGATGGGCGGGGTACAAATAATAAATTATTATTATAGGATGAAATGACCCTTCCATCTCTATGATTTTATGATTCTATCAGCTGATGAAAGCAGGAGAAACTAAAAGGAAGGGACTGTGGCTCCAGAGCAGAACATGCGCGTCGCACGCAGAAGGTTGCAGGTTCACTCTTCGCCGGCATCACCAGGCAGGACTGAGAGTCCCCTGCCTGAGCCACTGGAGATCCACTGTGGACCAGGGCAGTCTACCTTTTCATACCAAGCGGGCCGCAAGAGTACTTTGACGTGGAATCCACAGGCCATACTGCCTTGTTGCATGGGACAGGGGGTGGGGGGGAGGACAAAAAAGGGACACCCCCCCCTGCAGCCCTCATGCTGCCTTCCCAAAGGCTGCTGATGAGCGAGGCGCTGGGCTTTGGGAAAGCAGCCAAGAACTGTGAAGTTAGGAAGGCGTCAAATGTTGCTCAGCAGGGCTGTGCGCTGGACCACCCTGATGTAGACAACACTGAGCTTTCTGCACCAGTGGTTTGATTCCCTGCAAAGCTGCTTTGTATACGGACCTGTTTGCGAAGAGAGAGGAGATCAGGAGAGGCTTAAAATCAGGGGCGGCCAGTGGAAGTGACTTCCCTTCATGAAATGCAATGGAACCACTGGGAACACTTCCCTAGCCCTCTGCATAGCTGTCAACTTTTCCCTTTTCTTGCGAGGAATCCTATTCGGAATAAAGGAATTTCCCTTTAAAAAAGGGAAACGTTGACAGCTATGGCCCTCTGGCTGGTAGGATTTGGTCCAGGGCTGGTGACAAGGGTTAAGGGGATTGAGGAGGGGGTCTGTTTTTCACAGCAAGAGAGAACCACCTCTCCACCAACTCCTGGGGCTTCAGGCCGCCAGACACACCTGTTTCTTGGGACGCATCGGAGAGGATCTGGTACACCTTGTAGGGCTCCGAGATGTCCAGATGGCTCCTCTGGGGGACCTCCTTGAAGTCAGCGCTTTTGTTCAAGGCGCAGCGCAGGCGGGTCTTCCAGACGGAGGGGTCGGCTTTGTCCAGCCCTTCGTGGTACTTGCCTTTGTAGACGGCCCAGGCCTGCAACGAGGAAGAGCGGGGAGACGGGTCACCACGAAACTAAGGATGGCGCGGGATTCCCAAGGGCGTTCAAGGGCGCGCCCCTGGAGCCGCGTCCCAAGAAACTCCCCAGCATCGCAGGGCGCAGAGCCCGCTTGCCAGGAGCGCGTCGGGGAGGTTGGAACGGGGCGCGATGCGCGAAGAACTCGGGGTGACGGCGAGGGCGCACCCGCGGGAGAGGCAGGAGCCGGCCAGGGTCCCGCAAGAATTTGGGAATGGGGTAAAGTGATGCTTGGGAAGGCGCCCATACCTTGAAGAGCGCCGCGTCTTCCTGCTGGCGGTAGTCCTGCTTGGCCGCGTGTTTCCAGGGGATGCGGAACAGCGTCTTCTCGCCGTTCTCCCAGCGCAGCCCCGGGTAGCGGCCGCTGTCCACCTGCGCGACGAGCCACTCCTTCAGGCGCATCGGGGGCGCCCTCGGCTCCGCCATGTGCTGCTGCGCCCGGGCTCCGGGGAGCCGCGCTCTCCCCACCATGCGCGCCTCCTGCGACGCCGCTCGTGCGCTCCAGCTGGCAAGAGCCGCCGCCGCACCGTCCGGGCTGCTCACCCCGATCCCCCCCCCCTCGCCCCTGCTCCCTGCTCCCCGATTCCTTTCCCCCAGGGCCGGTGGAGAGAGAGCCCCGTGCAGGAATCGCGGACGGATCTGCGCGGGCGACTGCTGCGCCACGCCGAGCTGCGCGGGCGACGGGAAAGCGAAACTGTGCCGCTTCGGTTTCACTTTCGCTCCGGCCCGGCTGCCAAAAGGGAGCGATCCCTCCCTCGGGGAGGCGGAGAAGGATGGCAAAGCGGGGTGGGGGTTGGGGTGTCGTCGACCTAGAATTCGGGTGCGCCGAAAGCGGTGGCCTTCCCCATATTCCTTTTTTGTGCAGATCACCCAGGGGAAAACCATTTCCAGGCTCCCATAAATAGGTTCGGATTCGTGGCAAGCCACGCGGGGCGCTTCCAGAGGCCTCTATTGCACGAGTATCCGGCCTCATCCGGAAGGTTAGATGGTGCTGCGTCGTCGAGCAAACGTGGACCCTGCACATTCTTCGTTCGCTGTCCTTACAGCAAGCCTGATAAGGCTTCCGAATCAGTGCCGGTTTTACGTATAAGCTAAACAAGCTATAGCTTAGGGCCACACTCTCTTGGGGGCCCCAGAAAAATTTAAAGGGAAAAAAAACCGTAACGTACATTACCATAATATAAGATAACAACCAAATAAAATAAAACCTACATACAGCAACAATGTTTTGTGTTGTGTAGGCTCCTATTTGTTATGTGCAAATGGCTTTAGATACATTTTAGGTCCATAAATTAGGGACGTGGGTGGCGCTGTGGGTTAAACCACAGAGCCTAGGACTTGCCAATCAGAAGGTCGGCGGTTTGAATCTCCGCGACGGGATGAGCTCCCATTGCTCAGTCCCTGCTCCTGCCAACCTAGCAGTTCGAAAGCACACCAAAAAGTGCAAGTAGATAAATAGGTACCGCTCTGGCGGGAAGGTAAATGGCGTTTCCGTGCACTGCTCTGGTTCGCCAGAAGCGGCTTAGTCATGCTGGCCACATGACCCGGAAGCTGTACGCCGGTTCCCTCGGCCAATAAAGCGAGATGAGCGCCGCAACCCCTGAGTCGGCCACGACTGGACCTAATGGTCAGGGGTCCCTTTACCTTTACTTTTTAGGTCCATAAATTACCATAGTGTGTATATTCAACACAAAAAAAACAGCAACAATTTGTTGCTGACAAAGGACAGCTGGGCATATAAAGGGCCTCATTACCTTCAGTAGCTTAGGGCCTCATCAAACCTCAATCCGGCCCTGCTTCCGAATCAACAGGAAACATGCAAACTTAATTTGGGATTGCACCCCACCCGAAAATAGTGGTTGTTTGGAAGCTCTGTTGGACTTAAAGCGAATCATCCCTTTTTTATTTCAGTTTGTGCGTATTAAAGCAATGCAAGCCAGACAATTCTCCCACCCCAAGTAAAACAGGCGGAGTGCACTGCAACCATCTCCTTCAGCAAAAGCACCTGGACTTTCCTTTGCTGATGAACATAAGAAGAGAGCTGGCTGGATGAGGCCCATCCAGTCCAGCATCCTGTTCTCACAGGGGCAACCAGATGTCCCATGGGAAAACCTGTAGGCAGGATCTGAGCAGAAGAGCAACTCTCCCCTTTTGTGGTTTCAAGCAACTGACGCAAACACCTTCTGAAGTCCCACCACCCAAACTTCCTTTGCATGGGATTAGGCTTTCCTTGGCCAAAAATCAGCTCAGCAATTGTCACCTCTGGGCACTTCCTGGAGTCCCTTATCCAAGCGCAAAATAGTGTTGGAATGGAGGAAACTGGCAAAGGAGATGATTCTATATGATTTTTAAAGCTAGGTAACTTCCCTGAGCTGTCAAGTTAAAAGGATACATTCAGGCATAATATTTGTAACATTTAACAACTTTAAAGATGTGTGTGTGTCCCCCGTAATTTCCGTAACAATTACTATACCGCCTTTTGGCCAAAAAAGACACACCAAGGCAGCTCACAAACAATAAAAATGCAAATGCAATAAAAAAATGAAATGAAATATTAACGTTTCAAAAATATGAAAATACATTGTTTTTATACAAATGTTTTTAGCAGGTGCTGAAAAGAATATGGTGAAGGCTCCTGCCTGATATCAATCGGCAGGGAGTTCCAGGGTATATGTGCTGTTACTGTACGCTAGTTGTCACTCTGTGTTTTTCAATGTGTGTTTTATTATGTTGTATTGCAAATCACATTTTGAGACTTTTAAGTATAAAATGCCTAATAAATCAGAATGGAATTGAAAGCGTTCTAAAGCTACCTGTTCCACCTGGTGGCAGCTCAAAGCAGGTAGCGTGTGGTGTTGGGATGTTGGCGTGGGGTGTCTTTGTGCCAGGAAAGTCTCTCCCCCCCCCCCGCCTTTTCCAGGGAAGCGAGGTGAGCCTTCCAAGCTCCAAATGCAGAATGTTGCAAGCGGCGCACGAGTTGAACAGCGGCAACAGGCAACCCTTCGGCATGAACAGGCTTGCTCACTTGGTGAGCTGAGAATTGGCTCCCTTGCTGTCTCCAGCAGCTGCCTAACAGGAAGAAACCAAATGGGGAAGTCTTCCCTAGCACAGATGCACAGGAAAGCTGCACCTGGTGAACATCCACTGTGAAAGGCACAGTGCCCACAAAAAGACATCAGCCCTGTGGCCATACAGGGGTGCGTCCAGAACTTAGTAGGAAAGTGCACGCAGAGCAATCGCCTTGGCAGCTTCCAGGGAAGGCTCTCTCTGCATGGAGAGCTACTGCCAGTCAGTGCAGACAATACTGGGCTAAATGGACCAGGTCTGACTTGGTGGGAGGCAGTTTTCCATGTTGCATTTGGGTAGCAGGTTCTTAGGATAAGGCTGTCAGTGGCAACTTTTCATTCATATTTGAAACAAAATTTTAAAAATTCCTTCCAGTAGCACCTTAGAGACCAACTAAGTTTGTTCTTGTTATGAGCTTTCGTGTGCATGCACACTTCTTCAGATACCACAAAAGCTCATACCAAAAACAAACTTAGTTGGTCTCTAAGGCGCTAGGAAGTGAGAGCTGGACCATAAAGAAGACTGATCGCCGAAGAATGGATGCTTTTGAATTCTGGTGCTGGAGGAGACTCTTGAGAGTCCCATGGACTGCAAGAAGATCAAACCTATCCATTCTGAAGGAAATCAGCCCTGAGTGCTCACTGGAACGACAGATCCTGAAGCTGAGGCTCCAAGACTTTGGCCACCTCCTGAGAAGAGGAGACTCCCTGGAAAAGACCCTGATGTTGTGAAAGATGGAGGACACAAGGAGAAGGGGACGACAGAGGACAAGATGGTTGGACAGTGTTCTCGAAGCAACCAAGATGAGTTTGACCAAACTGCGGGAGGCAGTGGAAGACAGGAGTGCCTGGCGTGCTCTGGTCCAGGGGGTCACGAAGAGTCGGACACAACTAAACGGCTAAACAGCAGCAAAGGTGCTACTGGAAGAAATTTTTTTTATTTTGTTTCGACCATGGCAGACCAACACGGCTACCTACCTGTAACTCATTCATATTTATTACATATATATGCCACCTTTCTTCTCAAGGTAGTGCCCATGTTTCTCTTCCTCCCCATTTCATCCTCCCAACAACCCTGTGAGGTAGGTTAGGCTAAGAGATGGTGACGGGGTGCCAACTTGAACTAAATACTTGGAATATAACAAGCCTCGCCCCACATAATCGATCACAGGGCACGGCACACACACACACACACACACACCATTTGAATGGCAATGCCCATCTACTTTGGGGAGCCCCAACCTCCTCAAATATTTTATTGTGGGGCAAAGGGGCCTCGCCCCCTAGGACTTGGCTCCTGTGGATAGTGGCTGGCCCAAGGTGAGCTTCATGGCTATGTGGGGATTCGAACCCTGATCTCCCAGGTCCTAATCCAACAGGCAAACCATGTACTAGCTGTGCCACAGCTCCATTGCTGGAGGCAGTGTGCTTGGGAATCACAAGATCCTGCTTGTGGTCTTTTGCAGGCATGTGGTTGGCCTCTGTGAGAGCAGGATGCTGCAGTAGATGGGCTCCCTTTGGCCTGATCCAGCAGCTGTGCTCATCCTAGGCTCTTATGCTCCTGTCTGGGTCCTGTAAGATGTAATTGGGATGCAGTATTTTCGAATCCCCGCAACAGGGTGAGCTCCCGTTGCTCGGTCCCTGCTCCTGCCCACCTAGCAGTTCGAAAGCACGTCAAAGTGCAAGTAGGTAAATATGTACCGCTCCAGCAGGAAGGTAAATGGCATTTCCATGCGCTGCTCTGGTTCGCCAGAAGCAGCTTAGTCCTGCTGGCCACATGACCCGGAAGCTGTACGCCGGCTCCCTTGGCCAATAAAGCGAGATGAGCGCCGCAACCCCAGAGTCGGTCACGACTGGACCTAATGGTCAGGGGTCCCTTTACCTTTACCTTTTATTGTGCAGATACTTTGCCATTGGGAATCACCCTTAAAAGCACTGACTGCTCTCCTAAACCTCCTTGGGTTCATTTGCGTGGGTGTCAGAAGTAGAAGCTCAAGAAAAAAGCACACCAAGAATTCAGGTCAATATAAGTTTCAGTGGTGGGAGTGGCCCCTACTCGCAAATCAATAGTCAATTTTAGCAAAAACTAATCCATTCAAAAGTATTCTGACAAGGATTGCAAACGCAAATAGAGATTACAAACTCAAACTCATAAGGATATGTATAACAATAATTCGTTATTGGCCTGAGTTCTTGGTGTGCTTTTTTCTTGGTATATTTAATAACAAGAACTCCAACTTATTTAACGTTAGAGGTAGAAACTCAGCTGCTGCAAGATCAGGACAGGTGAGGGAAGAACCAATTTGCGGAGCCTCGTCAAAGGGATGACCTCATCTAACGGCTCTCAGGCTGATGAGGCGATTAATGTGCATTTCAGGCTCCGCGCGGCAATTAGCCGGAATGAATAATTGAACACTTTTTGCATGATGACTTTGGAATACAAATGTCTCCGACTCTCCCGCCCGGATCGCGGGGAGGCAAGAGGCCCCTCTACGCTGGGGGGGTGGGATACATTGCATGGCTGTTGATCTGGGCCTTGTCGTAGTGGCCTGGTGGTCAGAACCCTGCCTTAGGCTATGGGACGGCCTGTGTATTGATCAGCCACCCTGACTGGCTTGCACAAATCTGACATGGAGGCTAGATCCTGCCCGGTCTGTGTGGGGCTTTCTTTGAGCCCCGGCACTTTGCACGGAGGTTGCATGACTCTGCATTCATCCTGATTTGCTTGCACGTTGACACATCTTCCTGGCAATCGTTCGTTCATCCCACATTTTGGGGGCGTGTGTGTGTTCAAATATTATATTTCAGTGTTTCAAAATAAGGAACGCTCTGTGACTTTCAGTGCAATCAAAGTACTTTGTCAGTTATCCATCTGCCAGAGGGTGAAAACCACGCTGTGCATTAGATAAGTCTGTACTTTTGACTGATCTGCCTTTTGAAAAAAATTAAAAGGAACAGATTTGTACGTTCATAGACTCATAGAACTGTCATCTAGTTCAACCCCCTGCAATGCAGGAATCATAGCTAAAGCGTCGTCATTACAGAACCACAATTTGTGCTTACATCTTTAAAATAAGACAAGCCAATAGTGTTGCCAGTACAGTGGTGCCCCGCAAGACGAATGCCTCGCAAGACGGAAAACCCGCTAGACGAAAGGGTTTTCCGTTTTGGAGGTGCTTCGCAGGACGAATTCTCCTATGGGCTTGCTTCGCAAGACGAAAATGTCTTGCGAGTCTAGAGATTTTTTTTTCGCTTCCCCCCCCCTTTATCTAATCTGCTAAGCCTTTAATAGCCTTTAATAGCCTTTTAGCAGCTAATCCCCTAAGCCTTTAAGCCTTTAATAGCCGCTAAACCGCTAATAGTGCTAATCCGTTAAGCCGCTAATAGGGTTGCTTCGCAAGACGAAAAAACCGCTAGACGAAGACACTCGCGGAACGGATTAATTTCGTCTTGCGAGGCACCACTGTACCCAGACCCTGTTTGAACCAAAAGACGTGGGTGGCACTGTGGTCTAAACCACTGAGCCTCCTGGGCTTGCCGATCAGAAGGTCGGTGGTTTGAATCCCTGTGATGGAGTGAGCTCCTGTTGCTCTGTCCCAGCTCCTGCCAACCTAGCAGTTCGAAAGCACACCAGCGCAAGTAGATAAATAGGTACCACTGTAACGGGAATGGAAATGACATTTCCATGCACTCTGGCTTCCGTCACAGTGTCCCGTTGCACCAGAAGTGGTTGAATCCTGCTGGCCACATGACCCAGAAAGCTGTCTGTGGACAAATGCCGGCTCCCTTGGTCTGAAAGTGAAATGAGCACCGCAACCCCATAGTCGCCTTTGACTGGACTTAATGATCCAGGGGTCCTTTACCTTTACCTTTTTTACCTGTTTGAACAGGCCAATTGCCCACCTAGCCCCAAATCCTGTTCTCACAGTGGCCAGCCCAGTGCCCCCAGGAATCCTGCAAGTAGAATCCAGACACAACAACACTCTTCCCTCTAGTGATTCCCACAGGTTGGTACTCTGATACATGTGGCCTCTGATAAAGGTAAAGGGACTCCTGACCATTAGGTCCAGTCGTGGCCGACTCTGGGGTTGTGGCGCTCATCTCGCTTTACTGGCCGAGGGAGCCGGCGTACAGCTTCCAGATCATGTGACCAGTATGACCAAGCCACTTCTGGCGAACCAGAGCAGTGCATGGAAACGCCGTTTACCTTCCCGCCGGAGCGGTACCTATTTATCTACTTGCACTTTGATGTGCTTTTGAACTGCTAGGTTGGCAGGAGCAGGGACCGAGCAACGGGAGCTCACCCCGTCGCGGGGATTCAAACCGCCGACCTTCTGATCAGCAAGTCCTAGGCTCTGGGGTTTAACCCACAGCGCCATCCGCATCCCTCTGTGGTCTCTGATACTGGACCTTTTTTTTATATCCCTTACCTTCATTTATTGCTAAACAGCGGGGAGCGCACATGCACACACAGAGCTGTGATTCCTGCCTTGCCGGGGGTTGGACTAGATGACTCTGTGGGTCCCTTCCAACTCTACAATTATCTGATTCTATGCTCTTCTTCAACAGAGAGAGCATTTCATGGAGCAGTATAGAAAAATTTGCAAACAAACAAATAACTGACGCATTTTTGTATTTTACACCATGGCATTGTGCTCTTTCTTAAGATGCCTTGACCGCAGTTTGTAGATAGGTGGTGTACAAGTCATGGCGAATAAATTCATACGGAGGGCTGGTTCTCATCGAAGTTGTGGGCCCCTGAGCAAAGCACAATTTTACTTTGATTACACACAAGTATTTAATTTTGCAGCATCTCCTTACCTCCTTTTTTTTTTTAAAGGGAGACAGTGTGGCTTCAATCTGGATCAGGGACCCATCCCAGTTTCCCACTAAATACCTCATCTTGCTTTATTGGCCGAGGGAGCCGGCGTACAGCTTCTGGGTCATGTGGCCAGCATAACTAAGCCACTTCTGGCGAACCAGAGCAGCGCACGGAAACGCCATTTGCCTTCCCGCCGGAGCGGTACCTATTTATCTACTTGCACTTTGACGTGCTTTCAAACTGCTAGGTTGGCAGAAGCAGGGACCAAGCAACGGGAGCTCACCCCGTCGCGGGGATTCGAACCGCCGACCTTCTGATCGGCAAGTCCTAGGCTCTGTGGTTTAACCCACAGCGTCACCCGCAAAGGTAGCAGGATAATAATGAGCCTGAAATCAGAGCTCAGAGAGTGATCGCTGAAACTCCCATGCAGATCTCCTTAGGGGAGCATTTGCCAATGAGGACAGAATTTCCCACTAGGGGGTGCCCATGTCATTCTAGGCTTTTTGCATAGTGCTAAGGAAAAAACCACAGAACCCTAGAGTTGGTACCCGAGGGTCATCTAGTCCAACCCCCTGCATTGCAGGAATCTTTTGCCCAACATAGATCTTGAACCCACAACAACCCTGACCTGAGATTAAGATTAAGAATCTCATGCTCTACCAACTGAGCTATCCCAGAGCATTTGAAATAAAACACATTTGTCCCCTTCCTTTTTTTGCTATGTATCCGTTCAACCGCTTTTGCTGCAGCAGATCAGAAAGGCTTGGTGTTGCGCATGAAAAGCCCAAGAGGCCTCTGGGAGATGAACGCATTGCTTCCATTCCAGGGTTTGAAGTAGGAGCATCAAACAGGATCTCAAGTTTCATCTCTGGAAGCGAAACATATGCGGAAAGATGGTGCCTCTCCCTGGATCCTCACAGGTTGACTATCGACTGACTGTGGAAGGAGTTTAAGCACAGCTCCAGTTTGGATGACACGCCGATCCAAACCTTGGCTTGGCTGTCATGCCACACTTAGCTAAAAGGACCAGAGGGGAGCAAAAGTCACTGTGCTCTACTCTCCAGAAAGGAGCCAGCAAATTTCTGTGGCTGGAATTATTGTTATGTGCAGACGTGTCCATTGTCACTTCATTGCCTCTTATTTTGCCATGGCCAAACACTCAAATATTCTAGGAAGCCCTGGGTCCCTGTGTTTGCTTAAAAAGGGGACTAATATATATGTTTAACCTTGTTTTTTAAAAACATACACATGTGTGTGAGAGCGCGTGTATCTATAACCTTTAGGTTAGATTACTGCAGTGCATTATATGTGGGGCTGCCTCTGAAGGTGGTTCAGAAACTTCAGCTGGTACAGAATTCGGCAGCCAGGTTTCCAGTTGCTTTCTGGGCCCAACTCAAAGGGCTGGTTTTGAGCTATAAAGCCTTAAACGGCCCAGGACCGCAATACCTCAAGGACTGCCTCTCCCCATATGACCCTACCCGGACCCTGAGATCATCTTCTGAGGCCCTCCTTCCTGTGCCTCCTCCACAAGAGTTCTGGAGAGTGGCAACATGAGAACAGGGCCTTCTCTGCAGTGGCTCCCCAACTGTGGAATGCTCTCGCCAGGGAGGCTCACACGGCGCCAAAATTAGGCTCCATCAGGCAAAAACATTCCTCTTCTCCCAGGCCTTTGGCTGATTAAACAATTGATGCCCTTTTAAATGTGTCTGTCGGGGTTATTTTATTAGTAGTAGTATTATGTTAGGTATTTTGCGTTTTTATTTTGTAAAACACAAAATACCCTTTGAATGAAGGGCAATATATCAATTTTAATAATAATAATAATGAGCTTGTGTGCACACATGCAAAGAGAACATGAGGGTTTCTAGGGTGAGGTCTCTGTTTGCATATATGCACACACATAACACAATGTTGTTCCCCTCTACGTCAAATAAATAAACACAGAACATTGTTTTTAAATACTTAAGTATGTTTTATTTAATTTATTATTATTATTATTATTATTTTTAAAAAGGTATAACTGTTTGGTTATCCCTGGGATAACAAATGCCAGAAAGAACTGTTCCCTAACTCTACCCATACTCATCCGTGTGTGTGTGTGTGTGTGTGTGTGTGTGTACAATATCAATCTCTCCGCTAAACAAAAATAAAAGGAATTTGGCCAGCCCTTAAGAAATATTCCAACATCCACAACTGGGCCTCGACTGTTTAAGGACCCAGCGAAGTGTCACAATAGGAAGCAAGCCTTCAAGTTTCCCAGAAATTTTCCTAAGTTGCAATGTTAAAAAGGAGGAGGAGGTCTGGGTGAGCACAGAAAAAAGCTGTCTTGATGTTGCGGCCACAGATATCTTGATGTTGAGCAAGCAAACCTCTGCCTGCATGCTGATGTGGTTTCTTCCTCTGAGCCCCCTTGCAGCCCCCCTGCCCAGCCAGATCTGCTCTGGGGGGGGGTGTCCCCCAGCCCCCAATGCACAGGAAGGGACTTAACAGCTTGAGAGAATGGGGCTTAGCAGGCTGGTGGGGTTGGGGTGTGTGTGTGTGGCTGCATTGCAAGGCGTGAACAGCATCATTTTTTACCCTGATCATTAGTGTGGCGTGTCCTTTACGATCGCTCCCTTGGGAAGCGCAATTTGGACTGCTGAGTCGCTGGCAAATTCATCATTTCTGTCCCGCTGGGGACGGTGATGATGATGGCGGTGATGATGCGATGCCTGCCTTTTTGCATTCTGCCAAACCTTAGCTAAGAAGCCTTTTGAAAGCTCACAGTCCCCCAGCTGGCGGTCAGGAAATAATCAGAGCGCATCAGCTCTCTGGCCCGGGGGATTGCGCCAGGCTCTGACTCTCCTCCTCAGTCTGGAAAGCTGTTTGGTCTAAGAGCGCAGCAGAGGGCAGGGTTAGGTCAAAGGGCGGGGAGGGGGGAGAGAAAACCCACCCACCTCTGTTTATCGCTGGCAGCCAGCTTCCTGCGCTGTCGGGAAAGAGGCCACTGGGTGTAATGTTCATTCGGTACAGGAAGTTCTTGCAAAGCCCCTCTGTGCTGCTGCTGCTGCAATAGTAGTTGCGCAGAAGAGAATTTTGGCAAAGCGCAGCTTCTCTCGTCGTCGTCTGGGAGCAACGGGACAAACTGCGCCGGCCAAAACCCTTCCTTCGGTCCAACTGTTGGCGTCTCTGCTCATCTACGAACGACTGCTTTGTTCCACTCCATCCTGCTATTTTCGCTTCTCTCGATCGCACCCACCTACACGCGCAACTGAGAGACCTGGCGCGCCATCTGGGAGAGGAAGCCATTTGTTGTGCAAGAACTACCTCCATTTGGCTAAAAAATATATATAAAGGCAACCACTTGGTTGTGATTTCTGGAACGGCTGAAGTACCTGAATTGTTCTTCCTGGGGATAATTGAATCATAGAAATGTAGGTTTGGAAGAGATCCTAAAGGGTCATCTAGTTGAACCCCGTGCAATGGGGAAAAAATATCCTCCAAAGAATCATCTGTTTCTGGGAAGCCCTGGCTCTTATTCCTCAGCCGGACCCTGAAGCTGGCGACCTCTGTGCCTGGCATTTTTTACCAGGGAAGTCCCTTGGGGCCGGCTCTCCTAACAGTTTCCTCCGTTTCAGCGAGTGGAAGGGACTGAGGTGGGTGATGGATCTGGGTAGCTATTTGTGGGTGCTGCCGGTTTCTCAGCCGAGCGCATTTCATGGTGCCAGGAGATTGGAACAGCCCTTGCCAGGTTTTGACTCCAACCAGTCCGATGTGCTAAGCTTCTGTGCTTTCCCCAAAAAAAACGCCTGGAAGAGGGGTCATTTCAAACACCCCGGGAGGCAGGAGAAGGTCTGCTTCATCCGCAGCAGAAAGGGGTCTGTGTGCTTGGCTCCTCTCTCCTTTGGCACCAGGGTCTGCGGAGCCCCATCTCTCCTAGGGACCAGGAGCCTTTTCCCAGGTGGGAGCAGGGCTCTGATGTCCTCTTCGTCACTAAAAGGCGATGCTCCATACTTGCGCTCAAGTCTCCGGTGGATCTGTCAACAAGAAAAAGGGGCGGGGAGTGGTGAGCAAGCGTTCCTCCCAAAGGAACCGGGGCCAGCAAACAACAGAGTAGTAAAACAATACTAATAAAAATAAAAACCTATTTAAAAACAGGACAGTTTGCAAGACTCCCTTTGCCATTCCGGCCACAGATGCATGTCTCGCAAAAAAGAGGGCAGTGAGGATGCTTGCAATTACAATTACACCATGCAAACATAGAATTAGCCTTTCGAAAAAGCCCAGCAAGTTACTAGCCCTTATGACTACGAAGGTGAAATATACTCAGAGTCGAGAGCGGATTTCATGCTCTCTATTCAGCTCATAGTGGTGAGGGAATGGAAGTCCCCTCAAAGTATCTGTTTTATATACATTATTTACACAATGGGCCCCACGTGACTGGCTAGTTCCGGGATTCTCCTGTGGGCCAATCAGGTTGTGGATTCACTTCTATCTGGAGCTGGATTGGGTGGCTCCTGCTGACCAATCAGACTGCTGCATTGTTCTAGGACCAATCAGACTGCTGCATTTTGGAGCCTATTGTTCTAGGACCAATCAGACTGCTGCAGTTTGGATCCTATTCAACTCAGTACATAACAGAAGGTAATCTTGGAACACATGCCAGTTAATCCCCGGGTATCGCCTGGCATTGTATAGGTGACCACAAGGGAACCCCATCTGTGCCACCTTGAAAAAAGAAAGGTGGAGTACAAACGTAAGCAGTCCAACTCTGAGGGCTTTCTGGAGGTTCCCTCATTGCAAGAAGTGAAGCTAGAGAACCAGGCAGAGGGCCTTCTCAGTGGTGGCACCCTCCCTGTGGAACGCCCTCCCTTCAGATTCAGGTTGGTAGCTGAGTTGGTCTGATGCAGTAGAAATATATATAAAAATAAAAAAAAATTGTCTAGTAGCACCTTAAAGACCAACTAAGTCTAAGACCAACATCCCTTCAGATGTCAAGGAAATAAACAACTATCTGACTTTAGGCAGCCCTGTATAAGGAATTTTTAAATGTTTGATGTTTTATTATGTTTTTATATTTTGATGGAAGCTGCCCAGAGTGGCTGGGGCAGCCCAGTCAGATGGGCAGAATATGAATAATAAAATTATTATTATTATTATTATTATTATTGACAATAAATAAGCAGACCCATCAGTCATGGCTCTATAATAAAAGCTGGAAGAATGACAGCATCGACAACGGCCACCAACATTGCAGAGACTGAGAGGCGAGGGCTTTGCGTAATGACAAGTCAGAGATATGACATCATCATGCAAACTTTGTAAACAAGCGTGAGTTGAACCGCTCTCCACCCCTGTGATCTGTCTTTTTCTGTCTCCAGCACACAAGACAAAAAGCTGATGATTGCAAGCATCCTATTTCCGTCTCCCGCTCAGAATCCTTTATTTCAAATATGCCCTTCCCCAGCATAAGGCTGTCCTTGCCCATTCAGCGGGATGCAGGCCGGTGGCACAGCACCTGCTTGGCACACACAAGGTTCCAGGTTCAAATCCCTGGCATGAAGGGCAGAGACACCACCCGAGTGCCCAGGGAGCCAGTCGGCTGGATGGAGCAATGATCTGACCTGGTACGAAGCAGGTTCCTATGTCTTAAGGGAAGGGTCGCAGCACAGAGGTAGGACACCTGGTAGCTTTGCATGCAGAAGGTGCCAGGTTAAATCTCTGGCAGTATGTCCAGGTTCACCTGGGAAAAACCCCTGGCCTGACCTCCTTGAGAGCTGCTGCACATCTGTGCAGAGCTAGGGAAGCCAGTAGCCTGATTCAAATGTTGGGCTCCTATTCGCTGCGCTCTGTACAGTGGTACCTCGGTTTTCAAACAGCTTAGTTCACAAACAACTTGGAACCCGAATGCTGCAAAACTGGAAGTCAGTGTTCTGGTTTTCAAACATTTTCTCAGAAGCCGAACGTGCTCCGTTTTGCGTCCCCCCTGTGTTTCCTGTTGCGCTGCTAATTTTCATCCCCCCCATTCTAAATCAAGCCATCCGTTTCCGATTGCAGTGCTGTAAGGTGATATTTGGAGCTTATATTTGGTGCTTTTGCTTTGCTATTCATTTAGCGTTTTTTGTTTTGAGGCTTTTTCAGTTAATTTGTTTTTGTGACTGTGTGGATCCCAGTTCAGCTATTCATTGATTGATTGATTGATTGATTGATTGTGTGGCTGCAGAAATGGATAAAAGCCCCCCATCCAAACAGTGACTATCATCAGTGCAGGTAAGGGGAAAAAATTAATTTTAATTTTTATCATCTACCATATTGTTTTATTTATTTTATAGTACAGTACATTGGTTATTGCTTTCATTTTATGGATGAATGGTCTCGTTAGATAGTAAATTCATGTTAAATTGCTGTTTTAGGGGTTGTTTTTAAAAGTCTGGAACGGATTAATCAGTTTTGCATTACTTTCTTGGTTTTGGAATGCTTTGGTTTTGGAACAGACTTCCAGAATGGATTAAGTTTGAGAACCAAGGTACCACTGTATTCTCATCCCTCCCGCCACCTGCCAATCAGCACAGACAGCACCAAGTCAGATGCACTAAGAGCTTGACGAGGCAACAGGCGAACTGCATCTGAAGGATTGATGGCATGCTTGGACCACCATTCTATAGGATCCCAGGGTATGTGAAAATGACAGGTGCTAAACCTCAAAATATAAAGATCAATAGGAGTATAGCATCTAGATGAAGGGAAGTAATAGTGCCACTGTATTCTGCTCTGGTCAGACCTCACCTGGAGTACTGTGTCCAGTTCTGGGCACCACAGTTCAAGAAGGACACTGACAAACTGGAACGTGTCCAGAGGAGGGCAATCAAAATGGTCAAAGGCCTGGAAACGATGCCTTATGAGGAACGGCTAAGGGGGCTGGGCATGTTTAGCCTGGAGAAGAGGAGGTTAAGGGGTGATATGATAGCCATGTTCAAATATATAAAAGGATGTCACATAGAGGAGGGAGAAAGGTTGTTTTCTGCTGCTCCAGAGAAGCGGTCACGGAGCAATGGATCCAAACTACAAGAAAGAAGATTCCACCTAAACATTAGGAAGAACTTCCTGACAGTAAGAGCTGTTGGACAGTGGAATTTGCTGCCAAGGAGTGTGGTGGAGTCTCCTTCTTTGGAGGTCTTTAAGCAGAGGCTTGACAACCATATGTCAGGAGTGCTCTGATGGTGTTTCCTGCTTGGCAGGGGGTTGGACTCGATGGCCCTTGTGGTCTCTTCCAGCTCTATGATTCTATGATTCTAACGCAGCATCCAAATGTTAAACTGTCTCTGGCTATGCCCAAACCCTTCACAGGCATACCACATCACATGTGTCTCCTGCTCTCACCTTCTTCACAGACCGGCTGCCCCCGTACTCCTCCAGCTGTTGACGGAAACCTGGGTTGGGATTGGCGACGGGCCGGGCTGCCTTGACGGCCTCCAGGGCGTCGTGCCAGTTCAGCTGTGTCACGGCCATGACGTACGCGAGGACGATGGTGGTGCTGCGGGAGATCCCTGCGAGGCTGGAGGCAGACGGAGAAGCCATCAGAAACCTCTGCCTCCCCTCCTGGCCTGTCGCAAGGCCCTCTGCCTGCATTCCTACCCACCAACAAACGCGAAGCCACGCTTGGGACCTTCTCGTGGGGTTGTTATTGGGGGACAGCCAGCCTCCTGGAACCAACATGCTTAAGTCTGATCAGTGCATGAAGGGGTTAAAGCCATAGAGTCAGCTGTCCTGCCAGGCTCAGCTAGGTCACTCCCCCACTCCTTGGGAGGAAAGTAATCAAGCCTGTTGTTCTCCTTCCCATCTACCTGAGAAGCTCAGCGTGTGAAGAGGCTAAGCTGGTTGCTGCAGCTCAGCCGCATGGCTCTTACAAGCCACCCTTGCGTTCCTATACCAATAATTTAGGGACTTTCACCACCGTAACAAAGCCAAGTTTGACCACCTGTGTTTTCTGACGGCTGTGTGGGAAAGCACATGAATCTGACCTTTGGAGAGTTTGTAAGTAAACCGTTTTTAACTTACCAAACGTCTGGTCTTTTCCTACGATGGGGGAAGAGGGGACTGTCTTGGAAGTCACATATTTTAATGGTCTGACAGCCTAGATTTCCACACTTTACTTGCTGCATGATTTGTGATTTTAAATCTCTGCTGGGGTTCTCTGGCCAAAGAGCACTTCCCTAAAGCCCGGATCTTGGCATCCAGGCTTTTTAAACCTATTTTTCCTTGGCAACCAAAAATCATGGAGCATGAACCTCACTTCTAGAAACCCTGGACCTCAAGGCAGCATTAGAGGATCCCTGGCAGGGATATGGCTCAGTGTGACAGGAAGGCAAATGGTGAGGGACACCCTTTCTGAAGAACATAAGAAGAGTCCCAGTGGGACAGAAAGGGGGGGGCAGGGAAACAGAAGGGCAAGGACTGGTACATGTGCTGCAGGTGGGCAAGACAGAATGGCTCTGTTACCCACCCCCCGCCCCCCAGAAGCCTTCATCCTCCTGGTGCCCTCCAGGTGAGCAAATACGTCAATTTTGCTTTCTCATCTTTTGGGACAAGTTACATCCCCACATTTCCATATCGGTTTGTAAAGTGGACGCTCGGGTTGCGAACATGATCCGTGCGGGATACACGTTCGCAACCCGCAGCATTTGCAGCCTGCAGCGCCGCATCTGCGCATGCACGGTTGCGATTCAGCGCGCATGCGCAAAGCGCAATTTAGCGCATCTGCGCATGCGCGACCACTGAAACCCAGAAGTAACCCGTTCCAGCACTTCCGGGTTTCGGCGGGTCCGTAACCCAAAAAAACGCAACCTGAAGCATCTCTAACCTGAGGTATGACTGTAATTCTTTCTTTAATTTTTTTTTTAAAAATCCTCATGGAAATTCTCCAGCATTTTAATGCAAATTCTTCTAATATGCAGTTTTAAAATGCAATTTTCCCCAACATGCATTTTTTTTTTTTGCAAATAAAATTTCCCCAATATGCATTCTTGTATTATATTTTTTCACTAATATATGCAGTTATATGCACAATTTACTGTATGTGCAATTTTAGTACACATCGCTGAAATGTGCAAAATCTGGAGAAGTGTCCATTTCAAAGGATGGCTATTATTCCCATTTGCCAAACGTTTCAAAAAGTGCAGAAAGTGCTGAGTTGGACTCCAACTCCCATCAGCCCCAGCCAACATAACCCAGTGCCCAGTGATGATGGGAGTTGTAGTCCAGCAACATCTGGCAAATCATAGTAGGCTGTGCAGGCGTCCTGTTTCTCCCAGGGACCCACCAGGTGCCCCCCGCCAGAAAGCCCACAAGAGCCGAGTGAAACAACCCCCCAAAAAAGTCAACATACCAGTGAACAAGGCAGTTCCCTCCATGCAGGCGACAGGAATGGATGAAATGGATACATTTCTTGAAGTGCTTCTTGCTAGAAGGACGAAAACAAAGCCAAAACAGGGTTCAATGCCAGGGAGCCAGATTTCAAGAGCAGACTCTGTACAAGCTTAGCCCCAAAAGACCATGGGACGGAATAGAATCAGAGACTTGTCCCCATGGATCATCTAGTCCAACTTCCTGCAGTGCAGGAATAACTCTGACTAGTTCTCAAAAGTTAAAGCTATGGTTTTCCCAGTAGTGATGTATGGAAGTGAGAGCTGGACCATCAAGAAGGCTGATCGCCGAAGAATTGATGCTTTTGAATTCTGGTGCTGGAGGAGACTCTTGAGAGTCCCATGGACTGCAAGAAGATCAAACCTCTCCATTGTTAAGGAAATCAGCCCTGAGTGGTCACTGGAAGGACAGATCCTGAAGCTGAGGCTCCAATACTTTGGCCACCTCATGAGAAGAGAAGACTCCCTGGAAAAGACCCTGATGTTGGGAAAGATGGAGGGCACAAGGAGAAGGGGACGACAGAGGACGAGATGGTTGGACAGTGTTCTCGAAGCTACCAGCATGAGTTTGACCAAACTGCGGGAGGCAGTGGAAGCAGGAGTGCTTGGCGTGCTCTGGTCCAGGGGGTCACAAAGAGTCGGACACGACTAAACGACTAAACAACTAAACAACAACAAGCTCTCAAAAAATAGCTCTTACTATGCCCCATCACCCCACATGGAACTTCTTCTCTGCCCCTCTCCTTCCCTCAAGGTTTGGAGCTGAAGCGTTTCAGCTTGAAGCCGCACTTTCAGTCAAAACAGAACCAAAACTTCCTGACCTGGTTTTTGCTTCTTGCGCAAACTCAAAACTTGCAGGACTGGAGTGAAGCGATACCGTCGAGATCTTCCTCCAGGCCATGGGATTATATAAGTGATCGTGTTTACTGGGACTCTGCACGTGGCTGAGCGACAGGTCTGCGGTGTGTTAACATGCGCGTTCCTCAGTGCACCGGTTTCAGTTTTGCAATTGGTGGCGGAGGAGAGAACACAAGCCTGGCCGCGATTGTGCAAAACATGTGGCAGACCCCAACCCAGATTCCCAACATCTCTGACTTCTGTCTCGTAAGGATTCAGTTTCAGTTTATTAATTCGTTTGCTGAAACACTGTTTCTCCCCTTCTTCTCTCAACAGTGGTGCCCTCCCTGAGGAACACCCTCCCATCAGATGTCAAGGAGATAAGTAACTATACAACTTTTAGAAGAGATCTGTTTAGGGAAGTTTTTAAATGTCTGATGTTCTATTATGTTTAACCCAGCCAGGTGGGTGGGGTATAAATAGTAACATTATTATTATTATTTATTATTATTACCGTTACTTACATGTTGGCCTCTGGTGTGTCTGGCAGAGCAATGCGGAGGTAGATGATTCCCTGGAAAAACAAACACCCAATGACTGAGATGAGGCTCCCAGGAGGAAAGGCAGCAGTTCAACAGGTGCAGCGCCTGCCATAAAGTCCCGGGTTCAATCCCCCAAGGCATCTCCAGGTAGGACTGGGAAAGTCCCCTCCCTGAAAGTCTGGGGAGCTGCTGCCAGTCCGTGCAGACAATACTGACCTGAACAGACCAATGACTTGACTCATTAAAAGACAGTTTCCTAGGTTCCCTTGTATCTGGGCTGAGTTCAGGAGGAATTCCAAACATTTTCTTTATATCTCGCTGTGCGGAGCAGGTGGTGATCTAAGGCGGGTTAAACTTTGGGTCTTTTGCATTGCACCCCAGATCTCCTTCTGCCCAATTTAACTGTTCTTTCTTTTTTCTTATAATGCTGATTGGGAGTGGCCATAGGTCCATGGTAGAGCAACACAGAAGCAGCAGAAGTTGAGTTATACAAAGTCAGATCATTGGTCCACTTGACTCTATATTGTCTACACCGACTGGCAGAAGCTCTCTAGGATTTCTCCCCCCTTTTTTAATTATTAATTTTATCAGTATTCTCCACACAACAACAACAACAACATGAAAAATAACAATGCACAAAAACAAGCATACAAAAATATATATCCAAATCTTACAAAATAATAATATAAACACTAAAAGAAAAACATACATTGACTTCCACCAATCCCACAGCACCTCCTTTACCTCTCATTGTGTCTTCCTGTTTTCCTTATCGTCTCTATCCTAGCATCTAGCTATAAATCCCTCTTTCTTATCCTTTCACTTCACAAGGTTATTCCAGACACAGCCAGATTTCTGCCCTCGAACCTTGGCTTTTAAGGTATTCCTTTAGGCACTCCCATTCCTTTTTCACTTCACTTTTGGGTTTTTGTTTTATTATATCTGTCAATTTGGCTAATTCTAAATATTCTGAACGCTTACATAACCACTCGCCCCTAGTGGGTAGCTGATTCCCTTTCCAATACTTAGCCACCAGGATTCTTGCTGCAGACGTCGCGTATAAGAAAAATTTAGTTTTATCTTTTGGAATATCATACCGTATTTTTCGCCCCATAGGACGCACTTTTTCCCCTCCAAAAATGAAGGGGAAATGTGTGTGCGTCCTATGGGGCGAATGCAGGCTTTCGCTGAAGCCTGGAGAGCGAGAGTGCGCACCGACCCCTCTCGCTCTCCAGGCTTCAGGAAGCTATCCGCAAGCCTTGCAAGCCCGGCGGGAGTTCCCGCGGGCTCACAAGGCTTGCGGGCAGCAGCCTGCAGCCCCGGCGAGTGTCCGCAAGCCTTGCGCGCCCGGCAGGAGGTCCCGCCGGGCGCGAGAGGCTTGGGGCGGCAGCCTGCAGCCCGAAGCACGCGGAGCCCTCCGGAGGGTGCCCCGTGCTTGGGGCAGGTGTGCGCAAGGCTTGGGACGGCAGCCGCGGCGGGGGGGGAATAATTTTTTTTTATTCATTTCCCCCCCAAAAAAACGAGGTGCGTCCTATGGGCCGGTGCACCCTATAGGACGAAAAATACAGTAATTTAAAATTCCTAAGAGGATTTCAGATAGGGAATCTGTCTGGAGATTCCGGCAATTGAATTTGGGACCTTTCTGCTTTCAAGCCAGAGGCATTATCACCATGCTATAACTCCAGCCCTAGCAAGTGTATTGAGCTTCGGTAAAAGGAGACTGAGAGGAGATATGATAGCCATCTGCAAATATCTGAAGGGCTGTCACATGCAACCTGCTCTCGAGGTTAAAACCTGGACCAAGGGATTCATGTTACAAGAAAGGAGATTTCAACTAAACAGCAGGAAGAACTTTCTGATGGTAAGGGCTGCTCAACAGTGTCACCGTCTCCCTCAGGAGGTTGTGGGCTCTCTTTCCTTGAAATGCAGATTAAAACTCACACCAACTTTCTAAACTTTAAAGGTAAAGGTAAATTGCACCCCTGACCGTTAGGTCCAATCATGGCCGAATCTGGGGTTGCGGCGCTCATCTCGCTTTATTGGCCGAGGGAGCCGGCGTACAGCTTCCGGGTCATGTGGCCAGCATGACTAAGCCACTTCTGGCGAACCAGAGCAGTGCACAGAAATGCCATTTACCTTCCCGCTGGAGCGGTACCTATTTAACTACTTGCACTTTGACGTGCTTTCGAACTGCTAGGTTGGCAGGAGCAGGAACCGAGCAACGGGAGCTCACCCCATCGCGGGGATTTGAACCACCAACCTTCTGATCAGCAAGTCCTAGGCTCTGTGGTTTAACCCACAGCGCCACCCATGCCCCAAATTCTAAGCTTTAAAGGTAAAGGTACCCCTGACCATTAGGTCCAGTCGTGGCTGACTCTGAGGTTACGGCGCTCATCTTGCTTTATTGGCCGAGGGAGCCGGCGTACAGCTTCTGGATCATGTGGCCAGCATGACTAAGCCGCTTCTGGCGAACCAGAGCAGCGCACGGAAACGCCATTTACCTTCCCGCCAGAGTGGTACCTATTTATCTACTTGCACTTTGACATGCTTTCGAACTGCTAGGTTGGCAGGAGCAGGGACTGAACAACGGGAGCTCAACCCGTCGTGGAGATTCAAACCACCAGCCTTCTGATCAGCAAGCCCTAGGCTCTGTGGTTTAGACCACAGCGTCCCAAATTCTAAACTTTAAGTTTGTCTAAATAAGAATGTTTTTAGCAGGTGCCAAAAAGAGTACGGGGAACATGCCTGTATGATCTCAATAGTGTGCTCCCATACAGCTCCCATGGGATGCGGGTGGCGCTGTGGGTTAAACCACTGAGCCTAAGACTTGCCAATCAGAAGGTTGGCGGTTCGAATCCCCGCAACGGGGTGAGCTCCCGTTGCTCGGTCCCTGCTGCTGTCAACCTAGCAGTTCGAAATCACATCAAAGTGCAAGTAGATAAATAGGTACCATTCCAGCGGGAAGGTAAACGGTGTTTCCATGTGCTGCTCTGGTTCGCCAGAAGCGGCTTAGTCATGCTGGCCACATGACCCGGAAGCTGTACGCCGGCTCCCTCAGCCAATAAAGCGAGATGAGCACCGCAACCCCAGAGTCGGCCACAACTGGACCTAATGCTCAGGGGTCCCTTTACCTTTATACAGCTCCCAAAGGAGGAGGAATTTGTAGTGGATTGGGACCATTGGATTAGATCTGTCTGCTGCTTTACCACCCCCACTGATGTCCAAAATCCACTGTCGAAAGCCACTGCCTCGCATTGTCTCAGAGTAGCGCACTGAAACCCCCTCCCTGCCCTCAATAAAAACCCAGCCCACTCATACCGGAATAAATGGCTGTGCGGATTCATGGATGGAGACGATGTGGGTGATATTGTGCCTGCTCAGCTGGTCGAAGTCTTTGGCATCTAGGATAAAGAGGAGGAGGAACACAGTGTGATTGTTTCAGTCGTCCTTATTTATTACCCAAGCAACTTATGGATGTGCATGCACAAACTGCTGATTGCCTGGCAAACCAGAATATGCAGAATCGCATGCTGAAATCATGTGCGCACTAAGCCCTTGCTTCAGTGCCAGACGACAGCAGAAGAACAAATGCTCAGTCTAACAAATTCTTGGATCCTGAAACAAGGAGAATATTCAGGGCAACCTCTAAACCCGTTCATGCTCAGGGACAATGTGAGCTGCAGTCCAGCAACACCTGAGGGATAGCACAGTCTGTAGAGCAGGATATTCTTCATCTCAGGGTCATGGGTTTGAGCCCCACGTTGGGAAAAGATTCCTGCATTGCAGTGGGTTGGACTAGATGACCCTCAGGGTCCCTTCCAACTGGAAGTCCAAAGATCCCCACACCTCCTCTGAACAATGGCCATCTAATGCTTTTGCCAGAAATAATGACTCAGAGCATTAAACATGCAGTTATGTTTAATCAGGCCTCCAAGTGGACGCCATTGCCATTCTAAGAGAACAAGGGAGATATTCACGGTGAGGTCCAGGGCCTCTTTTTCTAGAAAAATAGCACTGCATTTAAGGGCTTATCCAAACTTTGCTTTCCTCCACTCTTTCCAGGAATGGTCTGAAAACTCTTTTTTTGGCTCCGGAACTTTCCCCACAAAAACCTGCTCTTTAAAGCCCAATTGGTGCAAACAAAAGTCCATGGAAAACCTGAACTGACGTTTGCTCCGATTCAGCTTTAAAGAGCGGGTTCTGTGGGGAAATTTCAGGGGAAAGCTTTGACACGGAGCATTAAAAAGCACAGACATCTGCTGGAAAGAGCAAAACCTAAGTGCGGATAAGCCCTAACATGAGAAAATAAGGATACTGAAAAGCTGGAAGGTGGGCAGAGAAGGGTGACCAAGATGACCAAGGAAAACAAGCCTTAGCAGGAACAGTTGAGGGAGCTGGGTGTGTTTAGCCTGCAGAGGAGAATCAAAGAATTACAGAATTGGAAGGGACGCCCAAGGGTCCTGTAGTCGAACCCCTGCAACACAGGAATCTCATCTAAAGCATCCATGACGGTTGGCCATCTGAAGACCGACAGCTTATATGATAGACATCTTCAGATATCTGGAAAGCTGTTGCATGGAAGATGGAGAAAGCTTGTTTTTCTGCTGCTCTAAAGGGGAGGACCTGAAGCAATGGATTCAAAGGACAAGGAAGGAGATTCTGAAGGGTGCATATAGTATTCTGCTAGAATGGGAAGAAAAGATGAGGAGGTAAAGTCGGTCATGATCAAATGGGCACAAGATATAGGACATGATATACAACTGGAAGATTGGGAAAAATTGTGGAGAATAGATTTAAAATTTACAGACTGTTCTCTTCTGAAAGAAAGTTACCATATTTTTCGCCCCATAGGGCACACCAGCCCATAGGGCGCACCTAGTTTTTTTTTGGGGGGGGGAAATAAAGGGAATTTTATCCCCTTTATTTCCCCCCCAAAACCAGGTCGGGGAATCCAAACCAGGTCGGGGAACAGCGGGATGGCGGCGCTGCGCCTCCCCGCTGTCCCCCGAGCTTGTGGGGTTGCCCGATATCTGCACGAAGCCTGGGGCACGCTGTGCAGCGCGCCCCAGGCTTCGGGATGCAGGCTGCTATCCGCAAGCCTTGGGAGCCCGACGGGAACTCCCGCGGAGATCCCAAGGCTTGCGGATAGCTTCCTGAGGCCTGGAGAGCGAGAGGGGTCGGTGCGCACTCTCGTTCTCCAGGCTTCAGCGAAAGTCTGCATTCGCCCCATAGGACGCACACACATTTCCCCTTCATTTTTGGAGGGGAAAAAGTGCGTCCTATAGGGCGAAAAATACAGTATATGAAAATGATGTATAGATGGTATATAACACCAGTACAGATTGCAAGAATGTATAAAACTGGATCAAACGTATGCTGGAAGTGTAAAGAGAAAGAAGGGAACTTTTACCATATGTGGTGGGAATGTAGAGAAATTTTAAAAAATTGGGAAATGATGTATAATGAGTTGAAGAAAATGTTTAAATTAACATTTGTAAAAAAAACCAGAAGCATTTTTGTTAGGGATTGTAGGAAAAGACCTGCCAAAGAAAAGAAAGAATTTATTTATGTATGTGACAACAGCAGCAAGAGTCTTAATAGCACAAGGATGGAAGAATGAGGAAACCCCGACAAAAGAACAGTGGCAAGAGAAATTGATGGACTATGCAGAATTGGCAAAATTGACATACAGACTGCGAGACAAGGACAACTGTGACTTTAAAGAAGAATGGGAACTTTTTACAAACTACTTTAAAAAAAAACACCAAAATGAATTGGACTCCTTGGCAGGTTTTGAATAAACATACACAAATTTATTGATTGTTAACATACTAGACAGATAAGTTAAGGATCTTTACAATTTCACAATATGCAGAGAATAACATGTGTTGAAAAACCAGAGAGGGGAGCTGAGGGAAAAAGGACAAGGAAGGAGATTCGAACTAAAAATCAGGAAGATCTTTCTGATGGTAGGAGCTGTTTGACAGTGGAATGGACTCTCTAGGAAGGTGAAGGACACTCCTTCCCTGGAGGCTTTGAAGCAGAGGTTGGGTGGCCCTGTGTCAGAGAGTGAGCTCTTCAGCTGAGATTCCTGCACTGCAGGGGATTGGACTAGATGACCACAGGGGAACCCCTTCCAACACTACAGTTCCAGGAATCTATAAGTGAACAGGCAGTCAAGCACAGTCCTTGGGCACCATGTGGCTTACAGGTTTTGAGCTAACCCACCCAAGGACCCACGCTTGCCTGCCTGCCTGCCTGCCTGTGCATTCCCAGGTAGCTGCTTTGGAACGAGTTCCTTTTCACAACACAAACAGGAAAATGCAACTTTCTCCAGAAGTTCCTGGAATTCCAAACGGGCAAGAGAAACGCTCAGGTCTTGAAATGCTCAGGTCTCATTACATAAGTTGGAGTTCTTGTTATTAAATATACCAAGAGAAAAAGAGCACACCAAGAACTCAGACTGTTTTACAATTTATGTAAATTTAGAATCTAAATGTGTTTTCATGTAATATTTTATACTTCCAGCTGATGAAGGTGAATACATCGAAACAGGGCCCTGTCTTGGCTTCTGATCCGTAATTGACTTCTGACTTCTGCTCAATGATTGAAACTAAGACCTTCACGTCAAACCTGACTATGGACCAACATGAAGTTACTGGTTTCTGATCCATAATTGGATATACATATCCTTATGAGTTTGAGTTTGTATCTCTGTTTGAGTTTGTAATCTCTATTTGAGTTTGCAATCCTTGTCAGAATACATACTTTTGAACGGATTAGTTTTTGTTACAATTGACTACTGATTTGCAAGTAGGGACCACTCCCACTATTGAAACTTATAGAGTGGCACCTCAGGTTACATACGCTTCAGGTTACATACACTTCAGGGTACAGACTCCGCTAATCCAGAAACAGTGCTTCAGGTTAAGAACTTTGCTTCAGGATGAGAACAGAAATTGTGCTCTGGCGGCGCGGCAGCAGCAGGAGGCCCCATTAGCTAAAGTGGTGCTTCAGGTTAAGAACAGTTTCAGGTTCAGAACGGACCTCCGGTACGAATTAAGTACTTAACCTGAGGTACCACTGTATTGGACTGAGTTCCTGGTGTGATCTTTTCTCCAGGTTTCGTTACAGGCAGGGTAGGAGCAAACTGGCGATACGCCAGGCCTCCCTTTCCTCCCCGTCCTCCATGACACCCACACTTGACATTCCTTCCAAAGCAAATGCTGAACCCAGCAGATCGTGAAACCAGTGAAAAAAAGACAGCCATGGAGCCAAGAAATTACACAAAACAAAAGAATTGCCGTGAAAATCCCTGAAATGAGAAGTAATCGACTACAGAATTCAATTAAATAACAAAAACCAAAAAATTTAAGGAAAAGTTAACCTAGAATTAAACAAAGACTTAATGAGATGCCGGCTACAAAACTCGTTTAACTGAACTAATCAGTTTCCTCAAAAGGAAATAAGGAAATTATAAACCTTAAATGATTTTAAGTGATATCAAACGAACTCAAGAGCAGGGCTGAAACGCTTCCTTGAGTTTACAAAAAAGGTATAAAAGCCTCAATGACAAGTTTTAAACATAGCCTTATTTAAGAGAACCAAAATGAAGATCATGGCAACTGGTCCCATCACCCCCTGGCAAATAGAAGGGGAAGAAATGGAGGCAGTGAGAGATTTTACTTTCTTGGGCTCCATGATCACTGCAGATGGTGACAGCAGTCACGAAATTAAAAGACACCTGCTTCTGGCGAGAAAAGCAATGGCAAACCTAGACAGCATCTTAAAAAGCAGAGACATCACCTTGCCGCGACAAAGGTCCGTATAGTAAAAACTATGGTTTTCCCAGTAGTGAGGTATGGAAGTGAAAGCTGGACCATAAAGAAGGCTGATCGCCGAAGAATTGATGCTTTTGAATTCTGGTGCTGGAGGAGACTCTTGAGAGTCCCATGGACTGCAAGAAGATCAAACCGATCCATTCTGAAGGAAATCAGCCCTGAGTGCTCACTGGAAGGACAGATCCTGAAGCTGAGGCTCCAAGACTTTGGCCACCTCAGGAGAAGAGAAGACTCCCTGGAAAAGACCCTGATGCTGGCAAAGATGGAGGGCACAAGGAGAAAGGGGACGACAGAGGATGAGATGGTTGGACAGTGTTCTCGCAGCTACCAGCATGAGTATGACCAAACTGCGGGAGGCAGTGGAAGACAGGAGTGCCTGGCGTGCTCTGGTTCAGGGGGTCACGAAGAGTCGGACACGACTAAACGACTAAACAACAACAGGCAGTAATAATAAGAAATTGAGGTTTCAAGTTTCAAACAATCTCAAAAACAGGGCGGAAACTCAAAAACAGGGCTGAAGCGCTCCTGACTGCTGATGGATCAGTCTTTAACATTAGCAGATCGTGGGCAGGCAGGTTGCAGCAACTGTTGCTTCTGCTACTGCTGGGGTGGAGGTCATTTTTCGGTTTGGGGGCCACATCTCCTCCCAGGCAGCTTCCTAGGGGCCACCACATCCAAGGGGTGGGAGGAGCCATGGGGGAAGTGAGCGGGGGCAGGAGGCAACAGCAGGTGGGACCCTAAGTTGCAATCCAGCCTTGTCAAAAGGGCTCTGTACCAAATCCCTTCTCTCCAACACCCGGGAAGCCTTATTAAAGTCTTGGAGGATGGATTCAAGCCAAGCAAAAGCACCCAATTTTTTTTATATGCGATAACTGCAGCAAGGATATTGTTAGCCCAGAGTTGGAAGCAAGAAGGAATGCCAATTAAATAAGAGTGGCAAGAGAAATTGATGAACTATGCTGAGATGGCGAGATTCACCGGGAAAATTTGGAACCGGCAACACCAGATTTTGCTAAAGGAATGGAAGAAGTTTTGTAGATGCAGTGGTACCTCGGGTTACATACGCTTCAGGTTACAGACTCTGCTAACTCAGAAATAGTACCTCAGGTTAAGAACTTTGCTTCAGGATGAGAACAGAAATCGTGCTCTGGCAGCAGGAGACCCCATTAGCTAAAGTGGTGCTTCAGGTTAAGAACAGTTTCAGATTAAGAACGGACCTCTGGAACAAATTAAGTACTTAACCTGAGGTACCACTGTATTTGGAAAGCAATTGCAATCAATTGACACCACTTGTAGGGTTAAAATAAGTTTTGTAAGGAGTAATATAGAAATTATTGTGAAAAGAATTAAGTTTAGGTATTAAGATTTGGATTTATGGCAATAACTGTAGTAACAAAATGCATAATTAGAAAGGATTTTAGAAAACCACCAGTTGAGGCTGAAGGAAGTCTTAGGCTGTGATAGTCAAAGATTTTGAAATGATGTTTAAAAGGATGATATGCTGGAAAATATGTGGAAAAACCAATAAAAAATTATTATATATATATTTTAAGAAAGTACCCAAGGGAGGTACTGAACAGGGCCAGGAAAGTCCTCACCTGGCAGAGAGGCCTGTGGACATTTGGCCCACAGACTCAAGATTCCCTACCCCTGTACCACAGAATCAGAAAATCAGGGTTGAAAGGGACACCGGGGGATCATCTAGTCCAACCCCCTGGAATGCAGGAATATGCAGCTCTCCCTTACGAGGATCGAACCTGCAACCTTGGCGGTATGAGCACTGCACTCTAACCAATGGAGCCATCTGTCATGGAGGCTTTAGCTGAGATTCCTACATTGCCGGGGGTTGGACTAGATGACCCACGGGGTCCCTTCCAACTCTAGAATTCCATGATTCTATTATCTGTCTAACATTTTACTCAGCAGTTTTTCCTGCTGACACGCTAAAGGAAACACCAATCCAGAATAAGTATTTGCTTCTCTCCCCGCTGCCCCAGGCATGTTTCAAAGGTCAGGACAACAGGCAGAGATGCAAATGGCGAAGTCTTCCCTGCCCTGAAAATGCAGCCACAGGGAAAGCCGCAGCTGGCCTCTCTGGGCCTGCCAGGCATGGACTGGGCTAAGACAGGCACAGGATCCCCACCAAGGTTCACAGCAGAATCCAAAAGAAACACAGGCCTCTATTATTCCTCCCAGGATCTGCAGCACGCCCATTTTTCAGACGACTCACCTACGAAGTTGCCGAGGAAAAGCCCAGGGAGAATCTGTTGGACACAAAAAGGAAAGTTGCTGTCAGTTGCAGCAGCTCTGAAGGATTTCTGGCAGGAGTTTCTCCCAACCCTTCCTGGAGGGGGTTGAACCTGAGAGCTTCTGCTTGCAAGGGAAAGGCTCTGAGTGCGCGCCATAAACATTTATTAATTTAAATACTTTTATTTTGCTTTAAACAAATACACATAAATATAGACAACCAAAATGACAAAAGAAAATTCCTTAATAGTAACAATAATAATGAAAAAAGTTAAAAAAACCTACACAAAATATCAAAGTACATGGCATAAAACATAAGCCATTATGGAAAAGGAAAAAAGAAAAAGGAAAGAAGAAGAAGGATGGGGGAAAAAGGAAAGGAAAAGGAAAAAGGGGGGGGAGAAGGAGGGGGAAAAGGGGGGGAGTAAGATGAGCCAAAACACAGGAAGACTCATCTTTTGTACTATAAACATTTAAAGCACATGACTTTCCCTATGGACTCCTGGGGCGATAGTTTGTTAAGGGTGCTGGGAACTGTAGCTCTTTGATGGGTAAATTACAGTGCCCATAGGCAAAGTGAAGCGATGCAAACACAGAACAACTTCTTCTTCTTCTTCATATTCTTTTTATTTCTTTTCATGGTACAGAGGCTTTCCCCAGGCAGTTGGAGGTTTCTCTGAATTCTGACTAGGGTTGCCAGACCTTCAGGTCCGACCTGAAGTTCAGGTTAACCTGGCCCTCTCCAGCTGGCAGGTGGAGGACTTGAATATCGGTGTCAGCAAGTGTGCTTTTAATTTTAAAAGAAACTTTTTACCTTTGCATGCAACTTTGAAGCTTTAGCCTAGCAGGAGCTGGCTGCAAAATATAGGATAGACACTTGAGGGGCGGGGTCCTGCGTTCCTCCCCTCCCCTGTCCCAATTAACTTCCGTCTCCAGGGGCCACCCCTGTGACATCGCCAGAACCCGCCCTTAAGTCTCAGGTTTGAGCCCTGAAATTTCAGTGCCTGGGATGCGCTGGATGTGGCAACTCTGACAACATTCAGGCTCTGTGGGGCTTCATTCAGTGTGTGAGTGCCCTGAAACATAAGCACTCATGCCTCTTCCTTTTCCTTTCTCTGTGGTTCAAAGGCACCTGATCTCTCCAGGGCTGTTGGTTTCACACATCTCTGCATAGCTGTCAACTTACAGATTTGAAAATAAGGGACCAGCAGCCTCAGAAATAAGGGATCAGCAGCCAAAATAAGGGATTTTCATAGCACAGGTATGTTCAACTTCTGAGCCCCTCCCAGCCAAAGTCAGAAAGCCCAGCCAGCAGCCAAACGAAGCCTCAAGCGGTGGTTCCCACAGCGCAGCAACCCGGCAAAGGGGATGCAGCAAGGAAAACCACCGTCACCTCTCCACTGGGAAGCGCTGAGCAAAGGCGAGTTCCCAGGCAAGGCGGCTGACTTGATCAGCACAAGGCATGCAAGCTCCACCCCCCAGTGGTTCTTAGACTCCTTATTGGGTGAGCATTGCAGCCAAGCAACACAGTTGGAGCCTCCCTCCTCCCTGGCCAGCAGGGAGGGAAGGAGAGGAGCTGCTTCCTTTGAAACCCAGGAAATTTGAGGGACATCATCAATAAGGGACAGCAGCGGGGATAAGGGAGTTTCTCGCCAAATAAGGGACGGTTGACAGCTATGCATCTCTGTTTGCTGTGCTGCCAAAGTGCTGAACTGAGATTTGAGGGAAGCTGCAGGGCCTGGCAAGCTCTTAGGAAGTGTGAGGGGTTGAAAGATCTGAGAAATCGGGAGCCTCCTATCGGCTCCGCTGGAATAATTCTGATTTCCTGGTGTTTGCTGGGTTTGGCCAACACCCCTTTGCAAACCTGCCACAGTTGCTACCTCCATCACCATTGACCACAGACCAAGACCACTATTGATGGGCAGCGAACGCCGAAGCACCCTGGAGGGTCCTTTGCAAGCTCTGGATGGCCCTTTGACATCCCAATTTAAGGACGTCAAAGCACAAAGTAACTCGACATTGTGACACCAGGTGGTTGGTAAAGGAGCAGCCTCGCCCACCTTTCAAATCAGGTTGAGGAGGATAGGATCTAGCTTACAGAAACAAAAAGGGTTTTCCACAAGCTGCACTACAGCATACAGAATAGGCACCATGTGCCCTCTATTCTGTAAGCTCCAGCACCTCTTTGACGATAAGAGTCATCCATAATACCATCTATTCCTCTTGGGAATGTGTGCCCAATAATGGCATTAAGGGGAAATGAATAGGGAAACCTCAAAGCTATATTGGTTTCATACCTGCCCACAGACTGTCTCGCCAGAGTGGTGCATGCTCTGGTTATCTCCCGCTTGGACTACTGCAATGCGCTCTATGTGGGGCTACCTTTGAAGGTGACCCAGAAACTATAACTAATCCAGAATGCGGCAGCTAGATTGGTGACTGGGAGCGGCCACCGAGACCATATAACACATGTCTTGAAAGACCTACACTGGCTCCCAGTACGTTTCCGAGCTCAATTCAAAGTGTTGGTGCCGACCTTTAAGGTCCTAAATGGCCTTGGTCCAGTATACCTGAAGGAGCATCTCCACCTCCATCGTTCTGCCCGGACACTGAGGTCCAGCACCGAGGGCCTTCTGGCGGTTCCCTCATTGCGAGAAGCCAAGTTACAGGGAACCAGGCAGAGGGCCTTCTCGGTGGTGGTGCCTGACCTGTGGAACGCCCTCCCTTCAGATGTGAAGGAAATAAGCAGCTATCTTCTCTTTAAAAGACATCTAAAGGCAGCCTGTTTAGGGAAGCTTTTAATGTTTAATAGATTATTGTATATTAATATTCTGTTGGAAGCCGCCCAGAGTGGCTGGGGAAACATAGCCAGATGGGCTGGGTATAAATAATAAAATATTATTATTATTATTATTATTATTATTATTATTATTATTATTCCCGTTCTCAATGAATCCTGGGAGGAAGGGCTGTGGAATCACCCCACTAAGGCTCCTTGTGGGATGGCAGCTTCCTGGAGAATAGGAAGGCATATCCGTTAAACCAGTTTAGTTCTGCAACGGAGGCAGAATTCTGTCGCATTCTCAAGACAGAGATGGTTGGCAAGCTGGGTGGTTGGGCGTTAAGGTTGGGTTGCCTGCTTTAGACAGAAGCACAAAAAAACAACCTCTGCACATTGGGAGTGCTCTTTGATCTCTCCTTGCTGTTGGATTCCCAGGGGGACATAATAAGAGCCCGCTAGTCCAGCATCCTGTTCTCACGGTGGCTGGCTGAGCAGTTGGCTGTGGGAAACTGGCATGCAGGATTCGAACACAGGAGCAGCTCTCTGCTCCTGCAGTTTCCAGCAGCTGGCATTCAGAGGCATTGCTGGCCAGCAGCCATCAACAGCCCCCTCCTCCCTGAAGGAAACAGTGGCAAAAGACACCTGGTGAGCAGTTTGGGCTTGTGAGCTGACTGCAACCTTTCCTTTCAAGCCACATCCTTGCTACCGTCACCTGTGCACTGGTAACTTTGTACCAGTAGAGCAGTTGCTGATCCCGGCCCTACCATTGGACAATGTGAGGGGATCACAGCTGCAGCCCCTAGCTGCCCCTCCTAAGCCCCCTGGCCATTGTCCTCTGTGGGACTTGACATCTTTCCGCAGGGCCTGCAAGACAGAGCTGTTCCGCCTGGCCTTTGGTTTGGACTCAGTCTGACCCTTATGTTTCCCTCCCCTTATGGTCTTGATTTATTGGCTACTTTTAAAATGAGGCTGCATTTTAAATTGCATTTTAACCTGTATTAGAAATTGTTTCTCTCCCTCCCCCCCCATTATGTTTTTATTGTAATTTTACTGGTGTTAGCCGCCCTGAGCCCAGCTCTGGCCTGGGAGGGCTGGGTATAAATAAAATGTATTATTATTTATTTTTTATTATTATGTTTAAGAAATTAATTCTGCCTACACTTTGGAACTCCCTGCCTCATGACACCAATCAGGCACCTACTCTGCACTCTTTCCAGTGCCTGATAAAAACATTCTTGCTTAGCTAAGCCTACACAGACATGAAGGTGTATGTTTTAATCTACTTTTAGTTTATTGCTGTTTTTATCTTTTGACTGTTTCTGCTGATAAGTTTATTGTTTCATTCTCTTTGTGAGTCGCTTTGAGGGTTTCCCCCTCTAATCACGTGGTGGGAGACAGCTGCACCATCGCTAGGTGTGTCAAATTCAAAGATCCAACTGCTAGTCCAGCTGGCATCTGTGTCTGCTGTGGGGAGGGGTGACCATGTTGTCCTCCCTCTCAAGTGGCAAAAATGTCTGGGGCCCACCCTGAGGGCTGGGGTGTGTCCCTTAAATCAGAGGAGGTTCATTGTGGCAATAATAATAATAATAATAATATGCCGCTCATCTGACTGGGTGACCCCTGTCACTTTGGGTGGCTTCCAATGAATTAAAAGCTTTGTGAAACATCTCTGGGACGTGGAGCTGGTGGCACTATGGATATTGCTGAACTCTTATCATCCCTGACAGGGGCTGGTAAGAGATAGACCCCAGCTATACTTGTTTATTCCATTTCCCAAGATTTATAAACCCCTTACGTACAAAATCTCAAAGTGGTTTAAAAATCACAGTTAAAAACAACTATTTAAAACATTCAAATAAGTAAATAAATACTTGGGCAGCCCTTGTCCCCCCCCGCCCCCCGCTTGAAACAAACCCTCTTTCTCAGCCTTGCCCCCCAGGCTGGTGCCCTCCAGAGCCTAGAACCCCCACCAGGCCTTGCCAGCCACAAAGGGACACTCCGTAGCAGCTTTGCCCAATCGCATTCACAGATAAAGTTTCCTCTACACATCATTAGTCATACCTTGTTCATGCCATTGCCCATGGTCCAAAACACACTCTAGGCAGAGAGCAGAAGTTGTCCCGGTGTGTGTGTGTGTGATTCTCTTCCACAAAATCCCCAGCAATAGGTATGGAGCAGGGGGCGAGGTTTTTCTCTCGCTAGGCCTGGCAGAGTTCCCCACTGCCTCCCTTCACTTTTAGGACCAGGCAGGAGGTGGAAAGGATCTCTCCAAGGTGACAGTTCTGCTTGCCCCTTGGGGAGCCGATAAATCAGCTGCAGACCTGCTGCAAACGCCCGGCCTCTTTCTCCTTTCCTCCAAGATGGCAAAGACGCTACTCCTGGAAATGCCCTTTTCCTGGCCGCCTCCTGTGGCTGGCACGCTGACAGTAGAGGATAAACTCCACCTCTTTCGTAATCGTGTGTGTGTGTGTGTGTGTGTGTGTGTGTGCGTGTGCCAAGGGCAGGCGGTGCTGCTGCTGCTGCTGCTGCTCCACCGCCGGGACAAAGCTCCAGTGTTCAGAGAGAACAAAACCTTTAGTCTCCCTGGCTCTGTGACAAGCCAGGGCTGTTGGGGCATGCAGGGGAGATGCGCCTCCCTGCCTCGGAAGAAGGGTGGCCGGTGCGCAATTACGCAGCAGCCTGCCGCTTCTCTGCTCAGTTCCCGGGACATCCCTGCAAAAAAGCAACAACGCTTTCTGGGGAGCTGTCCCAGCAGCACACAGGCCTCTGGATCGTGGGTGAACATGGCAGGCCTCCTCTAGTGTAATGTTGCGCAGTAAGGCAGGCAGAAGGCTGCTTGGGATCTACAACTCGAAATCTGTGATTCACTCCAGCAGCAGAGAGTGTGGGAGGCCGGCAGAATGCAATGTTCCCGGCGCGGAATGTACGAGCGCAGGGCCGCCTGCCTGCCGCAGATCGAGTTACATGTCCCTTTACGAAAATAGAGTGGGCAAAGCACGAGGCCACTTTAGCTGGGCGGAGAGAGAGACCTCTCCGGAGCGATCGCCGGGGTTTCCTATTGGTTTAGGAGGAGGAAGAGCAACAACGGAGTAAAATGGGATCGCGTGTGGCTGGCTCTGCCTGTATTTTTATTTTTTTAATTCTATCTTTATTAATTTAAAATAAATACATTTATGAAAAACAGACGTACATACAAGTAAACAAACATACAATCAAACAAGTAACAGAAAAATCAAACCACCACACTATAAGATATAAGAAGATTAATATAATTATCATCATACACACTCCTGGTATTGAACACAATTATAAAATTTATAGGGAAAAAATTTAAACTGACTTCCAATTAATCTCACTGTACTTTATCCATTACTTTATACCGCACAGTTACATATTTCTTATATAATTTCTTTTTACCTCCCTACAAACTTATATTTATACAATACAGGGATCAGTCTAATTCTGCCAAAATGTTTCCTTTTATTCCACAGTTTTCTAAATATTCTTTAAAGATTCTCCAATCCTTATAGGCTGGCTGGCTCTGCCTTTAAAGCTGCAGAACGACACCACCCTCACGAATTGTATTGATGGGAGCGAGTAAGCGCATCAGAAGAGCTTGCTGCCCCAAAGTTAGCTCAGGTGGTTAGAGGGTGGTGCTGATAATGCCAAGGTCCAGGGTTCAGTTCCTATGTGGGCCACCTGCATATTCCTACCTTGCAGGGGGTTGGACAGGATGACCCTCTGGGTCCCTTCCAACTCTACAACTCTGTGATTCTATTCTCACAGTGGTTGAAACCAGATGTCCTCAAATGGGAAGCCTGCAGACAGGAGAAATGTAAAGTATTGCACGTGGGCAAAAAAAAAATGAGAGGCACAAATACAAGATGGGTGACCCCTGGCTTGAGAGCAGTACATGTGAAAAGGATCTAGGAGTCTTGGTTGACCACACACTTGACATGAGCCAACAGTGTGACGTGGCAGCTAAAAAAGCCAATGCAATTCTGGGCTGCATCAATAGGAGTATAGCATCTAGATCAAGGGAAGTAATAGTGCCACTGTATTCTGCTCTGGTCAGACCTCACCTGGAGTACTGTGTCCAGTTCTGGGCACCACAGTTCAAGAAGGACACTGACAAACTGGAACGTGTCCAGAGGAGGGCAACCAAAATGGTCAAAGGCCTGGAAACGATGCCTTATGAGGAACGGCTAAGGGAGCTGGGCATGAAGTTTGGGTGTCTGAAGATGACAGGGTGTGGCTTCTCCTCTGCCCTAACCCAGAAATCTTGATCTTGCTGACCTGGTGTTCACCTGGGTGCCTCCCTTGGCAATTGCATCACCAAGGAGCTATGCAAGGAGCCAACATCTTCACTGTCAGAGGCCCTGGAGACCGGTTCTTGCCCTTGTCTGGCTGCCTGGCCCAGCCAAGCCTCATCCGTTCCTGCTTTTCCAGCTTGGATTGTTGGATAACTTTGCCATTTGTTGTTCCTCTCTCCAGCATCCATCTTTTGGTTTCTAGGTTTCCTTGATCATCTCTGGCACACAAAGGCTAAAAACCCCAGTGGTTCACTTGGAAGGCCTTGCCGAGTCAAAACTTTTTTTTTTTTTTAAGTAATTTTATAAGTTGTGTGCCCTTGTTTCTCAGTCTGATCCTTTTACATGGTTTTGTACGTTTTGTGGTATTTTATGCATTGTGATTTGTTGTTATTTTTATTGATTATAGATTAACAATTCTTTATTGTAATTGATAAGTGTTTAATTGTTATCTGCTGGTGTTTAATTTTACTGTTTGCTATTGGGTTCTAATGGATTATTGCTTTATTTGATATAAATTGTTTATTTTAAAATTATTGTGACTTTTTATATTGGATTAGATGGTTATTATTAATGTGTGAAGTTTTTATTTTTTTATGTGTGTTTGAAGCTGCCCAGATGCGTGGGATATAAATATAATAATAATAATAATAATAATAATAATAATAATAATAATTACATCAGTCATGAACTGCCATCTCCAATATGCAGTTGACAATACTGACCTACCTTACAGGGCTCTTTTAAGGAGTTGCCAAGGTTGTGGTTGTCAGCGCTTGTGGGTTTTCAGATACTTGGCGCACAAGCATCCAAATTAAGCGCTCCTTAACTTTTCCTCATAGCTCAGTCGGTAGAGCAGGAGACTCATAATCTCAGGGTCCTCGAATCGAGCCCCATGTTGGGCTAAAGATTCCTGCATTTCAGGGGGTTGGACTAGATGACCTGTCATCTCTGCGATTCTAAGTGCAACCTGACGCTCTGCCTGTTTACTCAGAAGCAAGCCCTATCAAGGAAGTAGAGCTTCCTCTCAGGTTAGTTTGTGTAGACATTGTTAACGGAGAAATCCGAGGGCTCCCTTGGACAAAAAGAAAAAAAAAACACCAACCAGGAATATTAGAGCAAAACAGCAGCCAGTAGGCTTGGTCTTTATTGAAACTGTCGCGACAGGACTCCAACTCACAACAAGGTGAAGCAAGATGGAAGCCCCGAACAAAAAAGCCCCCAAACTTTTATTAGCTGCTCATCCCCATGTTACACCCCCCAAACTACATCACTAATACATCACGGTTATATCAGGAAAGGGGAGGTCTGGTGGCAGGAATCTGAGCATCCTGGACCCTGCCCCCTGGTTCTCCTTCACCCATCAAGTGTAACAAAAAAGATATTTACATTTCCCTGTTTCCCAGCCAAGTTAATCACACCCTTTTGTCTTCATCTGGGTTTGTTATTTCTGGAATGGCTACCTGTCTGGCACTCAGGTACCAGGATGCCAGGGATTATCACTCAGGCAGAGGGGCTGCTGAGTAGCTGAGCTCACATGTCTAGATGAATTTCTGAAGTTTTCCCAGTGAGCCAGTACATAGATTCATTTATCAGTGAATTCTTACATTTGGTATCGTGCAGCAGAGGCCCTTTGAATAGATAGGAAGAAACTGTGACCAAGTGTTTTGTGGGGACAAATCACAAAAGTCACAAAAGCGATTGTGCTGGTTTTGGCAGTGGGCTGCATGTGCAGGATATCTGGAGGGGCAAACCCCACCACCACCCTATACATAAATTCCTGCAACAACTTCCAGGAGCCTAAAGGTGCCCAACTTGCTTGGCATTTATTCATTGCATATTATCTCGGAGCGTACATCCTATTTTGTCCCTACGATGACCCACTCAGTCAGGCTCAGCTGAGAAACGGTGACTAAGGCACCTTGTCTCCAGCGTTGGCTTTTAGGCACTCTTCCAATGCAAACCCCTTGTGTTTCGGCAAACCGCTTAGGGATTTTATTTCCAGCTCGGCAATATGCAAAACAACAGCAATAACCTAAAAACAATAAGGAGGAGGAGGAACAGATGCCTTGCTCGGGGCTCAATCCTGCCTCCATCCCGTCGCCTCTCGGATCTCCCCCAGGAATGCCGCGTAGGCGGGCGGGGTGGCTGCAGCGCCGAGGCGAAAAGCACTCCAGGTATGCTCAGAGGCACTCTTGCCCCGCTGCGCTCCACCAGCTGCCGAGCTCTGCCCAGTTTCAAGGCACGTTCCGGGGCTCAGCCCTGCCTGCGATTAGTAGTCCCCCCCAAAGCAAGGACTCGGCGCCTCCCCCTCCTCTCCATTCATGCCTTGCCCGTCCCAGCTCAGGCCCCGCCCACCAGCCTCGAGCCCCGCCCCGGTTGCCGTGGGAACGGGACGCGCCGGATGGCGGCGGAGGCGGCTCTGGGCTGATTCCCCCTCCGGAGCAGAAAGAGGAGCGCCATGGCCAAGAACAAGGTGGGCGGCGGGAGGGATGAATGGGTTGGTGCTGGGGGGGGGGGGACCGCTAGGTGGGGAGGTGGACACTGGGTGGGAGGGAGCATTAAGGTGGGGAGGGGAGTAGATGGTTAGGGTACCTCCATATGGTCTTGTGACATTTCCAAGGAAGTAACTTTCACGTTTAGGTATGCGCCCTCCAGCTTTGCACAGGTGTAAATCGGGACATGATTCTGACACCCCAGCTGTCGCGTGTAAGAGGATATTGTAGAGCCCAGCGCTTTGCTGTAGGCTCTCCTCCTGCACGATTAAAGGTAAAGGTAAAGGGACCCCTGACCATTAGGTCCAGTCGTGGCCGACTCTGGGGTTGCGGTGCTCATCTTGCTTTATTGGCCGAGGGAGCCGGCGTACAGCTTCCGGGTCATGTGGCCAGCATGACTAAGCCGCTTGTGGCGAACCAGAGCAGCGCACGGAAACGCCGTTTACCTTCCTGCCGGAGAGGTACCTATTTATCTACTTGCACTTTGACGTGCTTTCGAATGGCTAGGTTGGCAGGAGCAGGGGCCGAGCAACGGGAGCTCACCCCGTCGCGGGGATTCAAACCCCCGACCTTCTGATCGGCAAGTCCTAGGCTCTGCAATACCCTTTAGTCTAAGGTTACCAGATGTCCATGTTTCCCGTGCACAGTCCCCGTATTTACAGCTTTCTTAGCATTCACATGTACACAGCAAACAATAAGTGTCCCCGGATTCATTGAAAAAAATCTGGTAACCTTACTTTAGTCCACTTCTTTAACAGCTACACGAGAAAAACCTACTGGGAAAAGCAGGGGTGGCCTACAATATCCCATAATAATGTGTTCTCAGGGGTTCTCAGAGAATATGCCTTGGCAGTAGCTGTAGTATCCAAAACAGCAGGCAGCCTGCTGCGTGGCGCCTTCTTAGCATCAAATCAGACAAGCCATGGGAGGCCGGCGGTCAGGACCTCCTGCAGTTTTTCTTAAAATATTAATGGCAGCCACCGAGAGCGGAGGGTGGGGGGGCGAGTGGGCGAGGAGCCATGGTTCTCCTATGCTCTTTTCTCAGCTCAGATTACACTACCACCCCCAACCTGCTGTTTCCCCCAAAATATTCCTGCAAGTTTCCCCCCCGCAGGCCAGACAGCATATCTGAAGGAGGAGGGTAGTTTGCAAACGGAAAATGGTTTAGTGGGGAAAGTTGAATCCCTCTTTCACCAGCATTGTGGCTCTGGGGTCCCTTCCAGCTCTTGTTGTTGTTGTTTAGTCGTGTCCGACTCTTCGTGACCCCCTGGACCAGAGCACACCAGGCACTCCTATCTTCCACTGCCTCCCGCAGTTTGGTCAGACTCATGTTTGTAGCTTCGAGGACACTGTCCAACCATCTCGTCCTCTGTCGTCCCCGTCTCCTTGTGCCCTCCATCTTTCCCAAGATTAGGGTCTTTTCCAGGGAGTCTTCACTTCTCATGAGGTGGCCAAAGTATTGGAGCCTCAGCTTCAGGATCTGTCCTTCCAGTGAGCACTCAGGGCTGATTTCCTTCAGAATGGATAGGTTTGATCTTCTTGCAGTCCATGGGACTCTCAAGAGTCTCCTCCAGCACCATAATTCAAAAGCATCCATTCTTCAGCGATCAGCCTTCTTTATGGTCCAGCTCTCATTTCCATACATCACTACTGGGAAAACCATAGCTTTTACTATATGGACCTTTGTCGGCAAGGTGATGTCTCTGCTTTTTAGGATGCTGTCTTAGTTTGTCATTGCCTTTCTCCCAAGAAGCAGGCGTCTTTTAATTTCGCGACTGCTGTCACCAACTGCAGTGATCATGGAGCCCAGGAAAGTAAAATTTCCCACTGCTTCCCTTTCTTCCCCTTCTATTTGCCAGGAGGCGATGGAACCAGTGGCCATCATCTTCGTTTTTTTGATGTTGAGCTTCAGACCATTTTGCGCTCTCCTCTTTCACCCTCATTAAGAGATTCTTTAATTCCTCCTCACTTTCTGCCATCAAGGTTGTGTCATCTGCATATCTGAGGTTGTTGATATTTCTTCCGGCAATCTTAATTCCGGCTCGGGATTCATCCAGCCTAGCCTTTCGCATGATGAATTCTGCATATAAGTTAAATAAGCAGGGAGACAATATACAGCCTTGTCATACTACTTTCCCAATTTTGAACCAATCAGTTGTTCCATATCCAGTTCTAACTGTAGCTTCTTGTCCCACATAGAGATTTCTCTGGAGACAGATGAGGTGATCAGCTCTAACAATCTCTGATTCTATGATCCATACGATCCCCATGGCTTCTGTTAATACTGTATTTCAAAACTTGTGGCAGTGAAGAGCAAAGACTTTCTGTGTCTGGTTTGGCCCTTAATTGTTCATGTGCAGCCATTGACCTTCGCCTAGAGCCAAGATTTAGCGCACTCTGTGATTTCGCCACCGGAGACCCTGGGGAGAGAGCTTAACCCTGCAACATGGCAGCAGCTCTTAGCGACTTGCGCAAAGAAATTTTTACCATGGCATCCCACCCACCCTAAAAAAAAGGGGCAGTGCTTTGACCAGGAACTGTCGCTGGTAAACAAGGACAGCTGGGGCGTCTGTGGATGTCACCCGTCTCATTGCATCTTTTTTGTCAGCCTCAGAATTATTCAGTACAATATTTCAAACTGCTGCCCATATGAGCAAACAAACACTGAGTGGGTGTCTGTGACAATCACGTCTCCTTCAGCAGTCTCAATTGCAGCGAATGCGCGATCTGGCAGAGAAAGAGGTATCATATGTTCCCCAACCACAGAGTATCGCAGCTTCAGTGCTTGGAGAATGTGGTATCGTCAGCACAACGAAAACATTAGCAGGAGGGAAGAGAAGTATGGGCTGTGCATGACAAACAGGAAGACAAATACGTGTTCAGAATGTGATCTTAGAGATGCGCTCAGTTGCCTTGATGCGATGCGATGGCCTGCCCCACATGCCAGTCAAGGCAATCAGCTGCCCGACAACTCAAGGATTCCTCTTCTTCTTTGGCGATCACTCATAGCCAAATAAGATTGTCTTCCATGAACATGGTCTTAACAGTGTGTCCGTAAGTGACTGTGGAGGCCAATTCTAGATCCACATGTCCTTCCACAGTGGGGACATTGGTTTCCGAGTGGAAGTTGATTATGGTGAGGGTTTGCCAAACATGCCTTCCTCTTAGCATGTTCCTCCCTTTTGTCCTGAGTTCAAGTGTCTTCACAATCCATGACACCTGTGGTAAAGGCTGTTCTCCAACTGGAGCGCTCGCAGGCCAGTGTTTCCCAGTTGTCGGTGTTCATACTACATTTTTAAAGATTTGCCTAGAGACAGTCTTTAAACCTCTTTTGTTGATCACTGGCATTATGCTTTCCATTTTTAAGTTCGGAATAGAGTAGTTGCTTTGGAAGACGATCATCAGGCATCCACACAACATGACCAGTCCAACAAAGTTGATATTGAAGAATCATTGCTTTGACACTGGTGATCTTTGCTTCTTCCAGTACACTGGCATTAGTTTGCCTGTCTTCCCAAGTGATGTGTAAAATTTTTCGGAGACACCGTTGATGGAATCTTTCAAGGCATACCTGGGAGCTGGCTTGCTACCTTGTGATCCAGACGCCTTGCAGTCACTGGGAGTAGCACCCTGTTCCTTCTTCCCAGACGAGACGTTGACTGCTCAGACCATTAAGCAGCCCATGCTAGCACTGGGGGCAAGCATTGGGTGCTTATTGTGCAAAAGTGGTCCTGCAAAAAGACTCCTGTTGATGTTCATGGCACACAATAGTTGCGGTTCCTGCTATTAAAATGACTGTGTCTTGTTCAGCTCTGCTGGAGCGGAATATCCCTGTTCTTAAGGACAAAACAAGGGCCTGGTAAAATTACGTGTGTGCCAAGGGCAGAATGTAGAGATGGCGGGACTTCCCCCTTTTTCTTATTTCTCCTTGGCATGTCTCGTCTAGTATCCCATACCCCCACAGTGGCCAAACCGATGCCTTATGGGAATCCCACAGGCCAGGGCCTCGCCCACTATTGTGCCACAGTAACTGGTACTCAAAGAAGGTGTGGTGCCTCTGATTCTGGAGGTATCATAAAGGCGTCATTTTATTGGCATAGATAGACCAAACCGTGCTGATCAGAAGGTCAGCAGTTCGAATCCCCACAACGGGGTAAGCTCCCGTTGCTCGGCCCCAGCTCCTGCCCACTTAGCAGTTCGAAAGCACGTCAAAGTGCAAGTAGATAAATAGGTACCGCTCCAGCGGGAAGGTCAACGGTGTTTCCGTGCATTGCTCTGCTTCACCAGAAGTGGCTTAGTCATGCTGGCCACATGATCTGGAAGCTGTCTGCGGACAGATGCCAGCTCCCTTGGCCAGTAAAGCGAGATGAGCGCCGCAACCCAAGAGTCGTCCGCGACTGGACCTAAAGGTCAGGGGTCCCTTTACCTTTACCTTTAGCTAATTGGTAAATTAACTGATTAAAGTTATTAACTGCTTTTTTTGAGGCCATCCAAATGAAGATAGCAATACAGTGGTGCCTCGCAAGACGAAATTAATCCGTTCCGCGAGAGTCTTCGTCTAGCGGTTTTTTCGTCTTGCGAAGCAACCCTATTAGCGGCTTAACGGATTAGCGCTATTAGCGGTTTAGCGGCTATTAAAGGCTTAAAGGCTTAGGGGATTAGCTGCTAAAAGGCTATTAAAGGCTATTAAAGGCTTAGCAGATTAGATAAAGGGGGGGGGAGCGAAAAAAAAATCTCTAGACTCGCAAGACATTTTCGTCTTGCGAAGCAAGCCCATAGGGAAATTCGTCCTGCGAAGCAACTCAAAAACGGAAAACCCTTTCGTCTAGCGGGTTTTCCGTCTTGCGAGGCATTCGTCTTGCGGGGCACCACTGTATGTACATCGTAATTTACAATTTATTGTAAAACAATTTATCCCTTCACTCCAAGTCTCCACCCTACCCACAACACCATTTTATCTTCCACAAGGGAGGGAGAGAGAAAAGCAAAAACAAGCCGTGAGTTGTTTTGCAAGAATTTGCAGCCGGGCTTGCCAGACCCCTGGCTTCTTTTGGAAGGATAGAGAAAGTGTAAAATATTGTATCACTAGTATACTTTTTTTTATAGACTGAGTGATATAAGAGGCAGAGCCAAATAGAATATTTCAAATTTCTGGGTCACGGAATCACGTTTTTAGGAACTAGCATCTCATTTTTAGTCGTCAGTTCCTCGTAGAATGGAAGAAAAAAATATTTCTGATGTCTTGCATTATATTTGATAGTACCTCATCATAACAGAGGAGTGTTGTGGGTTTTTTTAGGATACTCATTATTTCACATTCCAATTTAATTTGCTTTTCTTTTTATCTCATTGCAGAACGTAAACTACAAAGGGCCTTACGGTTACCAAAAACTGAAAGAACGGTGAGTGGTTGGTTCTCCCCCTCTCCCACATCTGAGCAAATCATTTAAAAATCATTTCCTCTTTCTGTGTGAATGGGGGGTGGGGGGGCTGGTGTATTTTTATGGACTCTCTACTGTAATGGGCAGAGTGCTGGGAGTTGCATTCCAAACAGAAACCGGCGTTAAGATTTTTCCATCGCTTTGAAAAGCCGAAATGTGTGGTGGGGTGATTTTTAGGCACTTCTCCACAATGGAGGATGGATGGCAGCTAATGGATTGAGGTTGAATCCTGACAAGACAGAAGTACTGTTCTTGGGGGGCAGGTGTGGGGGACTCCGTGGTCCTGAATGGGGTCACTGTGCCCCTGAAGGACCAGGTGCGCAGCCTGGGAGTCATTTCGGACTCACAGCCGTCCATGGAGGCGCCATCTGGTACGCAGGATGAGACCCTCCCTGCCCGCTGTCTGTCTCGCCAGAGTAATACATGCTCTAGTTATCTCTCGCTTGGACTACAGTGGTACCTTGGGTTACATACGCTTCAGGTTACAGACTCCGCTAATCCAGAAATAGTACCTCGGGTTAAGAACTTTGCTTCAGGATGAGAACAGAAATCGTGCTCCAGTGGCGCGGCGGCAGCAGGAGGCCCCATTAGCTAAAGTGGTGCTTGAGGTTAAGAACAGTTTCAGATTAAGAACGGACCTCTGGAACAAATTAAGTACTTAACCTGAGGTACCACTGTACTGCAATGCGCTCTATGTGGGGCTACCTTTGAAGGTGACCCGGAAACTGTAAACTAATCCAGAATGCAGCAGCTAGACTGGTGACTGGGAGCGGCCACCGAGACCACATAACGCCAGTCCTGAAAGACCTACATTGGCTCCCAGTACATTTCCGAGCACAATTCAAAGTGATTGTGTTGACCTTTAAAGCCCTAAATGGCCTCGGTCCTGTATACCTGAAGGAGCTTTTCCACCCCCATCATCCAGCCCGGACACTGAGGTCCAGCGCCAAGGGCCGTTTGGCGGTTCCCTCCCTGAGAGAAGTGAGGTTACAGGAAACCAGGCAGAGGGCCTTCTCGGCAGTGGCACCTGCCCTGTGGAACGCCCTCCCACCAGATGTCAAGGCAATAAACAACTATTTTACTTTTAAAAGACCACTGAAGGCGGCCCTGTTTAGGGAAGTTTTTAATGTCTGATGTTGTATTGTTTTTAATATTTAGTTGGAAGCCGCCCAGAGTGGCTGGGGAAACCCAGCTAGATGGGTGGGGTATAAATAATAAATTATTATTATATTATGTCAGGTATTTCTCAGGTGTAAACAGCAAACTCGTCTGCAGCAAACTCTGCTAAAGTTATAATCCCACAAAACTACGACTTGCCTATCTTGCCTGTGGAGAATCACTGTGTCATCTGATATGTTCGCCCACAACTTAACACTGGCGACGAGGATGGGATCCGAACCCGCACGCGTGGGTTCGGATCCCATCCTCGTCGCCAGTGTTAAGTTGTGGGCGAACATATCAGACGACACAGTGATTCTTCCAAAGCAGCTCTTTATTTGTAAGCTGGAACAGAACTGAGCTGAGGGGCTCAGTCAGCCTGCTTATATAGAGCTCCAGAACAATGTAACTGTTGCCATTTTCTAAAACTATCCAATCACTGAACGTCACTTTCGATCCTTCATTTGCATACAAACTATCCAATCACTGAACGTCACTTTCGATCCTTCATTTGCATACAAACTATCCAATCACTGAACGTCACTTTCGATCCTTCATTTGCATAGCTATCTACAGTATCCCCCTGCTGGCCCAGGGTGAGAACTTCAGTACATAACAATCTCTATGTTAGCCAGAAGGTTGGTGGTTCGAGGCCACTCAGGGACAGCTGTGGACAGGATTCCTGCATTGCAGGGGGTTGGAATGGATGACCTTTGGGGTCTCTTTCAGCTCTACAATTCTATGATTCCATCTTCCTGCGCACACAGTGGAGGCTGGTTCACTGGGGCGAAGGGGGCCCTGCCCCACCAACCTCGGCCTGCTCTCAGCCAGCTCCTACCTGCCTGATTTCTGTCAGAATCTCCATTCAACCGAGCTACTGCTCCGGTCGAGTCTTCAAAATCCATCAGGCTCTCCTCCTCGGACGTGTGATTAATGACCTAAGCCTTTGATGAGGCTTTAGGCACGTTCCCATTACGCAGAGTATCCAAGCAGCAGAAGGAGATGGAAATATGTGCTACATTGCTAAGTTTGTTCTAACTACGCAGGACAGAAAAGAATATGCATCTGCTCTCTGTGAGAGTCAATGAACAACACTGGAACAAAGAGACAGGAAATCAGTAACATCAACATCTGTCTCCCATCTCCCGTGAGACTTCCAACAGTCTGGAATGTAAACAGAGTCTTGTGATTCCAAGTACTGCACAGTGGCATAACAGAAACCTAACACTTTCTTCTTACTTACATCTAATTCCAGGGAGCTGTCAGCTTCCTCCTATTTAGTCTCCGCTTTGTCTTTGTAGAAGTCAACGGGGAGGAGGACGGGAACGAAACCAGAATTAGTTGGTTCTTCCTCTCGTTGGCTCTGGCGCCACCTACTCTTGGCCTCCTTGCCTTCTGCCCTACCAGTCCCAAGGCGCACCAGTTGCCACTGTGTACGTGTCAGGGAACTGCCATCAGTGCCGGAGGGAGAGAGCAAGATCCAGAGGGATTCCAGAGAGCGTCCCGGGATTGGGAGAGGCAGCCCATCTTCTGGGGAAGAGAATCAGCGTAGCACCAGTGGAGAAGGGGGGCAGATGGGGGAAGCGGCGAGGCGGTCCCATGACTCCTTGCTGGGGACCAGCGGGGAGAGTAGGGGTCCTCCACTGCCTACGCCCTCCTTGCGCAGAAGGCTTTCGCGCAGAGAGAGTAGGAGGAGACTAGGCGCCAAAGAGCTTCTTTGCTGGAAGAAGTTTAAGAAACGCCCACTGACGGATTCTGCCAGCGATTGAGACAGCCACGGGTGAGTGGCTGTCCGGACAGAAAAGGTTCACTCAGGCAACCCAGCCAGGTGTATGCACCGGCTTACGCACGAGCAACCCCTTGAACCACTACAGTACGCAAACCTATCCTGGCAAGTTGTGTTACCTAAAATGGGGACAAAAACAAAACAAAACTGAAGACAGTTTTCACGCGCCAACCGGACGTACTGACAAGTCTGGCAGTAAAAGGAAGGACATCTGTCAACAGAAATGCTGTGGAAGGCCGGCAGATAATGAAAAACAGGGGATAGGAATCTGCCTTAAACCAAGTCCGGCCATTGCTGCCTCTTGATTAGCGCTGCCTACTTGCCATTCATGGCCTCAAACCCAGGCAGCTGGAATCTGCATTGAAATGCGTTTCAGGTAGGCGGCGTATAATTTGAGCTGGGACTCCTCCAAACATTCCCCATATGACGAGGCTCAGTCGTCTCGCATTATTTTGATAACAATTGTGAAAGTCCCTTCTGCCAGGGATGGTTTGTCATGTTCAAAATGAAAGGATGGTTAAGCAAATGGAAGGAGATGCCTTATAATTAGCAGATATTGCCTGGATCCAAAGAGCTTCTCTGTTCCCACGGCTGTGGCGATCATCAAATCTTCTCACTTTTTTCGAGACAGTAAAAGGTAAAGGTAAAGGGACCCCTGACCATTAGGTCCAGTCGTGGCCGACTCTGGGGTTGCAGCGCTCATCTCACTTTATTGGCCGAGGGAGCTGGTGTACAGCTTCCGGGTCATGTCGCCAGCATGACTAAGCCGCTTCTGGCGAACCAGAGCAGCGCACGGAAATGCCGTTTACCTTCCCACTAGAGCGGTACCTATTTATCTACTTGCACTTTGATGTGCTTTCGAACTGCTAGGTTGGCAGGAGCTGGGACTGAGCAATGGGAGCTCACCCTGTTGTGGGGATTCGAACCGCCGACCTTCTGATCGGCAAGCCCTAGGCTCAGTGGTATAACCCACAGCGCCACCCCGTCCCTTTTTCGAGACAGAGAGGCGACTTAAAAGCAGGGGTCAGGGTGGGGGCTTTGCAATTCACTGCCCCACCTGAAGGAATGTCCAGTCTCTCGGCTGTGTGGCTGCTTTGGCTCCTGAGCCTAGTGCTTTACCAACTGCACTGGCTATCGGTGGAGTACAGGGTCAGGTTTAAGGTGCTGGTTTTGACCTTTAAAGCCCTGTGCAGCCTAGGACCCTCGTACCTACGGGACCGCCTCTCCTGGTATGCCCCGCGGAGCACTTTAAGGTCCACAAAGGACAACACTTTGGAGGTCCCAAGTCGCAAGGTGGTCAGATTGGTCTCAACTAGGACCAGGGCCTTTTCAGTACTGGCCCCGACTTGGTGGAACACTCTGTCACAAGAGACTAGGGCCCTGCGGGACCTGACATCTTTCCGCAGGGCCTGCAAGACAGAGCTGTTCCGCCTGGCCTTTGGTTTGGACTCAGTCTGACCCTTATGTTTCCCTCCCCTTCTGGTTTTGATCTATGGGCTACTTTTAAAATGAGGCTGCATTTTAAATTGCATTTTAACCTGTATTTTAAATTGGGTCCTGCCCCCCCCCCCATTATGTTTTTACTGTGATTTTATTGGTGTTAGCCGCCCTGAGCCTGGCTCTGGCCGGGTATAAATAAAATTTATTATTATTATTATTATTATTATTATTATTATTATTATTATATCACACAAGCCCTTTTTCTGCCACATGGAGTGGAAAACTCACCTTTCCTATTTCCATTTGGGTCTCATGTGCCTTGCAAACAAACCACAAAGGTGTGACAGAGTAAGTTCAGGATGGTGTCTGAGAAATGAGAAGAACCAGCAAAAGAAGAATGGATACAGAAACTTATGGAATATCATCATCATCATTTTATATGTATGCCGCCTTTCCGTTGTTGAAGCTATGCTCAAGGCGGCTTACAACATGACAAGATTTACATAACTGCAAACATAACAGAAATCATAAACTATAAATAAAACACAACAAAACGTACACAACCAAATGGAAACAATTTCCACGTAAATCATAATAATCATAATATCTGTTATGTACTGAGTTGAATAGGATCCAAAAGGCAGCAGTCTGATTGGTCCTAGAACAATTGGATTCAGATTGCAGCAGTATGATTGGTCCTAGAACAATAGTGTCCAGAATGCAGCAGTCTGATTGGTCCACAGGAGCCACCCAATCCAGCTCCAGGTGGAAGTGAATCCACAACCTGATTGGCCTACAGGTGAATCCCGGAATTAGCCAATCACGTGGGGCCCATTGTGTAAATAATGTATATAAAGCAGACATTCTGGGGGAACTTCCATTCCTCCTCACCACTATGAGCTGAATAAAGAGCATGAAATCCACTCTCGACTATATTTCAGCATCAATAACAGCAATAGCTCTCTCAATCTCCTTCAGCCCAAGAATCTGTTCAACAGCCTCAGCTTTTGTAGCTGGAGTCAGTCAGAATATGCAGAAATGGTGAAACTTACCAGAAAAATAAGAAATAAAGATAACAAACTTTTTGTAAAAGAATGGAAACGGTTTATTGAATATTTACAAACAAACTGTAAACAGATAAGGACATTGGCAGGATTATTGTAACGACCTGCAGTTTCATAAGAGCATATGTTTAAAGCAGATGAATAAAAGAATAAGTTAGGTTAATTTGTAAAAAAATTAATTTAAGGGACCACAGAAAGAGGAGGAAGGAAGTCGAGTTTTGATATGTTAGAATGACTGTAAAACTATTGAAAACCGTGAGTAAAAATTAAAAGAAATAAATAAAAATAAATGAGAAGCGGTGCATAAACAATACATGGCAGGCTTTTGTAGGAGTCCAATAATTCTTTGGCGGAAGTTCTGTGACAGGTAAATTGCTATTGCTACAGGCTAGTAGTGTGTTTTATTTATTTATTTATTTATTTATTTATTTATTTATTTCATGGCATTTATATACTGCTTAATAGTCATGGAACCACTAAGCAACTTACGAAACAAAACTGACTTAGAAGTGCCTTTACAGTTCTGCTGCAGCTGCATAGCTTAGACTTAGAAAGCCCATGACCCTCATCCATCGTGGCCAAGCTGACAGGGGCTGATGGGAGATGTAGTCCAAAAAATCTGCCGCGCTCCAGGCTGGGGAAGGCTGCTCTAAGGTCTGGAGAGTGAGCGTTTTGCATCTTCCTCCCTGCCAGAGCCACCACCGCCCTTTAAACGCATCTTAATTGCATTTGTTGTGTAATTTGCTAGGTTAGAGAGAGAGAGAGAGATTAACAGATGATTTATTTGCAATGCAATGCACCGCTGCCCTGGAGCTGGGTCAAGACAGTAACTAGAACTGTTAATAGGTTGTATGAATACGCCCACAATATATATACACAAAAAGAAAACTATAGCTTAAACTTTAAAATGCCAGCAGATTTTATTATAGCATAATGTTTTATTGAATTGAATGCATTTCAATTAATTGATTGTGATTTTATGTAAACTGTGTTACTTTTATTGTTGTTAGCTGCTCTGAGCCCGGCTTCAGCTGGGGAGGGTGGGATATAAATACAATTTTATTATTATCATCATCATCATCATCATCATCATCATCATCATCTAACGGGATCCATGTGTCTTGCTTATACACAGAGAACCCCGAGCTTGCATCCGGTTCAAGTGTGCCCTTACAAACACCATTTTAGACGTCCTTCGACAGCGACCAGGATGGGTTGAAGTGAAAGAGTAAGGCTTGCGGTTTTCTTCTTAAGGGCATGATGGGTGGCAAAAGGTCTGCAGGGCAGGAGGAAGCAGGTCTTCCAGGACTCCACTATTTGTTGTTGTCGTTTAGTCGTGTCTGACTCTTCGTGCCCCCTGGACCGGAGCTCGCCAGGCACTCCTGTCTTCCACTGCCTCCCGCAGTTTGGTCAAACTCATGCTGGTAGCTTCGAGAACACTGTCCCACCACCTCGTCCTCCGTCCTCCCTTTCTCCTTGTGCCCTCCATCTTTCCCAACATCAGCTGCAAATAAAACGTTTTAAGTGGGTTGTAATGCGCATTATTCAAACGTTACACTAGATGGCGACGGTGAGCTATGGTAAATTCAATATATTTTTCAAAACATTTTTTTTAAAGCATTTTTACAACTTTTTTTAAATATGTGTGTTGATTTCACCCCAGCCAAAATGAAGCTTCCTCCTCTTTTTTGTGTGCTGGGGGAAAAATGGATTCTGAAATTCCTACCAGGGATAGCTTTCAGGAAGGAGATTGCACACACACACAGTTTTCAGACATTTGCACATGCTCAGAGAACAATGCACACAGTCAGCACTAAACAAAAGAGTCCTAGTTCACTGGGATTCTCTCATCGCTCCCAGCAGCCTATTCTTCAGGCTTCAGTCCCAGAGAAATACATTGTCTTCTCTGCACACTGTTACTAAGGGCAGGGAGCGCAACCACCTCTGGGCTCATGTAGAGATTTGAGTCCGTGGAAGGAAGAAATGGGAATGATGGGGATCCCAAATTGTGGAGTTTGTAGTTAATGTTGCTTCCTCTGTCTGCCTGCTGCAGCTTAGAGGTCAGAGAGTGGGACAGATTCATTCTGTATTGTCCATCAAAGCAGCTGCAGGTGATCATCCTATATGGATGTTTGCAAGGGGTTTATATTCCCAACAGTGCCGGATTTACGTATAAGCTAAACAAGCTATAGCTTAGGGCCCACTCTCTTAAAGGTAAAGGTAAAGGGGCCTCTGACCATTAGGTCCAGTCGCGGACGACTCTGGGGTTGCGGCGCTCACCTCGCTTTATTGGCCGAGGGAGCCGGCGTACAGCTTCCGGGTCATGTGGCCAGCATGACTAAGCCGCTTCTGGTGAACCAGAGCAGCGCACGGAAACACCGTTTACCTTCCCGCCAGAGCAGTACCTATTGATCTACTTGCACTTTGACGTGCTTTTGAACTGCTAGGTTGGCAGGAGCAGGGACCGAGCAATGGGAGCTCACCCCGTCATGGGGATTCGAACTGCCGACCTTCTGATTGGCAAGTCCTAGGCTCTGTGGTTTAACCCACAGCGCCACCCGTGTCCCTTCCCCACTCTCTTGGGGGCCCCCTCAAAAAATTAAAGGAAAAAAACCCTGGATGTACATTTCCAAAATATAAGATAAAAACGAAGCAAAATAAAACCTACATACAGTGGTACCTCAGGTTACATACACTTCATGTTACATATGCTTCAGGTTACAGACTCCGCTAACCCAGAAATAGTGCTTCAGGTTAAGAACTTTGCTTCAGGATGAGAACAGAAATTGTGCTCCAGACGGTGCAGCGGCAGCAGGAGGCCCCATTAACTAAAGGGCTTCTGTTAAGAACAGTAATAGGATAAGAACGGACCTGCAGAACGAAAAAAGAAATTAAACCGAGGTACCACTGTACAGCAACAGAGGTTTGTGTTGTGTAGGCTCCTAGGATGTAAGTCATGGGCTCCGCCTGCTAGCCTGCTCCCTAAACTATCACTGGTTTGCTCCTTTCTATTTATAGGGTGCCTACATTCTGCATGGACTGGTTGCAGGGCAACATGTGCAAATCGCTTTAGATACCTGTTAGGTCCATCAGTTACCATAAAGCAGGGGTGAACGTTTTTAGGATTGAACTTATTGAGCTCTTTTTAAGGATTGAACTTGTTGAGCTTTTTTAAGGATTTGACCCCAATAAATAAACTGCCCCAAAATGGACTTTGGACATACCTGCCATATGGCATATATTCCACAAAGGACAGCTGGGCATATAGAGGGCCCCATTACGTTTGGTGGCTTAGGCCAGGGGTCAGCAAACTTTTTCAGCAGGGGGCCGGTCCACTGTCCCTCAGACCATGTGGGGGACCTGATTATATGGCGGTGGGGGGGAGAACGAATTCCTATGCCCCACAGACAACCCAGAGATGCATTTTAAATAAAAGGACACATTCTACCTCATGTAAAAACACATTGATTCCTGGACTGTCCACAGGCCAGATTTAGAAGGCGATTGGGCCGGCTCCAGCTCCCGGGCCTTAGTTTGCCTACCCATGGCTTAGGGCCTCATCAAACCTAAATCCAGCCCTGATTTCCAGCAAGGCAAGGGCTTCTTTTTTCAAGCCTCTGTGTTCCCCATATTTTCCCCCAAAGCCCCACATTCAAAGCTGCATCTCCTTTCCTCACTAAACACACCCTATTTCTCCTCAAGTCCTGGATATAAATGCAAACACGCTTCTCTCTTCCCGCTCTCTGGCCGTTCCCAAACATCAGTCGCTAGCCATATTCTTCTCCAGTCCCAGGATCCCTGTTTACTCCTCGGAAATGAAAAATGTGTGGGATCCATTCAGGCTGGAGATCATACATGCCTGAGCAGAGATGCCTCCCTAAGCGCAGATAAATGGATGTCTTTGTGCTGCGTACGCTTGCTGTATTTACATTTCCAGAATGGAGTCCTGGAACAGCCGTGTAAAGAGGGACTTTCATTTCCCTAGCAAATGATCCTTTCTGCAGAACTACTTAAAATCAAACCACCTGTGATTGGGTGGTGGGTGAAGAGATCTGTGGCCATTTCCTTCTTTAAAAAGAGAAACTATGGTGGAATCTACACACGTAAAAAAACCACACGCTGTGAAAACGCTTTTATAATACAGTCATACCTCGGGTTGAATACGCTTCGAGTTGAGCGCGTTCGAGTTGCGCTTCTCGGCAACCCGGAAGTAGCGGAGTGCGTTCCTCCGGGTTTCGCTGCTTGCGCATGCGCAGACGCTCAAAATGACGTCACACGCATGCGCAGAAGTGGCGAAAAGCGACGTAAGCGTGCGCAGACGTGCCGTTGCTACTTACGTTTACTTCTAGATGCGAACGGGGCTCAGGAACGGATTGCGTTCATATCTAGAGGTACCACTGTAAATGTTTTGAAAAATATATTGAATTTGCCGTAGTTCACCATCGCCATCTAGTGTCACATTTGCATATTGCACTTTACAACACACTTAAAACGTTTTATTTGCAGGTGTATAGAAAACTTGCAGAGTCGGCACAGCAGAGGAACACCCTTTTCCTAGATGTAATTTCCGCAATGATGATTTCAACTATTGCTGCTCGTTACTATTATTATTTCATCCCCTTCTGCACACACGATCTGCTTGCTTAATTATGTGGAGACCCTGATTCTGGCGTTGTTGGGGTCTGGGGTTTGAATGATGGGGTGTAAAGGTTCTCAGTGGGTAGATGGGTCGACCTTTTTTCTACCCACACCTGTTGAGAGTGTTGGGATGCTGCTGGGAGTCTGGGGCAATTGGCAGGCCCCCAGCTGGCTCCTGCCACCAGCTGGTACCTGGGCGAGCCTTCTAGACTTGGCCGGGATGATCAGCTTCACATACCTCTGTCTCTGCCAGGATCTTGCAGCAGCCTTACACTTCTGTAAGCGCCATGGATCTGGGCCCGAAACCCTGTTGTTGGGATGCTGCCAGGGGCAATTGGCCGGCCCCCAGCTGGCTCCAGCCACCAGCCGGTAGCCGGGCGATACTCCAGTTCTCAGAACAGCATCAAAACTGCGACTCAAGCCTCAGTTTCCTTTAGAGACTCTGAGCACGCAAACCAGCAGAAATAAGACCTCTTTTGCAGCAGAAGAGGCAGACAGAGAAATGTGTAAGCAAAATGTACAGCATTTTATTCAGCATAGTTCAGGAACAAAGGAAAACATGTCTGCTTCCCTTCGTCTCCAGCAAAACAGCAGCAATGCAAAAGCTATATCCAAACGGAAGTTCCCAGCAGACTGTGCTGGAAGTAAACAGGCATGTGACACACAACAGTCATGCCTGTACCCTTTTAAGGTGGAAAGAAACTATATCCTAACAGAGAGTGGGTTTTCTGTTTTTGCAGGGGACCATTTCCTGTTGGTCTTTGAGGCGTTAAAAGTCACCCCTGAGGTCCACAGATCCCCTCAAAGCCCTCCCATTGATTTCTAGTGCTGCTCTCCCTGTTAATCCTATGCTGCATATTGCATTGACATTTTTTGGTTATTTATTTGAAATATTTATACCCCGCTCTTTAGTGGGAAAGGCTCCCCCAGCAACTTAACAATCATCCGTAATAAGATAGTTCCCTGCCCTCAGGCATACAATCTAAAAATACACGACACATGAGGAAAAGCAGAGGAGAGGGGGAAAAGCAAGCTCAGGCATCAGTTCTTCAAAGTTATAGTTCTTATAAAATGAGATGAGAATTGGCAAAGCTTTTGCTAAAATTGTTCCTGTCAGTGAGATGTCCCCTAAGAACAATCTTCAGAGGGCCATTCCATAATATGCTTTTGCTGCCAGTTAAAAATGAAGAGAGAGGCTCAACCAGAGCTGCTTGGATGTGCTTTTTCTGGGCAGGAAGATGAGAAGTTTTCTGGGACTCCTTGTTTCCATTGTAATTCCTGGGAGATGAAGCAGTGCGGAATATCAGAAACGCAACATGTTACCTGATAGCCGCCTCATTTGGCAGTCAAGGAAGCCACGTCGAGTCTTTATTTAACATATATTAAAAGGGCTCCGGTTGCACCTTTAAGTCTTAACTGAAATGGTTTTGTTCCAAGAGCAGCCGATAGGCTCTCATGTGACAGTTTGCAATAAACACACTGGCATAAAATGCCTCTTTATTCATAGTTCTGGAAAACTGATATGCTCAGATGAAAGCAGTTCTGGGAGCAACATATGCTCTTAAATTAAAGGCCCGGGATGTTTATGGCGTTTTAAGCCAGCCAGTTAACGGATCCATAAAAGCCGTGCAGCGAAGGAGTGAGAGGGACCTTGATGTGCTGTTTTTGTGCCCAACTCGATGTTGTTTGACCTTTTCCCGACAGCGAAGGGGAGTGGGACTTCTACTGGTGCGACGTCCGCTGGCTCCAGGAGAACTTTGACCACACTTATATGGATGAACATGTGCGCATCAGCCACTTCCGCAATCACTACGAGGTGAGAGGAACCTGGTGCCTTGGTGCCAGCCGGGTCACACTAGAACGGAGTACGGCTGGGCGATACCCGGTTTTCAACATCGCAATATATCACCAGCTAAACATTGCGATATACATCGTGAAATAAGGATGGACTATGCAAAGGCTAAAGGGACGTGGGTGGCGCTGTGGGTTAAACCACAGAGCCTAGGACTTGCTGATCAGAAGGTCGGCGGTTCGAATCCCCGCGACGGGGTGAGCTCCCGTTGCTCGGTCCCTGCTCCTGCCCACCTAGCAGTTCAAAAGCACGTCAAAGTGCAAGTGGATCAATAGGTACCGCTCCGGCGGGAAGGTAAACGGCGTTTCCGTGCACTCCTCTGGTTCGCCAGAAGCGGCTTAGTCATGCTGGCCACGTGACCCGGAAGCTGTACGCCGGCTCCCTCAGCCAGTAAAGCGAGATGAGCACCGCAACCCCAGAGTCGGCCACGACTGGACCTCATGGTCAGGGGTCCCTTTACCTTTACCTTTATGCAAATGCTGGCTTCACGGTTTCCCCCACATTGTGATTTTTTTGCATAGCACACATGGACCACAATCCACAATATATCGCCAGGTAAAAAGCTATGAAACCGATATCACAATACGGACTTCAAACCGGTTTGGGTTGGTGTATTGATATATCACCCAGCCCTGGTCTGAATTGAAAGCAACTTGGATAACATGGTCCTCCATGGAATCACCAGGTTTGCGGCTCTGCTCACAACCTCGGCTCTCAACAGAATTAAAAGCACAATAAACCATCAAACATTAAAATATTCCCTGTACAGGGCTGCCTTCAGATGTCTTCTAAAAGTCAGATAGTTGTTTATTTCCTTGACATCTGATGGGAGGGCGTTCCACAGGGTGGGTGCCACCACCAAGAAGGCCCTTTGCCATGAGTTTGGCCTTCACAGTTGTAGAGATGGGGGCAGCAGTGGGGGTACCTACGGGACCGCCTCTCCTGGTATGCCCCATGGAGGACCTTAAGGTCTACAAATAACAACACTTTGGAGGTCCCAGGTCGCAAGGTGGTTTGATTGGTTTCAACTAGGGCCAGGGCCTTTTCAGTACTGGCCCCAACGTGGTGGAACGCTCTGTCACAAGAGACTAGGGCCCTGCGGGACCTGACATCTTTCCGCAGGGCCTGCAAGACAGAACTGTTCCGCCTGGCCTTTGGTTTGGACTCAGTCTGACCCTTATGTTTCCCTCCCCTTCTGGTTTTGATCTATGGGCTACTATTAAAATGAGGCTGCATTTTAAATTGCATTTTAACCTGTATTTTAAATTGGGGGTCCCCCCCTTGTGTTTTTACTGTGATTTTACTGGAGTTAGCCGCCCTGAGCCCAGCTCTGGTCAGGGAGGGCGGGGTATAAATAACATTTATTATTATTATTATTATTATTATTATTATTATTAGTTGACAAGGTTAGAGCAAAACTCCTTCACATTTTCAGCTCTCATTGATTTCAAACCTATTTCCTTTGGACACTTTTTTTTCATTTACTATTCTGAGTTGTCACAAGCCGAAGGATAGCCAATTATTAGTAATAGCTATTTCTTTCCTTATAAATTACTTACAGTACATCTGCGATAGGTGAAGGTCTGTGCATGTTTGGTAAGTCGTTCTATATAAACAGGCTACAAATTTCTCTCGCCCTTCTGTTTTCATTAGGCAGTGTCTGTGATCAGTGAATCATCAGTTTTGCTGAATTAATCAAACAAAGTGGTTTTAATTGGGTTTTGAATAAATGCGCAGCCAATTGTTACTGTTTTGAACTGTGCTGTGTTGCTGTCTTCCTCAGCGGGTTGTGCAAACGGCTGTTCTGAACAAGGCAGTTCTGAACGATGCAAAGTAAAATAGTTTTTTACTTTTAAAAGACAACTGAAGGCGGCCCTGTTTAGGGAAGTTTTTAATGTCTGATGCTGTATTGTTTTTAATATTCAGTTGGAAGCCGCCCAGAGTGGCTGGGGAAACCCAGCCAGATGGGCGAGGTATAAATAAAAATATATTATTATTATTATTATTATTATTATTATTATTATTAGGCAGGGTAGTGGGAACTGCTCTTGGGACGCGGGTGGCGCTGTGGGTTAAACCACAGAGCCTAGGACTTGCTGATCACAAGGTCGGCGGTTCGAATCGCCGTTAAAGCGAGATGAGCGCCACAACCCCAGAGTCGGCCACGACTGGACCTAATGGTCAGTGGTCCCTTTACCTTTACCTAGTGGGAACTGGGGATGAGTTGATGGAACCAAGTGGGCAGGGACCAAAAAAAGTTTGGGAGCCCCTGAGCAAGATGAACAGCTAGATAAAGCAGCTCCCATTTCACGTGAGCATTTATTGAGGCTGTTTTTCTCTCCTTTAAAAAAAAAAAAAAAATGGAAATTTTATTTACAGCATAACATCCACCCTCATTAAACGTGAACATAACATATAATAAGAATAACATACAACAATACAAACAACCAAATAAAAGACTTCCTTTGTCCTGTATCTGGCCTCCCTATTTACTTCTTATAAGCTGTTTCCTTTATGAGTAATTATTAAGATTTTTCTAATTATAACTTAAATATCCGCAAAGTCTCCTGCAGACATTAATCGAGGTATGTATTTTAGGGCACTGTTTTGTGAAGTATTCTCTGCATTTCCCCCATGCTTTTTGAAACTCTTGTCTAGTGTGATCTCTAATTGCCTCTGTTAATCTAGCCAGTTCAATATACTCTAACAGTTTGTCTTGCCATTCCTTTTTTGTTGGCACAATTTCTTTTTCCCAGTTTTTAGCAGTCAGGATCCTTGCCACTCCTGTGGCACAGAGGAATATTTTCTGATCTTCTCTTGCTATATCTGTGTCAGTTATCCCTAGTAGAAAACCTTCTGTATTTTTCATAAAGTTATGTTGTTGTTGTTCTTTAGTCGTTTAGTCTTGTTCGACTCTTTGTGACCCCCTGGACCAGAGCACGCCAGGCACTCCTGTCTTCCACTGCCTCCTGCAGTTTGGTCAGACTCATGTTTGTAGCTTCGAGGACACTGTCCAACCATCTCGTCCTCTGTCGTCCCCGTCTCCTTGTGCCCTCCATCTTTCCCAACATCAGGATCCTTTCCAGGGAGTCTTCTCTTCTCATGAGGTGGCCAAAGTACTGGAGCCTCAGCTTCAGGATCTGTCCTTCCAGTGAGCACTCAGGGCTGATTTCCTTAAGAATGGATGCGTTTGATCTTCTTGCAGTCCATGGGACTCTCAAGAGTCTCCTCCAGCACCAGAATTCAAAAGGATCAATTCTTCGGCCATCAGCCTTCTTTATGGTCCATAAAGTTATAAAGTTATACTTAAACATATTTATTTTTTAAGCTTGTCATATACTATAGTACTATAGTGGTACCTCTGGATGTGAATGGGATCTGTTCCAGAGCCCCGTTCCCATCCTGAACCGAACACAACCTGTGTCTGCGTGTGCCACAATTCTCCACTTCCACGCATGCGCATGATGTCATTTTGAGCATCTGCGCATGTGCGAGCAGCAAAACCCAGAAGTAACGCGCTCTGTTACTTCCGGGTCGCCGTGGAGCGCAACCTGAAAATATTCATCCCGAAGCATATTTAACCCAAGGTATGACTGTATAGTAAGGGATGCGGGTGGCGCTGTGGGTTAAACCACAGAGCCTAGGGCTTGCCAATCAGAAGGTCGGCGGTTCAAATCCCCACGACAGGGTGAGCTCCCGTTGCTCAGTCCCAGCTCCTGCCAACCTAGCAGTTCGAAAGCACGTCAAAGTGCAAGTAGATCAATAGGTACTGCTCCGTCGGGAAGGTAAACGCCGTTTCCGTGCGCTGCTTTGGTTTGCAAGAAGCGGCTTAGTCATGCTGGCCACATGACCCGGAAGCTTTACGCCGGCTCCCTCGGCCAATAAAACGAGATGAGCGCCGCAAACCCAGAGTCGTCCAAGACTGGACCTAATGGTCAGGGGTCCCTTTACCTTTACCTTTATGACTGTATAGTATATGAGGCTGTTTTTTTCTCATCCTTTGTGCCTCTGCAGCTGACTCGGAAGAACTACATCGTGAAGAACCTGAAGCGGTTTCGGAAGCAGCTGGAGAGGGACTCTGGGAAGCTGGAAGCCATGAAGTACGACTTTTTCCCCAAGACCTTTGAGATGCCCTCGGAGTACCACCTGTTTGTGGAGGAGTTCCGCAAGAACCCTGGAATCACCTGGATTATGAAGCCGGTAAGAGGGCTGATGGCTGAGGGGAAGCGGGACGAGGTGGCTCCACCATTTACCGTATTTTTCGCTCTATAAGACGCACCAGACCACAAGACGCACCTAGTTTTGGGAGGAGGACAACAAGAAAAAAATATTCTGAATCTCAGAAGCCAGAACAGCAAGAGGGATCGCTACGCAGTGAAAGCAGCAATCCCTCTTGCTGTTCTGGCTTCTGGGATAGCTGTACTCCAATTAAAATAAAAAACTAAAATAAAAAAGACCAAAACTATAGTCCGAATTATAATTATTTATTTTTCGAAGCTCCCCACGATCTGGATCTCTGAAGCATATCTCCACATTTCAGTCCTGCCTTTCCTCATTGTTTCCATGTTTTCCATATCTCGATTTTGACGCTTTATAATTCTCCGTCCCTGAGTTCACGATTCTCAGTCATGTCAAACATATACTTTCATCTGTCGAATACAGCTTTATCAGTACCCTTTTTTGCTCTATAAGACGCACCCGACCATAAGACGCACCTAGTTTTTAGAGGAGGAAAACAAGAAAAAAAAAATTCTGAATCAAATGTTGTTGAAGAGGAAGGAGGAGGGAGGATCAGGCTAAGGCATCACAACAAGAACCACTGCACAGCTCTCCCTCTTGCTGTTCTGGCTTCAGCAATAGCTGCGCAGCCTGCACTCGCTCCATAAGATGCACACACATTTCCTCTTACTTTTTAGGAGGAAAAAAGTGCATCTTATAGAGTGAAAAATACACTATATATTTTTCCTTTTTTTTTTTAAATGATATTTATTGAAAATTTTTTAGAATTACAAAAGAAAACAAGGTAGAAAAAGAGAAAGAAAAAACAAACCACATCAAACAATACAAATTAATCAAAAAACAAAAATATACCACAAACATTTAAAAAGAAATCCATTATTCTCAAATCCTTAACTGTCATTACCTTCTTTCTTTGACCTCCTCCTCCTCCCTTTTTTTGTATCCTAGTTGTTAATTGTCGCAGCAAATCCTTTCCATATTTCATAATATTCTGTCATTACATTACCTTAATCTATTTTAATCTTATCTTACTATAGAAAACCTTAAAACCTAAAACTTAAATCTTATTTTTACCAACTTCTCATAACCATAATATTCTTACATAATTCTTTAAACATTTTTGCTAAAGCCAAATAATTTCGTTCCAACAGTTTTCTAACATTCATCAGTTTTATAAAACAATCCTAATAATAAAAAAACAATCCAATCTTCATCCAGCGTCTCTTCCTCCTGGTCCCGGGTTTGGTCAGTCCTTTTTATCTCATCAATCTAGCGCAGCGCCTTTTTATCAGCGCAGCTTCCTCTGACTCCATTCCAATCTGGGATGTTGTCCAAGTCTGTTATCTGAAGTTTAATGGTGCAGCAACTCCCAATCTTTAATTGTCCAAACCGTCCTTTTGAGCTTTATTGAACCAGTACCTTCCAAGTTAAATTGTTAGGCAAAACTGTTTGCAATATTACAATGTAGATAAACTGTATTCCACAAATATCAGTCATTTGGCGATTGATCGGCCTTTGGAGACCACACTCTTTCTTCCCCCTCCGGGCCCTAGAAGGGGGGCTGCTAAACACCCAGGTGGCTCCACAATTGCCCTGGCACAAATTAAGAACACGCCTTCTCCAGAGGAGATTATGGCGGGGTCCACGGAACTGCTGCTCCCCAGCTCCAGGCAGGCAGGTGAGAAAAGGCGGCCGTGGCAGGGAAGGTTGCAGTTCAGGTGTAGAAAGCACGCTTCGCCTGGGGGGAGCCTCCGATTTAGGGAGAGGATCTCTGGTAAGGAGGGGCGTGTGGTGCTTATAACAATATAATAATAATAATAATTTATTATTTATACCCCGCCCATCTGGCTGGGCTTCCCCAGCCACTCTGGGCGGCTTCCAACAAAATATTAAAATACAATAATCTATTAAACATTAAATGCTTCCCTAAACAGGGCTGCCTTCAGATGTCTTCTAAAAGTCTGATACAGTGGTACCTCTGGTTATGTACTTAATTCGTTCCAGAGGTCCATTCTTAACCTGAAACTGTTCTTAACCTGAAGCACCACTTTAGCTAATGGGGCCTCCCGCTGCCGCCACGCTGCCGCCGCACGATTTCTGTTCTCATCCTGAAGCAAAGTTTTAAACCCGAGGTATTATTTCTGGGTTAGCGGAGTCTGTAACCTGAAGCGTATGTAACCTGAAGCTTATGTAACCTGAGGTGCCACTGTAGTTGTTTTTCTCTTTGACATCTGGTGGGAGGGCGTTCCACAGGGCGGGTGCCACCACCAAGAAGGCCCTCTGCCTGGTTCCCTGTAACTTGGCTTCTCGCAGGGAGGGAACTGCCAGAAGGCCCTCGGAGCTGGACCTCAGTGTCCGGGCAGAACGATGGGGGTGGAGACGTTCCTTCAAGTATACTGGACCGAGGCCGTTTAGGGCTTTAAAGGTCAGCACCAACACTTTGAATTGTGCTCGGAAACATACTGGGAGCCAGTGTAGGTCTTTCAGGACTGGTGTTATGTGGTCTCGGCGGCTGCTCCAAATCATATGCGTCTTAAACAGGTGGGGCAGTGTTTTCAACTCTGGATGTGTGCAAGGGAGGCGGGGTGACTTTGCTGTGTTCTCTTAGCCAGTTGTGGAGAAGGGGGGTGCAGTGGGGGCAGCCTGTCGCGGGTATCATCCCTGAGGGGTGTGTGTGACAAAATCCCCCATGGGCGGATCGCCGCTGCACTGATAGGGATGCCCATAGGAACGGGACGGTACGCACGGCGCCCATAGGGACTGGGGGCACCGCGGGGCCTCAGCCGCCCTACAGCTACAGCTGGGGGGGGCAGCAGTGGGCGGACAGAGGACGGGCCAGGCCGTCCCTATGGGTGCCGCGTGCCCCATCCTGTCCCTCCCTATGGGGGTTCACCCTGCCCCCATGAGCATGCCCCCCAGGTGCCTGAGAGACTCCCTCCGCCACTGCTCTTTGCTCAGGGACATTGCACCCAAGCAGGGCCCACCCATGCAAACCTAATTTCTCCTAATATACAGTTTTGCATGCACTAATTTTACCCAACGTTCAGTTTTAGAAAGCAGAAAGCAATGCGTTTTTCTATGCTATTTTCGCTAGTACCTCAGGTTAAGTACGTAATTCATTCTGGAGGTCCGTTCTTAACCTGAAACTGTTCTTAACCTGAAGCACCACTTTAGCTAATGGGGCCTCCCGCTGCTTCTGCTTGATTTCTGTTCTCATTCTGAAGCAAAGTTCTTAACCCAAGGTACTATTTCTGGGTTAGCGGAGTCTGTAACCTGAAGCGTATGTAACCCAAGGTACCACTGTATCTGCATTTGTACTGGCACTTTGCCCATGTTTTGAACGTTTGCATGCATTATCCGGCACTGCAAAATTTCGGTTCCAAGGGATGGCTGCGTTTCGGTTTGAATATTTTTTCGGAAAGTGGAAACCAGGTGGGTTTTAAATGAGAGCTGACTTGAATTTCTCTCTCACTTTGTGTGCGTGCGCGCGTGCGCGTAGATATATATAATAAACGAAACACTCCGAATTTTCTTCAGTGGGTCTCTGTCGCCTTCCATCCCCCGGAGCTCCGATTGCCCCTTTCGGAGACCTTAATAGAAACAAGCTTTTCCTGGATGTAATAATTGATTCTGCTCACTCGCTTCCCCAAGGGAGCAGGGGGGGCAAATCTGCCTCTTTGGCAGGCTAGCAAAGAAGCCGAGAGGAGGCGAGGCAAGGCATGCCGTTGCTGCCAGATGATGAGAGACGTTTTAGCATCATGAGTACGGCACCGCCGTGCATAATTACCTCCACACCCATCTGCGAGGCTCGCAGTGGGGCAGGTCGTTTGCCGGCCGATAAAAGCTGGCACCAGCCGCTTTTTGCCTCCCGCCTGCAAATAAGGGGCAGGCCTCCGAGTGGGGGAATGGGAGGCAATTATGCAAACGAGCGCGTGAATTACTGCCAGGAGGATAACAGCCAGCGATTATCTAAGTCTACAAATGATAATTTGTGTTAATTGCCAGCAAGAAACCTTGCATTAAGCTGATTTGGGCCCACATCCTCAATTAACATTGGGGAGGGAAAAGCAGGATACGCAGAACGAGACTGTATTAAAAAGGTTGCAATTACCAACGTTGCGCCGACAAGTGGAAATACGCGGGTTGAAGAAGGCTCTGGAGGTGGAGGCAGGAGTTCAGTTCTCCTCAGGTTAATAGATCCGTTTTTTACTACCCTCTCCCTTTCGAAGGGGGAGAGGAAAATTAAGTTAAAAGTCAATATTCGCTTAAATACCTTGTTCACGGTGAGTATTCTAGAAAGGACTTGGAATAGCAGGTGAAGTTGGTGCCTTCTCAGCGGGGTTGGGTTTGAGTGGTGCCTAATGAGAAGGACCTGGGAGTTCTGCGCTGCAAATTCTGCGAGCTGAAACCCGGAGTTTTATGCCTGCGATGTATCAAGGCGGAATATCTCACTGTCGCTTCGTCGTTAGAGAATGGGATGCAGAAGAGCAGAGCAGATGGAGACGCAAAAGAGAGCTTTTGTAGTGTTGGCAGCCCTGGGATCTAGGAAAGAATTAGGCAAAGGGTCTGGAACAGGAAGAGGGTCTGGAAAAGAAGGACGGGAACAAGGAGCAGCCAACCTGCTCACTTCGCTAGCCAACCTGGTTGCTAACCCAGTGGCCTGCTGATCCGGTGTCAGGAGCGAGCCAGCGGTAACTCACACCCTGCAAGTTGGAGTTAACTCTTAATTAGCAAAAATGCAATCAACACAGGAGTGCCAGGCCTAATGAGCATGTCAACTCACTCCAATAGATCTTGCCCCCATGAAGCAATTGCTCAGACTGAAGGTCCCCACCTCCCCAAGTTCCCACCTCTCCAGGGTTTTCCCCAAGCAATCTGAGACTGTGTGTGATGGCCTGGGAATTGGATTCAGAGGCTGAACCTGAGGAATCCCAGCCTGCACAGGAGTCCCTGCCTCCAGGACCAGCTGAGCCGGGGCTGGGGCTTGAACCTGAAGGGCCCTCACCTGTGCCGGATCCTCAGGAGCAGACACCAGCTGAATCCACTCTGGCTCCGGAGGTGATGGAGGACCCATTGCCTGCAGGTGCTCCACTCTCAGCCCCGTCAGGGGAAGGTGAGGTTGCCTCTGGGTCCAGTAACCCTTCAGCTTCTCCTGAGGTGCAGAGGCTCAGGGCAGAGAGGCGGAGGGAACTAAGTACCTGCAGGAGGAGTGCTCGCCTCCAGGCCAGCAGAGGCGAGTCACCTGTGGACCGGGACTGCCCTATGCCTCAGGGCAGATAAAAGCCAGCCAGCCCCAGTTCCAGGTTGCAGGAGCAACATTGTTGGTAACCTGTTTCTGCCGGAACCCTGTCCTGCTCTTCTGCCAGAGTTCCTGACCACACCTGACTCCTTGCCTTGGACCCCGCTTCAGCCTTGATGGACAGCCTCCATACCACACCCTCAACCTCGGACTGGACTCGGACCACGCCGCACGGTAACCCCCCGGGACCAGCACACTGCGCCTGCATGAAGCTAACTTCTCCTTCGCCCTCTTCATGCCTCTTCTGGTTCTGGGGGCAGGGCTGTCTTAAGCACATGCAGCGCCAGGGTGCAAAGATCCACCCGGTGCCCCCCCAGATTGCCCAGTCCCAGGCGCACAGGAGGGCGGAGCCGGCTGGCTGCCTCAGCGTCTTGCTGGCTCGTTCACCCCCGAACTCACGGCACAGAGCCGCCCGCAGCAGAAGAGCCCCCCACGGCACTCTGACTGACAGGTGGGCTCTTCCACGGACTCAACTCTCGGGCCCCGGACTCTTGGCCTGGCGCCCCAAGAACCTGGCGCCCGGGTGCCCCTAGCGCCTATGGGTAAGACGGCCCTGTCTGCGAGACCGGTGGGGGGCTTGTTGCAGCAAGAGTGGGAAACACCCACCCATGCGTCTTCACCTGCCTGACCCATCTCTTTCTCTTGGCCTCCCTCCCACTTTAGCTTCTGCCTCTGAGTCTGGACTTCTCTCTGCCACAGACTCTCCCCGCTCACTAAGCCCTGTTGCCTCTTCAGCTTCTGACACCTCCTTCTCCCAGTCTTCTTGAGAGCCAGTGTGGTGTAGTGGTTAAGAGCGGTAGTCTTGCAATCTGGTGAACCGGGTTCGCGTCTCTGCTCCTCCACATGCAGCTGCTGGGTGACCTTGGGCCAGTCACACTTCTCTGAAGTCTCTCAGCCCCACTCATCTCACAGAGTGTTTGTTGTGGGGGAGGAAGGGAAGGGAGAATGTGAGCCGCTTTGAGCCTCCTTAGGGTAGTGATAAAGCGGGATATCAAATCCAAACTCTTCTCTTCTTCTTCTCCTTCTCGTCATCCCACCAAGACTCCCCGGACTCTGGGCTTTCTGTCAGGAGTTCAGCCTACACTCGAGTAGGACTCTGGCAGAGACACATGCCCTACTGGCATGTTCTCTCCCTCCTGGTCTTTCGTTCGGGAGCTTCAAAAGCTTTCTTCAGCCCGAACATCACGGCGACCAATGCCAACCGACACCGGCACACTTAGGGATCCACAGAGTTTGCGCACCTTGCGTGACAGACCTCAGCAACTCAGCATTTTGGCTAATCTACTTTATTTATAAACACACACGGAGCACTGCAACATGGCTACCTCTCTCTCTAGCATCAGACATCAAAGAGAAAAAGGACAAAGGACAAAAGTCCCACTTCACAGAACACAGTAACACAAACACCCTGTTTCCGTCACTTCCCACTCTGTGGAGTCAAAACATACACCGTCATGTGAAAGACAACAATCCCATGACTGCAATCACGGAGCAGGAATTCTAACACTTTCTTCCCCTGGGTTTTCCCCATCTGGTTCCTCCCACCATTCCTCAGCATCCAACTGGCCCATGACATCTGGGATCTGTAGGATGGGGGAGGGGGCAGATACAAATGCTTTGCAGGTTTTAATAATAATAATAATAATAATAATAATAATAATAATAATATATTATTTCTACCCCACCCATCTGGCTGGGCTTCCCCAGCCACTCTGGGCGGCTTCCAACAAAATATTAAAATACCGTAATAAGGCCCGTATAGTTAAAGCTATGGTTTTCCCAGTACAGTGGTACCTCGGATTACGTATGTTTCAGGTTACAGACACTTCAGGTTACAGACTCCGCTAACCAAGAAATAGTACCTCAGGTTAAGAACTTTGCTTCAGGATGAGAACAGAAATCATGCTCCGGCGGCAGCAGGAGGCCCCATTAGCTAAAGTGGTGCTTCAGGTTAAGAACAGTTTCAGGTTAAGAACGGAGCTCCAGAACGAATTAAGTACTTAACCCGAGGTACCACTGTAGTGATGTATGGAAGTGAGAACTGGACCATAAAGAAGGCTGATCGCTGAAGAATCGATGCTTTTGAATTCTGGTGCTGGAGGAGACTCTTGAGAGTCCCACGGACTGCAAGAAGATCAAACCTCTCCATTCTTAAGGAAATCAGCCCTGAGTGCTCCCTGGAAGGACAGATCATGAAGCTGAGGCTCCAATACTTTGGCCACCTCATTAGAAGAGAAGACTTCCTGGAAAAGACCCTGATGTTGGGAAAGATGGAGGGCACAAGGAGAAGGGGACGACAGAGGAGGAGATGGTGGGACAGTGTTCTCGAAGCTACCAGCATGAGTTTGACCAAACTGCAGGAGGCAGTGGAAGACAGGAGTGCCTGGCGTGCTCTGGTCCAGGGGGTCACGAAGAGTCGGACACGACTAAACAATACATCAAACATTGAAAGCTTCCCTAAACAGTAATGAATACTGCAGTAGATAGCACAGTGCTCTGCAGTGACAGTCCAGCCCAGAGCGCATGAGCCACCTTCCTTTGCCGGCTAGCACCTGTCAATCCTCTCCCAGGCCCCCAAAGTCTGACCATCTTGGCACGGAAGGCTCCATGCCATGCTCTGTTCTGATTTAAGCAGCTGCCGCTTAAACGAGGGGTGGGAGGTGGGGAGAATCTCATGAAAAGAGCAGGCAGTAAAAATATTTCTTTCTTTGCCTTACAGAATGTTCTGCTTGGGGGGGGGGCGGGGGAATTAGAGGGCCTTAAAACTAGGAAGGTAATATACGAGACTGAGACAGGGACGTTTTAACAGCCCAATATCTCACTTCCTGCGAGGCTCGGAAAGCTTGCTTTATCACCTGGGGGAGCTGGGATTCCGGGATTTCAGAGCTGGTTTCGAGGAGGACACGGCCCCAGAAATCCAGGGGGGCTGTGTGTGGCTTTAGATGATTCCATACACAGCCAGGGGCTCAGGTGGTAAGGATCAGGCCGCCCACTTACAGGATTGGCCACTGACATGCAAGGAGCCTGAGAGTTTCATGTACAGTGGTACCTCGGGTTACAGATGCTTCAGGTTACAGACTCCACTAACCCAGAAATAGTACCTCGGGTTAAGAACTTTGCTTTAGGATAAGAACAGAAATTGGGTGGTGATGGCCGCTAGCTTAGATGGCTTTAAAATAGGAGTAGACAAATTGATGGGTGGCTCACAGCCATGATAATAATAATAATAATAATAATAATAATAATAATAATAATAATTTTATTTATGTCCCCCCCACCCCAGCCGAAGCCGGGCTCAGAGCGGCTAACAACAATAAAAGTAACACAGCATTCCAAAATCAATTCATTCTAAAATCAATTCAAAATCAAATTAATGGCAACCATTGGGCTAGAGTTCTGTGAGGATTACCAAAGGAGCGGGTCAGGCTGTGCCCTGGCCAAAGGCCTGGTGGAACAGCTCTGTCTTGCAGGCCCTGCGGAAAGATGTCAAGTCCCGCAGGGCCCTGGTCTCTTGGGACAGAGCGTTCCACCAGTTCAGGGCCACGGCCGAAAAAGCCCTGGCTCTGGTTGAGGCCAGCCTAACCTCCCTGTGGCCTGGGACCTCCACGATGTTTTTGTTTGAAGACCGTAAGGTCCTCCGTGGGACATACCAGGAGAGGCGGTCCTGTAGGTACGAAGGTCCTAGGCTGTATAGGGCTTTAAAGGTCAATACCAGCACCTTAAACCTGATCCTGTACTCCACCGGGAGCCAGTGCAGCTGGTATAGCACCGGGTGAATGTGATCCCATGGCAAGGATCCTGTAAGGAGTCTCGCCGTGGCATTCTGCACCCGCTGGAGTTTCTGGGTCAGTCTCAAGGGCAACCCCACATAGAGCGGAACTTCAATGTACAGAATCAATTCCTACCTGCAAGGTGGTTTTCTCATCAGCATGGACTGCAAAGGTAACTTTAGCAGCCCTTGATTTACAACCAAAACATCTGTGGGGGTGAAAGCAGTCCCATTTAAAACTCCCCCCCCCCAATACTTGCAAGAGCAAGGGAAACTTTTTTCCCTGCGCTGCTGGAGAGACAGGCTGCATAGCAACATGCAGAACCATAAAGATTTTACCAGCTCTCCTCTGGGATGGCCGGCATAACTCACCCGTGGCACCACCACTCATGAGTAATGCCACCATCCCAAATTTGTGCCCGTAAAACCTTTATATCATGGCACACCATCAAGCATTCCCTTTTATACTGCTAAATAAAATAGCATCGTCAGCTTTAGAAACACAGCAGGGAGGAGGCGGTGAGCCGTTTCGCTGAGCTGCGGCTGGAAAATTTGTGGGTGGCTGGTTTTAAGACAAACCGGGCGCCTCTTTGTAGCCTTCCTCCCAAACACCTTAAGGCTTTTCACAATATCTTAATTGTTGGGGCCCACAAAGTGCCTGTTACTTGATAAGGGACACCGGGGCCCCCTAAGCTGAAGTGTGATTCAGGTTCTACGCTAAAACAGAAACAAACGAAAAACCTCCTGTTCAAAGGTTTCAATTCAGTCATGTATATCCACACGCTTATTTTGCAGAAAATAACTTTATAGTGTTAAATGCGTCATTTTCTTCCACAGGCAATGTTTGCAGTTTTTCATGGGCAGTGTTAGCAAAGGGACCATAGTAATATTTATCATGTCCGCATTCCATCTTTTCTCCAGGGAGCTCAAGACAAAATGCATGAGGTTATGCCATTTTTTCCTTAACAAGAAACCTGTAAACGTTGAGGGATGATGACTGGCCAGGGGTAACCCAGCAAGTGGCTTTGGATTCTGAACTCTGAACAGCCAAGTTAGCCAAATAATTGTAGGATAAAAAGATGCAAAATGATCAGCTGCCAATATTTGCTTAAATGGTGCAGGTTTTCAGAATCCGTTTCCTCTTGGTACGCTGTGTGGATTGCTTTGGAGTACAATTTATTAAGAAACTTGTAGTTTAATAATAACAATAATAATAATTAATAATAATTTATTTATATCCTGCCCTCCCCAGCTGAAGCCGGGCTTAGAGCGGCTAACAACAATAAAAGTAACACAGCATTCTAAAATCAAATTTATTATAAAATCAGTTCAAATCAAATTGATGGCAACCATTGGGCTCGAGTTCTGTGAAGAATTACCAAAGGAGGGGGTCAGGCTGTGCCTTGGCCAAAGGCCTGGTGGAACAGCTCTGTCTTGCAGGCCCTGCGGAAAGATGTCAAGTCCCGCAGGGCCCTGGTCTCTTGTGACAGAGTGTTCCACCAGATCGGGGCCACAGCCAAAAAAGCCCTGGCTCTGATTGAGGCCAGCCTAAACTCCCTGTGGCCCTGGACCTCCAAGATGTTTTTGTTTGAAGACCGTAAGGTCCTCCATGGGACATACCAGGATAGGCAGTCCCGTAGGTACGTGGGTCCTAGGCCACAAAGGGCTTTAAAGGTTAAAACCAGCACCTTAAACCTGATCCTGTATTCCACCGGGAGCCTGTGCAGCTGGTAAAGCACCGGGTGAATGTGATCCCGTGGCCAGAACCCCGTAAGGAGTCTCGCCGCAGCATTCTGCACCCGCTAGAGTTTCTGGGTCAGTCTCAAGGGCAGCCCCACATAGAGCGAGTTACAGTAATCCAGTCTGGAGGTGACCGTCACGTGGATCACAGTGGCTAGGTCAGGGTGAGAGAGGTAAGGAGCCAACTGCTTAGCTTGGTGGAGATGAAAAAATGCCGCCTTTGTTATAGCTGCAATCTGTGCCTCCATGGAAAGGGAAGTGTCGAAGATTATACCCAAACTCTTAACGGACGGTGCTGGCACTAACTGCACCCCCGCAAGAGATGGGAGTTACCCCCTTAATCCCATATTGTCCCGTCCCAGCCAGAGGACCTCTGTCTTCGAAGGATTTAACTTCAGCCGGCTCCCACGTAACCATCCAGCCACAGCTTCCAAGCATCTGATCAGTGTGTCTGGGGCCGAGTCAGGATGGCCATCCATCAACAGATAGAGTTTTATTTCTCTGTGAAGGACAGAGTGCAAAACAGTCACGTCACAGCTTCCTTTTTTTGCAGGCCGAGAGAGAGGAAAACGCCGGGCGGGCGAAGGGCTAGTAATGTTTTCCCTCTCTTTTGCAGGTTGCCCGGTCTCAAGGGAGAGGCATTTTTCTCTTCCGGAAGCTCAAGGATGTAATTGATTGGAGGAAGGTGAGATGCCTCCTTCTTCTCACCTCTCAGGAAGGGATTAGTTGGGAACAGCCTACCATACAGTTTTGCCCGGTGAGCAGCACCTTTGCATCAGCTGCTTAGGGGTTGGGGCCCCATATATTTCTTCCTGCCCTCTACTGTTTAGGGTGGCTTGTGTATGGAGATCAGGGTGGCCCTGGAGGCTTCTGGCTTCTTTGAGCCCTGGGAGATTTTCAGATGTAACTTGGCTCACACCAGAAAAACACAAGAGCTCTGGTACGGTGAGTGGGCTGACGATAATACTATTCACTCTGGACAGCACACCCAGAATCTTACTTCGGTTTAAAACCAACCAGACAAGCAGAATCTTCTAATTGCCATGATGTGCAGCTGCACTTTGGTCCTTTTTGTTGGTTTTTGTAATTTGCTTAAAATATAAAAGGAGAACTCCCTGAATGCCTAGATCCAGGTTTGGGGCAAATATTCTTTGGTGAGAGAGCTGCAGCAGAGATTTAAAATCGCAAGCCATGCAGCAAAGTGAAGTGTGGAAACATAGGCTGTTAGACCTTTAAAACATTCCCTTGTAAGCTACTTCCAAGTTTCCCACTTCCTTCAGCATTGAAAGAGACCATGTTTGGTAAGTTAAAAATGGTTGACTTACAAACTCTTTAAAGGTCAGGTTCATGTGCTTTTCCATACAGCAGCAAGAAAAGACAAGCAGTACAACTTAGTTTCAAAAAGTGGTAAATGTTTCAAAATCATTTTTATAGAAACACGAAGATGGCTTACTAAAGCCACACGGTCTGAACTTGGAGCATCCAGCTTAGACATTCTTATTGGTCAGGTTCATATGGTGGAAAATAAGAAGAAACATCTTTGTTTCCTGAGAATGCCTCTAGGCATGCCCTGATGTAGTCTGGGGAAACAGATGGAAGCTGAAGGTCAGGGCTTGGCGTAGCAGCACAAACTGCCTGCTTGGTAAATAACATTTATTCAAAATTAGGGAGGGTTAAGGGGGCTTTTGCTGGTGCTGAAGGAGGCGTCTAGGGGTGCCCTGGTGTGTTAGATTGGAGCGCCCAGATTTAGGTGTATGGGGTCTCCCTCTTCCTCTTATTCAGGCCATAAAGGTAAAGGGACCCCTGACCATTAGGTCCAGTCGTGACTGGCTCTGGGGTTGCGACACTCATCTCACTTTACTGGCCGAGGGAGCCGGCGTACAGCTTCCGGGTCATGTGGCCAGCAGGACTAAGCCGATTCTGGCGAAACCAGAGCAGCGCACGGAAACGCCGTTTGCCTTCCTGCTGGAGCGGTACCTATTTATCTACTTGCACTTTGACATGCTTTCGAACTGCTAGGTTGGCAGGAGCAGGGACCGAGCAACCGGAGCTCACCCCGTCGCGGGGATTTGAACCGCCCACCTTCTAATCGGCAAGTCCTAGGCTCTGTGGTTTAACCCACAGCGCCACCCGCGTCTCAAATTCAGGCCATAGCTATCTCCGTATTTGGCTTTTGAAACGAATTTTCCTCCAGGTCTAGAAACCTAACAACGTTAGTTGGGATATACCTCCTGCTATATCAGATTTACCAAATGTGATGTTCCCCAGATGTTTTGGCCAACAACCCCCATGACCCCTGACCATCGGCCTTGCTGGCTGGAGTTGTATTCCAAAGCATATTGTGGGCAGCCTGCTACTGCCATTGTTCTTCTTATGTTGCATCTGTTAGTCGCTTTATACAAAAATGAAATGTCATGGGGGGAAAATGCAAACAGAAACAAATGGACTTTGGTGATTCAGCTTCTGGCTCCTCTTTATAGACCACTGAGGCCTGGATGTCTGGGTTGACGTGTGAGAGGCAATTTGGTCTAAAGGCCATTCTGGTCCTTCCTGTGTCTCTGTATTTCTCTGCTTTGTACAATAGCAGGCAAGCAGCCCTGAGCGAAGGCAAAAACACTTCCCATATTTAAGGCTGAATCTGACCTCAGGGGAAACGTCCTTCCCAGGCCCCCAGTGTACATGCCAACCTAACCCCACAGGTAGACAAGAGCAAAGGTAAAGGTAAAGGTAAAGGGACCCCTGACCATTAGGTCCAGTCGTGGCCGACTCTAGGGTTGCGGCGCTCATCTCGCTTTACTGGCCGAGGGAGCCGGTGTGCAGCTTCCGGGTCATGTGGCCAGCAGGACTAAGCCATTTCTGGCAAACCAGAGCAGCTCACGGAAACAGCGTTTACCTTCCCGCCGGAGCGGTACCTATTTATCTACTTGCACTTTGACGTGCTTTCGAACTGCTAGGTTGGCAGGAGCAGGGACTGAGCAACGGGAGCTCACCCCGTCGCGGGGATTCGAACCGCCGACCTTCTGATAGGCAAGTCCTAGGCTCTGTGGCTTAACCCACAGGAGAATGTTAAACAGTGCTTCCATTCTTCCTGACCTAAGCAAGTCACCCGATCTCCTTCACAGGACGGTGTCCGCGTGGATGACCAGAAGGATGAAATTCCGGTAGAGAATTACGTAGCGCAGCGCTACATCGAGAACCCGTATTTAGTCGGTGGTGAGTTGCCTGCTTATCAGCCCAGAATATGTGTGCACACACAGACACACAATCCTGCGCCTCCATCCCAAATTTGGAGTGAATTTCCCTGACCGCCAGTCTCATGAATAAGGTGGGGCGTATGCACACGCAGCCCCTTTCTGGGATAGGCTGCCCAATGGAGATTGTATTTCCTACATCAAACTTAAGATGACCATTTGTACTAGTCTAAATGTACATGTGCGTATGTCATGAATGGTTAGTGCCCACTCTTGCCCTCTGCATGTAGATCAGCAGATAACTTGTCTCTGGGAAGTCAGAGAGAAGCTCTAATTCCCACTAGTTCCAGCTGCCTGCAATTGATACTGTATGCCCCGTCGGAGGTGAATGATGTTTGCGGCTCGCTCAGTAAACTATCCGGTGATTTGTTCTGTAGCGGATAAGGCACTTCTATTGTTTCTGATTGACTTTGACTTTTCTACAAGTATCTATTTCTGTGGTTTTTGTTGCTTAACCGTGACAGCTATTGGTAGCAATTACACAGCCTTGAGCGATAAAACCTTCAGTTTACCTTTCAGCCGCTTTGCTGATGAGGCTAAAACATCCCAGCAGGGCTTTGGGTTTCCATGTTTCAATTCTTTCATCTATCACCATCATCATGGTCCCTTCCAACCCTAAAATTCTATGTATGATTCTATGCTATAAATATTCACACTGGTCCCGCTTTAAAAACGTTCGCTATGAGAAAATTCACTTATCCAAACACAACGAGTTAGTACCCAAACCTTGCTACACACACTGCAGATTCAGATAATCAAACAGAGAGCATTTTTACTTTCTCGTTTGCCTTTTGCTGGTTGACTGAAGAACAGGGGAGGGAGGAAGTGGTGAGAGCGATTTTTTTCTGGGTTTTCCTCTCTCTTTTTGCCCTTTGGAGGTCAACATTCTGTGCTTGGGAACACATTAGAAATCTCCCCATAGGAATCAGTGAAAATCCTCAACTTGTTATGTGAACACTCACCTAACGGATGATATCCAGGGAACACATTCTGTTCTGTAAGTGGAACCTGCATGTACATAATAGTCCTTACATAAGCAAAAAAGACAGTTTGCTGCCCCAAGGTGCTTACAGTCTAAGAGTACCTCCAGACTGGGAGTACAGGTGTATTCTGCAACATGTCAACAATAAGAGTGTTCTAGTGGTGGATTTGTACCAGACCACCCACACAACCCTCTCAGTTGTCCTGCAATGCTTCCCCAGTGCTGCTGCATTAGTGCTGCCTGAAGGGGCACTATTGTGATAGTAAAGGTAAAGGGACCCCTGACCATTAGGTCCAGTCGTGGCCGACTCTGGGGTTGCGGCGCTCATCTCGCTTTCTTGGCCGAGGGAGCCGGTGTACAGCTTCCGGGTCATGTGGCCAGCATGACTAAGCTGCTTCTGGCGAACCAGAGCAGCGCACGGAAATGCCGTTTACCTTCCCGCCGGAGTGGTACCTATTTATCTGCTTGCGTTTTGACATGCTTTTGAACTGCTAGGTTGACAGGAGCAGGGACCGAACAATGGGAGCTCACTCCGTTGCGGGGATTCGAACCGCCGACCTTCTGATCGGCAAGTCCTATGCTCTGTGGTTTAACCCACAGCGCCACCCGCGTCCCAGCACAACAAAAGTGGACAACCCACCCACCCCAGAATATTTGTGGTATAAAAGTTACGAGACTTCAGGAGGAAGTTACAGGGCAAGCGCTTACTAGAAGTGAAGCGCTTTGTTTGCCCCCAGAACCTTTGCAGACATAAACAGTATCGAACGTGGGATGGTGTATAACCGCCCTGATACCGCCAGGAGCACAAATCACCATGAGTGTCCAAACAAAAGGAAACACAGAGGGAACTAGCACAAATGTAATGCCATCCTTCAGTCCTGAGAATGAGGTACAAATAGCACAGGTGGGGCAGTAATTCATAAAGCTATTTCTCTTGGGTTCACAGGGCGGAAGTTTGACTTGAGAGTGTACGTCCTAGTCATGTCGGTGAGTGAACAGGCCATCGCCCCTGCAATGCCCAGTCCGTCCCCTAAATTGATGTGATAGATAGCCAGCTAGGAGGGACTTATACCTGAAGGAGGGTCTCCACCCCCATCATTCTGCCCGGATGCTGAGGTCCAGTGCTGAGGGCCTTTTGGCGGTTCCCTCACTTCAAGAAGCAAAGCTACAAGGAACCAGGCAGAGGGTCTTCTCAGTAGTGGCACCCACCCTGTGGAACGCCCTCCCATCAGATGTCAAAGAGATAAACAACTACCTGACATTTAGAAAACATCTGAAGGCAGCCCTGTTCAGGGAAGTTTTTTATGGGTGACATTTTGATGTGTTTTTGGTCTTTGTTGGAAGCCACCCAGAGTGGCTGGGGAAACCCAGCCAGATGGGCAGGGTAAAGGGACCCCTGACCATTAGGTCCAGTCTTGACTGACTCTGTGGTTGCGGCGCTCATCTCGCTTTATTGGCCGAGGGAGGTGGCATACAGCTTCCGGGTCATGTGGCCAGCATGACTAAGCTGCTTCTGGTGAACCAGAGCAGTGCACGGAAATGCCGTTTACCTTCCCGCCAGAGTGGTACCTATTTATCTACTTGCACTTTGAGGTGCTTTCGAACTGCTAGGTTGGCAGGAGCAGGGACCAAGCGACGGGAGCTCACCCCGTCGCGGGGATTTGAACCGCTGACCTTCTGATCGGCAAAGTCCTAGGCTCTGTGGTTTAACCCACAGCGCCACCCGCGTCCCTGCATGGGCAGGGTACAAATGATAAGTTATTGTTGTTGTTGTTGTTGCTGCTCACCACCGCTTTCTCTTCCTCCCAGTATATCCCACTCAAAGCCTGGCTTTACCGGGACGGCTTTGCTCGCTTCTCCAACACCCGCTTCACCCTGAACACCATCGACGACCACTGTATCCTGACCTGTCTGCACATTGCATGGGCTGCTTCAGGACGGAACAACTTTTTGTCAGCTGTTGGGGGGGGGGAGGGACGTTTGCAACAAGATGCCCGTGTGCTTGGTGCAGGAAGACTGCAGAGCCCACTCACGCTGAGCAGGTCTGGCAGCCAAGGTTAGCAGCCTTGCCTGAAGTCCCTGGCAGACTGAGGCAGCTGCAAGCACTGAAACAGCCTTTTCTGACCATTTTAGGACCACTGAGGACCAAATTGTATGTGATGCTAAATGCATCACTGCATGGGAAGCTACTTTATATCTGTTTCTATATGTTCTATTTATTGCGTTTATACCCTGCCCTTTTATGTGGGAGGAAAATATTAATCCCTGTGACCCATGTGTGTGGGGTGAAATGGCTGGGTACCTGGATTCAAAATGCAGGGCTAAACTCACGCTCCAGCAGGAATGAGACCTCACTAGCAGAGTTTAAAAACAGAAAAGTCAAGCAGCAGTATAGCGTTTAGGAAGGCAGGTTGTTAGAAACTTTTAGTCTGCATGCAAACAGCACCCTTCTCTTTCTACCCCTTTTGCAATGGACAAACCACACACTGTTAAGTAAGTTTAAAATGTTTTACTTACAAAACATTCCATAGGTCAGATTCATGCATTTATCCAAGGAGCAGCAAAGAGAACACAGGCAGAATAATCTTTGGTAGAAAATGGAAAGATAGTGCCAAACACGTGCTCTAAGCTTGGCGCTTGCTTAGGCATGTCTTCCTTGGTCAGTTACATGATGCAGAGAGAGTGAGGGAACAGGAAGAGAAGGCTTCACTTCCTCCCTCCTTGGAGATGAGTGGGCGTGACCTACGTAACTGAGTCTAGGAATTTAACTCTGTGATCTTAACCCATTCAGTCCCTAAGACTGGATCTACACGCAAGAAAAACCCGCTATAAATAAGTCATAAATTAAATTGTTATAACGGAAGAAAAAACTGTATGTAAAATCACATAGGCAAAGTTTTGTGCTCTACATCGCCATCTGGTGTCGCATGTGTATAACGAAGTTATAGCGTTGCAACATGGCTGATGTAGCTGAGTCCTAACTTTTCCTCTAAGGAGTTCAAGGTGGCATGCATGGTGCTCCCCCTCCCCATTTAATCCCCATGGCAACCCCATGGGCGGGAGGATAGATGAACTGAGTAGCCTGGGCAAAGGGAAACCGTTTTGGGAGCCGGGTTCATATTTTGGATTCAGGGAGCATCTCTTTCCTTTCATATCATCCTTACCTCCCGCCTCCTGCCAGATGTTCACCTGACAAATGTAGCTGTGCAGAAGACAGCCCCTGACTACGACCCCGAAAAGGTGAGCAATGAGGGCCCAGCGACCCAGGTACACAAACCCTTCTGTTTCAGGGGCCGGGGTGGTTTGGCTGGGGGCTGGGCGAGGCCACACTTAAAATCCTCAGCCAAGGAGTGGCTGTAGCAGGAAGACCAATGGGTTAAGAGTCAAGATAGATGCAACATTTTAACTGTAGCCCCTTTGAGCTCTGCATTTTGGGGGTGCCACTTCACCCTTTTTACAACTTGCCCTGCACATAGGTAAAGGTAAAGGGGCTCCTGACCATTAGGTCCAGTTGTGGACGACTCTGGGGTTGCGGCACTCATCTCGCTTTACTGGCCGAGGGAGCCGGCGTACAGCTTCTGGGTCATGTGGCCAGCATGACTAAGCCACTTCTGGCAAACTAGAGCAGCGCATGGAAACGCCGTTTACTTTCCCACGGGAGCGGTACCTATTTATCTACTTGCACTTTGACGTGCTTTTGAACTGCTAGGTGGGCAGGAGCAGGGACCGAACAACGGGAGCTCTCCCCGTCGTGGGGATTCGAACCGCCGACCTTCTGATCGGCAAGTCCTAGGCTCTGTGGTTTAACCCACAGTGCCACCCATGTCCCTGCACATACAGTAAGCCAAATGCAAGGTTTGGCCTCGATTCTTTCCCCTCCTTTCGCTATCAGGTGGGCTGTTCAAAAGTGGCACATGCACATTTAAAGTGATGTGTATGTCTGCCAGCTCTGCTTTTTTAAAAAGCTTCAGGGATTTAAAAACAATTGCAAAACTCCTCTGGAAACCAGGCAAGGAAAGAAAGTGTGTGGGTAACATGAACTTTGCCCAACTAAAACTGAATCAGTCCAAGTTACTTCAAAATGAATTGAGGGTGGGGTTCACTCCAGGGGAGGTACATTGGGCACTTTGAAACCACCTCCGTCTTCACCCCTGGGCTCTCAGTTATGGCTGGGGGAACTGGAAACCTCAAGGGCTGCCTCTTTTCATATGAACTTACCCAGAACCTGAGATCATCTTCTGAGACCCTCCTTTCATGTGCCTCCTCCTCAAGAGGTCTGGAGGGTGGCAACACGAGAACGGGGCCTCCTCTGCAGTGGCTCCCCATCTGTCGAATGCTCTCCCCAGGTGTATAATGAAGGCACCAGGCACCAATACATCGATCTATTGCCCAAAACCAGTTTGAAGTCCATTTCATGAAATCAGTTTCATACTTTTTGACCTGGCAATATATTTTGAATCCGTGCAAAAATCACTGTGGGGGAAAAAACACGTGAAGCCAGCCAGTGCCTCTACACAGCTCCCTCCCTATTTCAGACATCATGATATCGCAATGTTTAGCTGCTGATAGATATATCGCGATGTTGAAAACCAGAGGTTGCCCAGCCCTACGCAAGGGCTAGTTGAAGAGGCCTGGGGAGCCACACTCTGCTTCTGGGCCTGAGGTTCCCCACTCTGAGCGCAATACTTTAGGTGCAGGGAGTGCCTCAGTACTGTGCTGTTCCTGTAAGGTACTTGACATTGCTGCCGTCCCACCAGCTGCTGGGCTACCAGCCTCATGGAAACATTCTTGTGATATAAATGGAGTACCCCATCTGTTTAAAAAAACCAACAACGCTAGATGTCGAGTTGGGTTTTTATAAGCAGCTGCCACTGCCGCTCTTGGTTGTTTTGGCCTGTGTCCAGTCTATCGATCCTGTTTAGGGCTCGCCCTTTTTCCACAGAGCTCAGAGCGACTGTTGATCTCTTTTGGTCTCTTAGCAATCTTGAGAGGTAGAGTAAACTGAGAGGCGGGGGACGAGTGGGGATTTGAACCCGAGTCTCCCCAGCCCAAACCCACCTCTCTGTGCCCCTCTTTGTTGGCAGTCAGTAGAAATTGCACAAAACAAATGAAATACCATGAAAATCCCTGAAACGAGAACTAATTGACTAGAAATATTATCTTATGAAAATAAACTCAATAATAAAAATCAAAGAGTTTAAGGAAAAAATTAGAAAAACCTCAAATTGAATGAAGCCTTAATGGGATGCCAGCTACAAACATCGTTTCACTGAACTATTCAGTTTCCTCAGGAGGAAATAGAAAAATCATGAACCTTAAATGACCAAAATTCACAGGAAGGGGGTAGAACTCCCAAAAATTCTGAAATATTTATAATCCTGGGCCGACCTAGGTGAAGCAAAGCGTAGCAATAAAGGACTGAGGACTCAAAGGTACAATTTCTAATATTGAATTTACAAAAAAGGTTTGGAAACCCAAGTGGCAAGTTTTAAACAAAGCCAATTTAGAGGAAGCAAAGCACAGTAGTAAAGAGTTGGGGACTCAGCTGTGAAAATTCTAGTGTTGCCTTTACGAAAAGGTTTAAAAAACCTAAATGGCACAAATTCAAAGAAAGGAATACAAGATAAGCTGTTTTAGATTTTTTCCCCTTAAGCTCTTTGATTTTTATTATTTAGTTTATTTTCATAAGATAATATTTCTAGCGGATTACTTCTCGTTTCAGGGATTTTCACGGTACAGTGGTACCTCGGGTTACAGACGCTTCAGGTTACATACGCTTCAGGTTACAGACTCCACTAACCCAGAAATAGTGCTTCAGGTTAAGAACTTTGCTTCAGGATGAGAACAGAAATCGGGCTCCGGCGGTGCGGCAGCAGCAGCAGCAGCAGGAGGCCCTATTAGCTAAAGTGGTGCTTCGGGTTAAGAACAGTTTCAGGTTAAGTACGGACCTCTGGAACAAATTAAGTACTTAACCCGAGGTACCACTGTATTTCACTTGTTTTGTGCAACCTCTTTGTCGGCAGGGCTGCAAGTGGATGATCCAGAAGTTCCGCCTCTACCTGACGGCCAAGCACGGGGCGGAAGCTGTGGAGAACCTCTTTGCTGAGATGGACAACATTTTCATTAAGAGCCTGCAGAGCGTCCAGAAAGTCATCATCAGCGACAAGCACTGCTTTGAGCTCTACGGCTACGATATCCTGATCGACCAAGACCTCAAGCCGTAAGGGGGGGAGAGGGTCAGAGGATACTCCCAAGGGAAGGGAGGTATCTCAGTTGCTCTGGATCAGAAGAGGAAGAGGAGGAAGAGGAGAGACAGCAGGAACTGGAAGGGCTTGCTGGGCAGCAGACAGTTCAAGGGAAGGAAAGAAAGATTGCAAGGAGATTTTTTTTAAGGGTTCATAGGTATCTCGCCTGCTCCCAATATCCAGTTATGTGGCTCTTTCCAGTATCACACAACAGGGCCGCCACATAGTGGATTCAGATAACCAGAGTGGAAGGATGGTGAAGAGCAGCCTTCTCCGACTTGGTGCCCTCCAGATGTTCTTGACTACAACTCCCATCATGTCTGACCATTTGCTGCACTGGCTGCTGGGAGCTGGGAGTCCCGACTGTTAATGGAGAAATCTGAGGGCTCCCTTGGACAAAAAACAAGGATACCAGCCAGGAATACCAGAGCAAAACAGCAGCCAGTAGGCTTGGTCTTTATTGAAGACTGTCCTCCCACCTGCCTCAAGGTGGAACAAGATGGAAGCCCCAAACAAAAGAGCCCCCAAACTTTTATTAGCTGCTAATCCCCATGTTACACCCCCCCAAACTACATCACTAATACGTCATGGTTACATCATGAAAGGGGAGGTCTGGTGGCAGTAATCTGAGCATCCTGGACCCTGCCCCATGGTTCTCCTTGCCCTCCACCAAACACCCATCAAGTGGAACAAAAGAGATATTTACATTTCCCTGTTTCCCAGCCACGTTAATGACACCCTTTTGTCTTCATCTGGGTTTGTTCTTTCTGGAATGGCTACCTGTCTGGCACTCAGGTACCAGGATGCCAGGGATTATCACTCAGGCAGAGGGGCTGCTGAGTAGCTGAGCTCACATCTATATGAATTTCTGAAGTTTCTCCAGTGAGCCAGTACCGTATTTTTCGCCCTATAGGGCGCACCGGCCCATAGGGTGCACTTATTTTTTGGGGGGGGGGAATAAAGAATCCCCCCCCCCGAGCATGCCGGGCTGGGAGCGGGGGAAGCCTGAGCTTCCCCTGACCCCAGTCCCCAGAATGGGTCCGGGAGCAACAGCGAGGTTGCATTCAACCTCGCCATCGCTTCCAGAGCTTGCCGGGCTGGGGGCGGGGAAAGCCCGAGCTTCCTCCGGCCCCAGCCCCCAGAACGGGTCCGGGAATGATGGCGAGGTTGCGCTCAACCTCGCCATCGCTCCCGGAGCTTGCTGCTATCCGAAGCCCGGGGAGCGCGGCGCTGTAGCCCGCTGCGCACCCCGGGTTTAGGGCAGCCATCCACAAGCCTGCGGTGCCCGGCAGAAAATCCCGCCGGGCGCCACAGGCTTGCGGATAGCTGCCCTAAGCCCGGGGTGCACAGTGCCACACTCCCCGGGCTTCGGGCTGCAGGCAGCTATCCACAAGCCTTCCGACCCCTCTCGCTCTCCAGGCTTCAGTGAAAGCCTGCATTCGCCCCATAGGACGCACACACATTTCCCCTTCATTTTTGGAGGGGAAAAAGTGTGTCCTATAGGGCGAAAAATACGGTACATAGAGACATTGATCAGTGAATTCTTATATTTGGTATCATGCAGAAAAGGCCCTTTGAATAGATAGGAATAAACTGTGATGAAGTGTTTTGTGGGGACAAATCACAAAAGTCACAAAAGTGATTGTGCTGGTTTTGGTAGTGGGCTGCATGTGCATGATATTTGCTAGAGGGGCAACCCCCCCAACCTATACATAAATTCCTGCAACACGACAACATTTGGAGGGCACCAAGTTGGGGAAGGCTGATTTAGAGCATGTCTTTGCCTACAGAGTTTTCAGCACAATCCTATCCATGCCTACTCAGAAGGAAGTCCCTATGGGTTTCGCAGGGGGGGGGGAGTTCCCCCACGTAGGTGGATATTGAATTATGGCCGTTGGCTGTCTTAACTGCTGTATTCCGAGGGGAAAGCGTAGATCCGTAGGGAATAGGACTCTTTAACCGAATTCTCAGTTTTCTCACAATGCAGTAAGTCTCGGGGGGTTGGGGAAATTGAAACTGGTTTAAATCCAATTTTCGTTTGCAGGGGCAAATGTCGTTGGAGGGGAACCTTTGCTTCTTGCCATTCCCTTTCATTGTCCAAAGGGAGAAGAGGTCAGCAAGGCAGGATTGTGCCTTTTCTCGCCGTTCTAGCCTCCAGCCATCCTCTCGCCTGCCCAGCCATGTTTCCCCTCCGCCCTTGGCAAGGAAATCTGGCACAATCAATTTCAGACCTGCCACTCTCCTTTCGAGCTCTGCCCTCTTGGCCTTGCCCCCCTTCCCTCCCTCTGCTGTGGCTGCTGGTTCAATTAGCGCCTCGGTGGCTTGTCAGCATTGCTCCGGTGCCTCTGCCACAACCCTGGGGACAGCTTTATTTAAAAGGAGCCGATAAGCAGACGCCAGGCAGCCACCGTCTGGAGCAGCGACTCTGCATTGTCTGACGCACTCCGAGGAACATGGAGCCTGCCTCCCTCGGCACTCGACAGAGACTGAGTAGCAAACCCCGGGGCCTTGCAGTTAGAGGACTTTAGCCCAGCTTCTTTGCATTATTCAGCTGGCTCTTCCCAGAGCCTTTGGGTGGGAATTTGCACCCAGGTCTTCAAAAGTCTGGGGCAGTCTGGGGCAGATTGCTTACCTGGGAAGGTAGCCCATCTAGGAGAAGGAAGACTCTGGTCCTAAACCTCCCAGGATTCACTGAGAATGGGAATAATAATAATAATAATAATAATAATAATAATAATAATAATAATTTATTATTTATACCCCGTCCATCTGGCTGGGTTTCCCCAGCCACTCTGGGCGGCTTCCAACAGAACACTAAAATACAATAACCTATTAAACTTTAAAAGCTTCCCTGAACAGGGCTGCCTTCAGATGTCTTCTAAAAGTTTGGTAGTTTTTCTCTTTGACAGCTGGTGGGAGGGCGTTCCATGCCAGGGTAGCTCTGTTTTGGGAAGTTTTTAACGTTTGACGCTTTATTGTGCTTTTAATACAGTCATACCTTGTGTTGCGTTTGCTTCGTGATACTTTTTTTAGGTTGCGTCCCGCGGCGACCCGGAAGTACCGGAAAGGGTTACTTCTGGGTTTCGCAGCTTGCGCAGGCGCGCAAAATGACATCACGCAGTTGCGGGTTGCGTTCTGCTCATGTTGCAAATTGGACTCCGGAACGGATCCCATTCGCAACCAGAGGTACCACTGTGTTGTGTTGGGAGCCGCCCAGAGTGGCTGGGGAAACCCAGCCAGATGGGCGGGGTATAAATATTATTATTATTATTATTATTATTATTATTATTATTATTACTGCTGCTCCTCCCCTAGACCAAGTAAAACAATAGAAATACTTAACCAACTGACCAATCAGGTCAGTCCTGCCCCCCTAAAAAAAGTCCCCCCCCAAAAATATCCTGACTATGCCCATGGTTCAATGACACCTTGCTGCAATTGCAGCCAGGCTGGTGCCAGATGTATTGCATCAGCGAGGCTGAGAGGGGAGACCAGAACCCCCATATATACCCTGACCAGGCTTGCACCCAGGAGAGGAGGTGTACTTCCTTGCCTCTCTAGAGAGATGGGTGCCAGCCACCTTCCAAAGACAGTTAGCTTAGACTAGGGAACGGAACCCAGGGCAAGTCAACTGGGATAGGGCAGCCTTCACTAACCTGGTACCACCCAGATGTTTCGGACTGCCACTGATGGGCTGTAGTCCAAAACATCTGGAGGGCACCAGGTTGGCAAAGGCTGGGATAGGTTCTGGCTTGGATCTTACTGCAGCTCGTAGAGTTGCGCGGGACAGAATATTCCTCCACTTAAGGCATTGACCTCAAGGATGGACAGAAGCGGGAAGAGATATGGCGGGCAATGGAAGATGGAGAAGCCAACGGAGGAGAGCGTGCCAGTCGTTTCTGCCCATCTCGACAGCATGTACATTGTGCCCACTGTAGTATGAGAGTCAGCGTGGTGTAGTGGTTAGGAGTGGTGGACTCGTAATCTGGTGAACCGGGTTTGCTTCCCCGCTCCGCCACATGCAGCTGCTGGGTGACCTTGAGCCAGTCACACTTCTCTGAAGTCTCTCAGCCTCACTCACCTCACATATAATAATAATAGTAATAGTAATAATAATAATAGTAATAATAATAATAATTTATTTGTACCATTGTTTCCTATTGTTTCCCCAGCCACTCTAGGCGACTTCCAGCAAAGATAAAAAAATACATTAAAATGTCACACATTAAAATCTTCCCTAAACAGGGCTGTCTTCAGATGTATTCTCAATGTCAGGTAGTTGCTTATCTCTTTGACATCTGATGGGAAGGCGTTCCACAGGGCGGGCGCCACCACCGAGAAGGCCCTCTGCTGGTTCCCTGTAACTTGGCTTCTCGCAGCGAGGGAACCGCCAGAAGGCCCTCGGCACTGGACCTCAGCATCCGGGCAGAACGATGGGGGTGGAGACGCTCCTTCAGGTATAGTGTTTGCTGTGGGGGAGGAAGGGAAAGGAGATTGTTAGCCACTTTGAGACTCCTTAAGGGGAGTGAAAGGCGGGATATCAAGTCCAAACTCTTCTCTTCTTCTTCTATGACCAAGCAGAAGAATCCAGGGAGGGTCTATGGAGGTTAGAAGGGGCTGAATTCTCAGTAGTCCCATTCAGTCCTATGGGATGAAGCAGTTGGCAAGGTTGTTGGGGAAAGCCCCAAACTTGCGTCCCCTACAAGCCACTGATGCCACAAATAGGACAGCCTGGTAGCGTGCTCAGATACACCCCTTTAATTTCCTCACCCATAGGGACACTTCCTCAAAGACAGCAGGCTGGCCGACGAATGAAGCAGGATTCTGCATGCTTCATCTAATAAGAATAAGAATAAGAATAAGAATAAGAATAAGAATAAGAATAATAAAAAAATAATTTTATTTATACCCCGCCCTCCCCAGCCAAGGCCAGGCTCAGGGCGGCTAACAAGCAATAAAATAACAAGATTAAAATACAACACTGAAACATTGAAACATTAAAATGCAGCCTCGTCACAGGAGGAGAAAGGAATGCACCTCTCGCACCCGTATCAACCAGTCAGCCTCCACAGGGCAGTTTTGCATCGGTGAACCGCCTCCCCTTCACCAAACCGCACGGATCCACGATGAAAAGACAAGCCACAAGCCCGATCTCCTTAGCTCCGGGTGCGTTAAGCACACAAAGAAGAAGAAGAAGAAGAGTTTGGATTTGATATCCTGCTTTATCACTACCCGAAGGAGTCTCAAAGCGGCTAACATTCTCCTTTTCCCTTCCTCCCCCACAACAAACACTCTGTGAGGTGAGTGAGGCTGAGAGACTTCAGAGAAAGGTGACTAGACCAAGATCACCCAGCAGCTGCATGTGGAGGAACAGGGAATCAAACCCGGTTCACCAGATTACGAGTCTATCGCTCTTAACCACTACACCACAATGGCTCTCAGCCCCTTCCAGCCCCCATTGCTCTCTTTTGCTGTCCTTGGCAGGTGGCTTCTCGAAGTTAATGCTTCCCCCTCCCTCACGGCCAGCAGCCAGGAGGACTATGAACTCAAGACCCATCTTCTGGAGGACACCCTGAACATAGTGGACATGGAGGGCAGGTGAGTAGAGCACTTAGCGTGTGTGCCTCGTGCCTGTCATTTCAGTTGGCTCTGTTGTTGTTTAGTCGATTAGTCATGCCCGCCTCTTCGTGACCCCCTGGACCAGAGCACGCCAGGCACTCCTGTCTTCCACTGCCTCCCGCAGTTTGGTCAAACTCATGCTGGTAGCTTTGAGAACACTGTCCCACCATCTTGTCCTCTGTCGTCCCCTTCTCCTTGTGCCCTCCATCTTTCCCAACATCAGGGTCTTTTCCAGGGAGTCTTCTCTTCTCATGAGGTGGCCAAAGTATTGGAGCATCAGCTTCAGGCAGGATCTGTCCTTCCAGTGAGCACTCAGGGCCGATTTCCTTCAGAATGGATAGGTTTGATCTTCTCGCAGTCCATGGGATTCTCAGTTGGCTCTACTAATCTTTATAGTGTGCCTTCCGCACTGTCGATCCCCCTGAGGGTGCAGCAGGAGTCTTTGCCCTATGGAAATAAGCAACAAGACATGTGCACTGCTTATGACTCCCACAGTTTTCCTGCATTCTCAAGTGCTGCAACCCTTAATCTTATGCAGTGCACCAAAGCCAAGTGCAAGTTCATGGGAGATGTTTCAAACCACTTGTTTTCCTGTGCTGACCATCTTTCTGCAAAACCACCCAGTCCTCCTCGGTCTCTCCAACCTCCTTTTGCAGGAACTTCTTCCTGGATTCCTCTTGAAGCAAAGCTTATTTGTTTTTAAATAACTTTTATTATTATTAATTGACATCCATACACAATCTTAGGTACATGTACAGCCTTAAATAATTATACCATTAAATGTTGATTTAAACTTGTATTTGTACATGCTCTTTTCTTATAATTTCTAACGAAACAAAAATAAACCAAAATAAAAATCCAGTAAACTAAATTATATGAAAACAGACTTCCCGTCATTTCCCGATATAAATTACATTTACAACATTGAATGTAGTTATACTACTTACCTTACTCTTACTATAGTTTCTAGTACTCTCTTATAACATACCATACCATTTTCCCTTGCTTAGTAGTATTTAAGTTACACAAGGGTCATTCAAACTCTGCCAGTTATGTCGTTGTTATATTTTTGTAGGTATTTCTTAAACATATCCCATTTTTGCGTGAATGATTGTTCTGTATTTCCCCTTAATCTATCTGTCAATTGAGCCAATTCTGCATAGTCTAATAACTTATTCTGCCATTCCCTTACTATTGGTACTTTTCCCCCTTTCCAGTTCGATGCAATTAATAACCGGGCAGCCGAAGCAAAGTTTATTTCTGTTCCTAATCCACTCCCTTTAAAAGACTCGGGGCAATTAAGGAAGATGATATATGCCAACACACCTTGCCAGGAAAGCGCTGGGTCAATAAACCAGGTGGATCGCTCTGTTGTAGGGTGATCATCAGAAAGTTTTCTGAATTCTCAATGGCATGCAGCCCTTGTACAGGAGACGGATAAGCGCTAAACTCACCTCTGTCCTCCCAAGCTGCCATCTCGACACCCCTCCAAGGTTGGAGCTTGGATGAGCAAATCCATCCCAGGAAGGGAGATGCAGAGCAAAGGATACAGGCCTACCCTTGACTCTCAAGCCTTTGCTCCTACAGGCTGACGGGGAAGGAGAAGCGTGTTGGAGGCTTTGACCTAATCTGGAACGACGGTCCCGTCAGCAGAGAAGATGGGAATCTGGACACACCCATGAACGGCTTTGTTGCAAACACCCACCTAGGTATTCAGCCGAGTGGCTCTTAGGAGACATAGGCAGGGTGGGGGCTGCAGGCGTTGCTGTTTCCCCACCCCCAGATGTGTCAAACCCATCTCGGCACTGGAGAGCGTTGGCTGGGATCATAGTAATAATAATAATAATAATAATAATAATAATAATTTATTATTTATGCCCCGCCCATCTGGCTGAGTTTCCCCAGCCACTCTGGGCGGCTTCCAACAACGTACTAAAATACAGTAGTCTTTTAAACATTAAAAGCTTCCCTAAACAGGGCTGCCTTCAGATGTCTTCTAAAAGTCTGGTAGTTGTTGTTCTCTTTGACATCTGGTGGGAGGGTGTTCCACAGGGCAAGTGCCACCACCGAGAACGCCCTCTGCCTGGTTCCCTGTAACTTGGCTTCTCACAGTGAGGGAACCGCCAGAAGGCCCTTGGAGCTGGGCCTCAGTGTCCAGGCAGAACAATGGGGGTGGAGACGCTCCTTCAGGTATATTGGACCGAGGCCATTTAGGGCTTTAAAGGTCAACACCAACACTTTGAATTGTGCTCAGAAATGTACTGGGAGCCAATGTAGGTTTTTCAAGACCGGTGCTATGTGGTCTTGGTGGCCGCTCCCAGTCACCAGTCTAGCTGCTGCATTCTGAATTAGTTGTAGTTTCCGGGTCACCTTCAAAGGTAGCCCCACGTAGAGTGCATTGCAGTAGTCCAAGCGGGCGATAACTAGAGCATGTACCACTCTGGTGAGACAGTCCGCAGGCAGGGAGGGTCTCAGCCTGTGTGCCAGATGGAGCTGGTAAACAGCTGCCCTGGACACAGAATTGACCTGCACCTCCATAGACAGCTGTGAGTCCAGTATGACTCCCAGGCTGCGCACCTGGTCCTTCAGGGGCACAGTTACCCCATTCAGGACCAGAGAGTCCTCCACACCAGCCTGCCTCCTGTCCCCCCAAAACAGTACTTCTGTCTTGTTAGGATTCAACCTCAAACTGTTAGCCACCATCCATCCTCCAACCGCCTCCAGACACTCACACAGGACCTTCACCGCCTTCACTGGTTCTGATTTGAAAGAGAGGTAGAGCTGAGTATCATCTGCATACTGATGAACACCCAGCCGAAACCCCCTGATGATCTCTCGCAGCGGCTGCATGTAGATGTTGAAAAGCATGGGGGAGAGGACAGAACCCTGAGGCATAGAATCATAGAGCAAGTGAGTTTTCTCATGGTCCCTTACCTGGGGTCACCTAGTCCCACTGCCTGCAATGCAGGAATCTCAGCTAAAGCATCCATGACAAATGACCAACCTCTACTTAAAAGCCTCCAAGGAGAGTCCACAACATCCGAGGGAAACGGTTCCACTGTCAAACAGCTCCTACAGTCAGAAAGATTCCCTGATGTTTAGTCAGAATCTCCTTTCTTGTACAGTGGTACCTCGGGATGCGAACGGGATCTGTTCCGGAGCCCCGTTCGCATCCTGAATGGAACGTAAGACGCGACGGCGTGTCTGCACGTATGCGGGTCGCGTTTTACCGCTTCCGTGCATGCGTGTGACATCCTTTTGAGCGTCTGTGCATGCGGCGAAAGCCAGAAGTAACGCGCTCCATTACTTCTGGGTTGCCGTGAAGCGCAACCCGAAAGCGCTCAACCTGAAGCACATTCAACTCGAGGTATGACTGTAACTTGAATCCATTGGTTCAAGTCCAGAGCAGGAATTATGGGAATAGATCTTGACAGGTTAATTCAGGGTAGTTGTTTCTGAATCAGCGTAGCTGTTTTAAGTTGCTGCTGGCGATTCATTCCATATTCTTGGAGATGATACTGATATTATCATACTTCTTTTTTTAAAATCCCTTATGCGTTGCTGCTTTAAGCCACCGCAACCCCCTCAACTTCACCACCCATTTCACTTGAATAGCTTCCCAAAAGGCACACAGTACAGATTATCACAGTGTTGTGGTCCGTTCTTTGCTTGATGCTGACTTGAGGAGACTCGGCTCTCTCTTCCCACCTCCAACTCCATCAGTCTCAGCGCCTATCACAGGCTGTCAGGTAGTACTAAGGGGGGGGGGCGAGAAGCTCCTGCAGCGTTTCCTGGGGGCACACTTTCAAACTGACTGAACCACAGCTCAGCCAGAGAGGCAGATTATCTCCTCGCTCCGTGGAGGGGACAAGTCACATGTAACACCTTGTTATCGCTTTCATTTCAGGCTACAACAATGACAGGAAGAAACAGCTGAGGCAGCTTTTCAAGTCTTTTCAGACGCAGCAGAAAGTTTAAACATTGCAGCGGAGAAATGGTCAGATGTCGGAGTGTGTGTGTGTGTGTGTGTGTCCGGGCTCTGGAGTTGAAGTGAGGTCCTTGACGGCTTTGCTGCCTCAGTTATGTGTCCGCAGGGATTTCCTCCACTTTGGGGAGCTTCAGATGCGCTGTTGAGAAGATTCCCTTTCCCGGCAGGCTGACCAAGCACTGGACACAGAACAGCTTTTAACCTTGGCATGTTGCAAAAGTCGGGTCTATTGCACCGTGTTTTGGGGCAGGAAGATGGTGCACTACTCACCTGCCCAGGTGCAAGCAGTGCTTAACATGGACAGCATCCGTGGGGGCGACAGCCAGGGGAGGAATACAATTGTTGCTCCGCCAACTGATTGCAGCAAATCAACTGGCACCTTCCACATGCAAGGCTGAAAAGAGTGATGCGTCCCACCCAAAGACCCACTGCCTTGACTAAAATGCATTGCAGCAAGCATGAATAAAAATTAATGCCTTAGTACTCCTAAGGACCCAGAAACCTGTCCCTTTGGTTCTTGACTAGAGAATAATGTTATGGGGTGGCAGCGAGGCAGAGCATACCAGAACCACCTGCTGGTCCTCAATAACTGTTTCCCTGGAAGTGTACCCCTTCCTTCCCTTTTGCACACTCACTGCTATAAGGAATGAAGCCTAGGACTTACCACTGAGCCTAGGACTTGCCAATCAGAAGGTCGGCAGTTCGAATCCCCGCGACAGGGTAAGCTCCTGTTGCTCAGTCCCTGCTCCTGCCAGCATGTCAAAGTGCAAGTAGATAAATAGATTCCACTCCGGCAGGAAGGTAAACGGCGTTTCCATGCGCTGCTCTGGTTCGCCAGAAGCAGCTTAGTCATGCTGGCCACATGACCCGGAAGCTGTACGCTGGCTCCCTTGGCCAATAAAGCGAGATGAGCGTTGCAACCCCAGAGTCGGTCACGACTGGACCTAATGGTCAGGGGTCCCTTTACCTATCTCATAACCAAAGCACAAGGCTTCGGTGGATGGGTTTGCTCAGGTTCCAGTGTAAAGGTTGGATATATACATGCAGTGGTACCTTGGTTCTCAAACTTAATCCGTTCCGGAAGTCTGTTCTAAAACCAAAGTGTTCCAAAACCAAGGTGCGCTTTCCCACAGAAAGTAATGCAAAATGGATTAATCTGTTCCAGACTTTTAAAAACCACCCCAAAACAGCAATTTAGCATGAATTTTACTATCTAACGAGACCATTGATCCGTAAAATGAAAGCAATAAACCATGTACTGCAGTCACACAATCCATCAGTAGATGAACTGGGTCCCACAAAATCACAAAAACAAAAGAGCCACAAAAACAAAAAAGTAAAATAAATAGCAAAAAAAGCGCGTAACACTCAAAACGGAAGTGTGACACTCAAAATGGAAGTGTGGCACTCAAATCGGAAGCGTAACACTCAAAATAGAGCATGTTTGGCTTTTGAAAAAAGTTCACAAACCGGAACACTTACTTCCGGGTTTGCAGTGTTTGGGTTCCAAGTTGTTTTGAGTACCAAGGTACCACCCTGAACAGAAACTGGATTGTGTACAGAGAATCCCCTGCTTTTTCTCAAGAAGCAGAATAGAATTTCGAGCCTGGCAGCAGGAGCAACACAGGGGTGGTGGAGCCAGGAATAGCACTTGCAGATGCAACTGGGCATAATTGACCCCCTCCAGTGAGATAACCTGATCTCAACACCACTTCTGAGGGTGGGTGCACATTGCTACCTTCCCCTGGCAGCACTGATCAGCTTTCACTGCATCACGGACTGCCACTTGATGGCTGGTCTTGTGAATGCTCCAAGAGCCCAGCTCGCCTACAAGTTTGGGCTCAAGGGGCATTTTGAAAGTTTCAAGACACAGGAAAATGACAGCAGTGATAAGAAGTCTGTGGGCCTCCACATGCTACTCCTATCAGCCCCAAGCAGCATGACTGCTGCTCAGGGATGATGGGAGTTGTAGTCTAGCAATATCTGGAAGGCCAGAGGTTCCTCATTCCTGGGTTTGTGGTCACAAGTGACCTTTGTCCAACCACACAGGTCCATCATGGGATTGTGTCGCTTAACCCTTTGACATTCTTTCTTAATTTTTAAAAATGTATTTACTAAATTTGTAACTGCCCTTCATCTGTAGATCTCAGGCCGGGTCACAAGAGAAAAATACAAGATAAAAAACACAAAATACCTAATAAAAGCAAGAACCAGTTGCTTCCCTACTCGCTTAGGCAATGCCACCTGCAGCAGCTAGTGCCAAGACAAATCACCACAGTAACTTCTGCTCTGCCCCGAGTTGCTGCCGAGCTCTTTGTCTTCTCTGGGGCTTAAGGGATCTGCCTATACTGTTGATGGACAAGTAGGTGAGCTTGCCATGAAGCCTATTCCATAAAGCTCTGGTGATTTCATCGTCAAAGAAGGATTTTACATAAAATAAATACGATGCGAGAGTGGGAAGACGGGAGCCACGGCAGGCTTCCAGGAAGTGGACTGGTGGATGTCCAGGCCAGGATTACAAGTGACTTCACAGAATCTTATCTCTAAACCTACGTCCCCACTAGACTCCTCAGCACCCCCACCATGTAAAAATGGAAACTAGTGTGGTACCTCGGTTTAAAAACAGCCCTGTTTACGAACTATTCGGTTTACGAATTCCGCAAAACTGGAAGTAGTGTCCCGGTTTGCGAACTTTACCTTGGTCTAAGAACGGAATCCGAACTATGGAAGGGCACCAGCGGCGGGAGGCCTCATTAGGGAAAGGGCGCCTTGGTTTAAGAACGGTTTCGGTTTAAGAACAGACTTCTGGAACGGATTAAGTTCGTAAACCGAGGTACCACTGTACTGGTTAATGCGGTCATTTAACGTACAGGATGAAGCTTCTTTTGGAAAGCCAGGAGTGGAGAAGTTTGCCACCTACTGGTAACACAAGGTGCAGGTTGAAAGAGACAAGAGCTCACAACTTTGTTACTCTGGCAAAGCCAGGATTCCCAGGCTTGATTACCTTGACTTAAACCAATGATCAGTGCCTACAGTTCCATACAGCCTGCCCCATTTTAAGCTGGAAGAAGCTGCGCAGAAGGGCCAGGTGTTTGGCAGGAGCGGAGGGAGGCGGCAAGCATTCCCAGCTGTGCCGTTTGGCGTTTTTGCACACCTGGCTCACAACCCCCTTCCCACAGCAAGACAGCCTGTTGGGCAAAAGGGGCATGTGTGGCTTTCTGGGCTTTGTGCCCAGAGTTTTAACACATAGGAATTGATGAGCTCGGGCGAAGAATCTTAACATGAGCAAGCTGAACAAAAGAACACTTGCCATCGCCACACTGCTTTTGGATTTGAGCATACAATTTATTAGTACAAAGACGTGTGCAGTGTCCTGTTCCTGCTGCTTCCTTTCCAGCGGTCGGAACTCAGCAACCCATCTTATGATGACAACATTGCAACCTCTTACTCTTTGGGCTTCAGTGCTTGTGCTTCAGTCAGGCTGTCAAAACCGCAGAAGGACACCAGCTTGAGCATTTTGCTTCACCCAAGCCCAAACCTCTCCAACAAAGGATGCCAGGGATCAGATGCTCAACAGCTCAGGAAACCCCCTTCTTCAGGCATACGCGAAGCTGCCTTTTGAAAAGCGAGCAGTTCTCTCGAGTTTTTTTCTGTGCAGGAGGCGGCTGCTAAATCTGCGCCAGGAAGCCGCTTCAACCATCCACCACGTTTCTCATGAACCGCATCTCTTCAGCGCTCAAGGGCTTCAGGCTATAGCCTTTCAGCTCTGGCTTACCTTTGGAAAGAACAAGGATTACATGAAAATAATGTACAGATGGTATATAACACCAGTGCAGATAGGAAGAATGTATAAAACTGGCTCAAACACATGTTGGAAATGTAAGGAAAAAGAAGGGACTTTTTACCATATGTGGTGAGACTGTAGTAAAAAATTTTAAAAATTGGGAAATGATATATAACGAGTTGAAGAAAATGTTCCAATTAACATTTGTAAAAAAGCCTGAAGCATTTTTGTTAGGGATTGTAGGAAAAGACCTGCCAAGGAAACTGAAAAACATCTTTATGTACGCGACAACGGCGGCAAGAGTCTTAATAGCACAAGGATGGAAGAACGAGGAAATCCCGACCAAAGAACTGTGGCAAGAGAAATTGATGGACTATGCGGAATTGGTGAAATTGACACACAAACTACGTGACAAGGACAACTGTGACTTTAAAGATGAATGGGAACCTTTTACAAAGTATTTAAAGAAACAACAAAATGAACTGGACTCCTTGGCAGGGTTTGAATAAACATACACATTTTTTTTATTGGTAACATATGGACAGATAAATTAAGGATCTTTACAATTTTATAATATGCAGAGAATAATATGTGCTAAAAAACCACAGAGAGGCGCTGAGGGAAGTCTGGGGGTGGGTGGGAAGGTTTTTTTTTCTTTTGGGGGAGGGGGAAAATGGGGGGGGGGATGAGGATGATGTATTTTTGATAAATTGTTATGTTGAAATTCTTAATAAAAATATTTAAAAAAAATAATAAGAAAGAGCAAGGAGATGAAGAGTGTTAAAAAGGTTGGGAGGAGCCACAGTAGAAGCACCAGCCGAGCCACTGGGGAATTTGCAGATTCCTTTGCAAAGTGTGGCTTTGGCTCCCTTGCCTGGATTGCTGGGGACTAGATGTACCATCACTGGCCGTGAAGTGCTAAACGGTAAAGGACAAACATTTGGCCCAAGAAGCTTAGAGCTGGGACAGAGGTGAGCAAATACAGTTTGAATTGATTCAGTTTCTGCCAAAGGACGCTCAGAAGACTACAGCCTCTTTGGTGGGGGACGGGGGAAGGAAAGAAGGAGCCTGCTCTGGAACAGCATGAGGGACTCGGCGACCTTCAGGCCCTGCAGCTTTATGAACTGTCAATAAGGGATGAAGAAGGAAAAAACATTCCACTGTGGCAATGCGGCTAAAGCTTTGCTTAATGATGCATCCTCGCTTGGACACTGATAGGAGGGTAGGAGGGAAAGGGAGTTAAGACGGCGGAAACCATACAAACTAGGCGAGGCATCCTTCACACAGCTAACCATTGTGTGAATGAATTTCAGAAGGTACAGGGCAGGTGGGGGAACCCCCCCCCCCATAATTGAAGTTTAAAACCTTTTGCTCCATGCTGCAATCCCAGATCAGATCTCCCCTCCCCAAAAGAAATCCTGCAATTTGCATTGAAAGAAAAGCTTTGGCAGAAATGGGAGCGTTTACTCCAGTGCAAATAGTAGGTGTGTGGGGCCTGATCCCAGGTCGAGACTTCTGCAAAGGTGGCCAAGATGAAAACCTCCCTACCTCACACTAGGACTCATTTATAGGTTTCCTTTATACTTCGTTGGAAGCCACCCAGAGTGGCTGGGGCAACCCAGTCAGATGGACATGGCACAAGAAATTTTGTTGTTGCTGTTGTTTGGCAGAAACCTTTTCTTACAATTGTCTCATTCCATGGAGGAAACACTTTGACCATAAAGTAGACTGTTCCAGAGCACTCCCCAGCAGTAGGGAAGCTCCAAGGTCTTCTGGGTCTCTGCCAGGTCTCATGGCTGCCTGGTTGATATTGACCAGTGACAGAGCCTTTTCAGTGGTAGTTCCCCATTTGTAGACTGCCCTCCCAGATGAGGTGCACTTGTCTCCCTCATTACTGACTTTCGGGGGAAATCTCAAAAGGTTCCTGTTCACCCAGACATTTGATGGTTGAAAGACATTGTCCCTGAGATCACTGTTTTTAGAGCGTTGCGTGGTTGTTGTATTTCTTTTGTTTGATTATTGATGTGTTTCCTGCCCTGAGGTCCTTGGAGAGGAAGGGCAAGATCTAAACTAAAAAAAACCAATAAAATTACCCTGCCTCGCCTCAGCTTCCACTACACCCCTTGCTTAGCTTATAGAGGAGAACACCCCAATAAGTAGACTTGAACCAGCCTATTCTCAGATATTTATAAGCGTACACCTTATAATCCTGCTCACCCCAAACCACTACGGTTATCCCAAACCACTACTGCTGATCGAGATGACATGAAGAATGGAGGCAAGAAGGCAACTTCTAAGCCCTGAGCACTTGATCAAGAGCCAACCAACCCATTGTTCCCCATCAAACACAGCCACCTTATTCTAGCCTGTCTGGCAAATACCTTGAGCTTCCAAGAGACGGTTGACCTTCACTTTCAACTCCTTCCGCAACTTGGCTATTTCTTCATCTAGGAGTTCTTGATCTGGAGAAAAAGCAGTGAACTGTCATCTGGAAGATTTAAGACTCACTACCTGAATTAACCCACTTTACTCCCTGCTTTGTCTCTCGGGAGCAAGCACTGTGGTAGAAGGACTCTTTCTTCGCACTGGAAAGCTTGCCGTTGTGTTGTATTAAGATGCCGCCCCCCCCCTTTCAACTCATTAAAGGTAAAGGGGCCCCTGACCATTAGGTCCAGTCGTGACCGACTCTGGGGTTGTGGCGCTCATCTCGCTTTACTGGTCAAGGGAGCCGGCGTACAGCTTCCGGGTCATGTAGCTAGCATGACTAAGCCGCTTCTGGCGAGCCAGAGCAGCGCACGGAAACACCGTTTACCTTCCCGCCGGAGCGGTACCTATTTATCTACTTGTACTTTGATGTGCTTTCAAACTGCTAGGTTGGCAGTTCCCATTTAAGCTTCAGTTTAAACCAGTATGAATTACATCTCACTGGCGACTACAAGCCAAAGATTTTTATTTACTGCAACTAAACGCAACAATTTGGGGACATCTCTTGCACACCAACAATTTCAATAAAATTCCAACACATGGATTTTGCTGTACACTACTAGTACTAATTACACGAATACTAAACTAATACATTGTTGTAAACTGCTGATATATTTCTATGATACAACGGTATAAAAATATTTTTGTAAATAAATACAAATAAATAATACAGTTGCATCTGAAAGGAGGATGGGATTTTCCCTCAAGGCTGGCTGGGTAACAGTTCAGGGGCTCTGTGTAATGTACAATTTGGCTGATTTGCTTCAGTCACTTTAGGCCTCAAAAGTTGTTGTTATTTAAATTATTTAGATTCTCTAGAAACACACAGTTAATACGACATTGTCCCCATCTTCAAAAAGGAGGAGGGGAGAAGACTCGGGTAACTACCAACTGGTCAGCTTGACATCGATACTAGGAAAGGTCCCATAGCAGAAATTAAACGGTTGGTCTGTTAGCAGTTAGAAAAGGATGCTGTGATTACTAAGACCCAGCATGGGTTTCTCGAAAACAAGTCATGGCAGGTTAATCTCATTTCTCGTAGAGTTACAAGCTTGGGGGATCAGAGGAATGCTGTGGACATAGTGTATCTTGATTTCAGTAAGGCTTCTGACAAAGTCCTCTTTCCCCTTCAGTGGCCAGTTGCTCAGCTTCTTCCCCCCTCTGCCTCTGGGGACAATAATCCCCCAATCAGCACCTTGAGAATCTCACCTTTCATTTTAAATAATATCAAGCTGGTTGACAGGCCTCATAACCGCAGGGTGCGGGCTAAAGTTTGACAGCATGTGACAAAACCTTAGAAGCTAGCATGCACTCAGACGGCATCTACCACATCAGCACAAAGCCGCCAAGATGGTACAAGCTATGAAAAGAGAACCAAGATGATGAACTGCAAATTGACTTGGCTCTCAAAACCACAGATTTTTCCATGCAGATGACAGAAAACATAACGGGGCTCTTACCTCTCTGCAACATGTCCTTGGTTTTTGCTTTCCCAAACTGCACAAACATGTTCCCAAAGCAAACCATGACTTTATCTGAAAACAAGAAGACGAATCTGCATTAAAGAATCATAGAATTGTAGAGTGGGAAGGGACCCTGAGGGTCATCAAGTCTCACCCAATGCAATGCAAGAATCTCAACTAAAACACCCATGGCAGATGATTAAAAACCTCCAAGGAAGCGAAGGAGAGTCCACAACCTCCTGAGCGAGTCCCTTCCACTGCCAAACAACTCTTTCCGTCAGAAAGTTCTTCCTAATGTTTAGCTGGAATCTCCTTGCTTGTCATTTGAATCCATTGGTTCGGGTCCTACCTGATTACCTAAAGCAGGCATGGCCAAACTTGGCCCTTCAGCTGTTTTGGGACTACAACGCCCATCATCCCTAGCTAACAGGACCAGTGGTCAGTGATGATGGGGATTGTAGTACCCAAACAGCTGGAAGGCCAAGTTTGGTCATGCGTGGCCTAAAGCTCACAAACACCTTCTAAGTCTCTTTCTAAGTCTCTTTAGAACAACCACCTAACAAAATAAATACAGTGGTACCTTGGGTTAAGAACTTAATTCGTTCCAGAGGTCTGTTCTTAACCTGAAATGGTTCTTAACCTGAGGTACCACTTTAGCTAATGGGGCCTCCCGCTGCTGCTGCACCACCAGAACACGATTTCTGTTCTCATCCTGAAGCAAAGTTCTTAACCTGAGGTACTATTTCTGGGTTAGTGGAGTCTGTAACCTGAAGCGTCCGTAACCTGAAGCATCTGTAACCCGAGGTACCACTGTACAGTGGTACCTCTGGATGCGAACGGGATCCCTTCCGGAGCCCCGTTTGCATCCTGAAGCGAACGCAACCCGCACCTGCGGGTCGCGATTTGCCGCTTCCGCACGTGATGTCATTTTGAGTGTCTGCGCATGCGCGAGTGGCGAAACCCGAAAATAACGCGCTCTGTTACTTCCGGGTCGCCGCGGAGCGTAACCTGAAAACACTCAACCTGAAGCACTTTTAACCCGAGGTATGACTGTATACCCAGATCTGCCCTACCCCTTACCAAACTGGAAGCCATATTCAACTAACTTGTTGTGCTAGTGGACATCAGCGTGGGAATTCTCACTAGCACAACAGGGCTTTATCCCACCCTTTCCTCCCTCTGTGCCCTCCTCAACTTTGCTCAAGAGGGGTGGGAGAACCCCCAGAACAGCACGTGAGATGGTGGTGCTGAGGGGCGATGGTTCCACTGGGCAAACAGAAATTCCTGGGCTGACAGAACGGTCTCTTTAGCACTACTCTTGAATGCAACCCAGTTTCTTGGCCTTTTGGCTAAGATCAAGTGTAGTAATGCAACCCAGTTGGTGGGGCTGGGATGGGAGGAAGTCAATGGACTCTGAAAAGCTGCCTGAGAATGATAAATATTCCACAAGAGAGGGGTAAAGCAGACACCATCATTGGACAAAGACTCAGCACTGGCCTAAGACGCGCATGAAGCAAAGCACCATCGCAGGCCCAGCGCGTTTATTCCGCCTTGCCCTCATTAATGCAAAAGGCTTGCTGCGTGTGAGGGAAGCCAGGCAATTTGCTGAGCACAATCTTTCCCCGGGGAGAAGAGGAGACGCGGCTGCCACTTGCGGCAGACGTTAGTCACCCAACTTAACGTGTCACCAGAAAACATTTGGATAGGACGGGCAGGCTCAAGGCTGGCAGCAAGGGAGCGGGGAGCCAGCGCAATTTGTGAAATGTAACAGTAACTATTATAAGTTATCACTAAACACTACAGTTACTGCATTATTTCCCGTAGTGGCATCTGCATTTATAGTTACCAGCAGCACTGCAAAAATTCATGACGCAAAAGCCGTGACTGGGATCAGGCTGATTCCCTGTCCTGCTACTAAGCAGGATTATGAAACTTCTGCTGTCTGCTCTATTGAGCGGATACCGAGAAAAGAAGAGAAACTGCCATTCTTCTGACCTTATAAAGTGATTTATTTATACAGGTGTGGAGGGAAAGGATCTAATTATTAAGAGACAGCCCAACACAGAGCTGAAGACATATTTCAAATTTCCAAGCATCACATTTCTAGGTGTTCAGATGATTTCCCCTCCACCTGAGTGTACCACATCCCAAAACAATACAAATGCAAGCAATTTAAACCAAACCTAACAAATATAGAAAGTCTAAGGCAAAATCAAAAAGCGGTTGTAACATTTACAGAAGAGGTAAGGCAGTCTGTCAACAAGTAACTTGGTCCTGAGCTCTATAGGGCCTTATAGGAACTTGTCGTAATCACGGTGCATTCAACTTCTACAGCGGCATCTGCAGCCAATTACTCATTTCTACAATTATGAGCTTGTTTCTCACTTCATGCTGGGGTGACCATCTTAGGCTCTCTTACAGTGCATGAAGGAGACAGCTGCATTTGATAAGCTTGCTCTAGTCAAAATGCTCAAGAAGAAATGAAAGAGTTATTCCACATAACAAAATTGCCCTTGCTGTTATCTGAATTCTTTCTATCGCATCCTTCAAAATAATGCTGGCTTAGCAAGGGGCAGTTTCTATTAGGTTTAGCTCTGGGATGCCTACAGTGGCATCTACAGTTATAGTTCCAGCAGTAAATAATAAAACAGGCGGAGGTCAGAGAAAATACAGGAGTCTCAAGACAATCTAGATTCAGCATAGTGGCATATAGGACATCGAAATTGCAGGAACAAATGTGAACTTCATTCACAAGTAAAGAGGCGTGTGTGGCCAGAGCACCAAGTTCAAATCACTTCTCCATGCAAGAGGTCTTGGGAACTCCTTAGCTGTCAGCCTTATGTAATTTACAGGATAGTTACAAGGAAAACAGGGTAATTCTGGGGTCCTTGGAGAAAGTTACATTTATGTTCTGCTTTATGTTCTGCTTTAACAAAAAAACTTACAAAGCAAGCAGCACAGCACAAGGTATACCTGCCTTATACTTTGGTACACTGGTATTATTGGAACCCTGGTACAGTGGTACCTCGGGTTACATACGCTTCAGGTTACAGACTCCGCTAACACAGAAATATTACCTCGGGTTAAGAACTTTGCCTCAGGATGAGAACAGAAATCGCACGACGACGGCACAGCGGCAGCAGGAGGCCCCATTAGCTAAAGTGGTCTTCAGGTTAAGAACCGTTTCAGGTCAAGAACAGACCTCCAGAACGAATTAAGCTCTTAACCCGAGGTACCACTGTATACAGGAAGACCTGGACAGACATCAGAGCTCTCAAACTGCCATGTGCCATATGCTTCTGGGAAGCAATGGGTTTCTGTAGACAGACGGAAAAGGGACAGGAGAGACTATCAGCTCAACAACAGCACACATGATATGCGCACAAAGGACGTGCAAGGTTCAGACCCTGGCATCTCCTTTTAGAAGTATCTCAGGTGGCAGGTTGGGAAAGGCAGACTGCCTAAGGCACTGGAGAACTGTCGCCAATTACAATGGACTGCAATGTGTGATGTTCGAAAAGACCTCTCACCTGAAGTCTCCATGTCCTTGCTCAGGGCCCTCAGGGCCTCCCGGTTCTGATTTTGTTTCATACCCAGATCCACAATCTAAGGGAGAAATGGGGAAAAAACCTTCAGGGTGTGTCACAACAAGATTTCCATGAAGGCCAGTTCACAAGCACTCCCCTGATTCCCGTATTGTATTTTTATGTTGTTCTAACTGTTCCTATATGGGATGTGGGTGGCGCTGTGGTCTGAACCACAGAGCCTAGGGCTTGCCGATCAGAAGGTTGGCGGTTCGAATCCCCACAACGGGGTGAGCTACCATTGCTCGGTCCCTGCTCCTGCCAACCTAGCAGCTTGAAAGCACGTCAAAGTGCAAGTAGATAAATAGGTACCGCACTGGCAGGAAGGTAAATGGCGTTTCCGTGCGCTGCTCTGGTTCGCCAGAATCGGCTTAGTCATGCTGGCCACATGACCCGGGAAAACTGTCTGTGGACAAACATCGGCTCCCTTGGCCAGTAAAGCAAGATGAGTGCCGCAACCTCAAAGTCATTCGCGACTAGACTTAACTATCAGGGGTCCTTTACCTTTACCTTTTAACTGTTCCTAAGGCCTTACAGAAAAGGGCAGGTAAGAAATCAATACAATGTGCAAAAATTATGATCGTAAAAAACACCCCCTCAAAGCAGTTTACAAAAAAAGGTAAAGCAATAAAATTATAAAATTACGGTATCACTTGGAGAAATTAACAACAGTAATCTGAAGTTTTCAAAAAGTTAAAACAATAAGACTAAGGAAAAAAAGGATTAAAACACGCACCAACTTTCTAAACACCTGGGCAGACTTGCCTAAATAAGCGAACAAGGGAGGCATTCACGGTCAGTTCAGGCACCTCTTTTTCAAGGAAAAATAGCACTGATAATAATAATGGTGATGCATGGATGGGTGGGTGGGTAACTGTGGTCCTCGGCCAAAGGGTGGAATAGAAATGTAATAAATGATAACAACAGTTGGTCGTCCAAATGTTGTAGGACTGTAACTCCAGCCACCCCTGAAGGCATCTGGGGCGGAGGAGGGGGCACAGGTTTGCAACAAGGGAATGCACACAAAGCCCATGGTGTGTGTGTAATACACACACACACACACACACACACACACACACACAAACATACATACATACATATATTGTTTACTGCTTAAACAATATATGTATGTATATGTGTGTGTGTGTATTAATTACACACACACTAAACATCATACATATATACATACATATACACACACACAAACACACACATATATATACATACATACATATGTTGTTTACTGCTTAAACAATATGTGTGTGTATATATATATATATATATATATATAACACACACACACTCTAAACAACAACATCATACATATACACACACACACACACACACACACACGCATATATATATATATATATAATATATATGTAATATATATATATATATATATATATATATATATATTACACCCACCCACCCCACGGGCTGTGTGTGTGTGTGTGTGTGTATATATATATATATATATATATATATATAAATAATCAGCTACGGCACCCTCCACCCACCTGGAAGCTGAGGAAGGCTAACACTGCCATGAAGGTGAGCTTAACCACTACCTGCCCTATACTTTTCAGGGGGGCGGTTGAGACGGGGGGCTGTCTGGGGGCGCCCGCTCCCTCCTCCTCCCTCCTCCCGCCCCGAGGCCTACCTGCTGCCTCCCGCCCATCACCTCCTCGGCCAGCTCCTCCACCTCCGCCAGCACCCGCAGCGCCACGTCTGGCTCCAGCTCGCCCATGGCGGCCCGGAGGGAAGGGGAGCCGCGGCGCGGAGGAGGAGGAGAGGCCTAGTCGGAGGCCGTTCCGCGCAGGCGCCTCGCCTGCCTCCAGGAGGGCGGTCGCCATGGCAACCCGGCTAGGCCCGGCCCGGCTCCTTTCCTATTCCCCCGGTTCCGCCGTTGGGGCCCCGGCCCTGGGGCAGTCGGGAGCCGGCTTCCCTGCACCGTGACGCTACCGGGCGGCCCTCCTGATAGCGAAAGTGGCTCCGTTAAAACTTCAGGGCTTTGCTGCTCTTCCGTGGGAAATGCCGCTTTGTTATTATATTATATTATCGCATTTATACCTCTCTCTCCAAAGGGCGCAAAGTGGGGCATTTGTTTTTTTGTTTTTTTTAAAATGATATTTATTAAGGTTTCCAATAAAAAGAACACATCAATAAAAAATTAAAAAGAAAAAAGAAAAATACACAATTCAAAAATACACAATACATAATCCAAAAAAAAAAAAGACAAAAAAGAAAACAGTTAAAAACAATACCACCTTTTCATCACCATTTTTAAATTTACTTATTTTCTGGACCTCCTCATACCTCCCTCTTTTGTATTCCAGTTCAATTTGTTTGTCCAGCAATTTCTTTCCCTCTTTTTTAATCCCAATCCTTAATATAATATAACATTGAATTTTTACCTCTTAAAAACCAAATTTCCATTTCCTTTAACTTTTTTAATCCTAGTCCTTAATCGTGATCTATATATAACTTTAAAGCCTGTATAGCTAGAAGCCACTTATTTTCAATCCAACATCACTCTAACATTCTTTAATTTTGCAATGTTTCTGCAGATAGTCTTTGAATTTCTTCCAATCTTCCTCCACCGACTCTTCTCCCTGGTCACGGATTCTGCCAGTCATTTCCGCCAGTTCCATATAGTCCAAAGTGGGGCATTTGTGCCTCTCCCCGCCCCGTGGCTTGTTGGTTTGTATTTTCTTTTCTTTTTAAAGCAGCAAGTAAAAAGCAGTAATGAAAACAGCACAAGAATTGCAACTGTGCATTTGCGCTGAAAATGCAAGCAGAACTTGCCTGACATCATCATCATCAACCGTCATCATAATTTATTTATTTATTATCAATAAAATTTATATACCGCCCTTTATCAGAAGATCCCAGGGTGGTGTACAACATTAAAAAACAAATTAGAGAACCAGGTAGGTAGCCATGTTGGTTTGACGCAGTAGAAATATATTAACAAATATTTTAAAATGTCCAGTAGCACCTTAGAGACCAACTAAGTTTGTTCTTGGTATGAGCTTTTGTGTGCATGCACACTTGGTATCTGAAGAGGTGTGCATGCACACAAAAGCTCATACCAAGAACAAATTTAGTTGGTCTCTAAGATGCTACTGGACATTTATATATATATATATATATATATATATATATATATTTACATTACAGAACATCGGTGATAAAAAAACAGAATAAAAGCAGAATACCCTAAAAACAAACTGATGGACAGCCTAATAATACAAATAGTGTAATGCACAAATCCCACAGCTAAAAGAACTCTTTATTTTTATTTTAAATGCTTATTGACCTGAACACCATGAAAAAAAGGGGTTTGCAATTTTGAAGTAAGTATTGCAAGCAGGGGAAGTTTAGACGTAAAAGAAACCCAGAAAGGGAAGTTGATGGAAGTCGGGGGGGTGGGGATGGGGAATACAGTTTGGTAGTATTTGTTATGATGTGATAAAAATGTAAAACCCAATAAAAACTGTTTTAAAAAGAAAGAAGGTGTTTTCTGGGTGTGATTGGCGGCGGCATTTCCCAAAAAGGCCTGCCACTGAGTCAGCACCCATGTTATCCACACACAACAGCCCCCAGTGAGCTTAATGGCTGAGTGGGGGATTTGAGCCCTGGTCTTCCTCCAGGTCCTGGTAGTCTGACGCTATTGCACCACGATGGCTCTCCAGCCGGACCCACTGCAAGACCAAGGCTGCAGCCCCTTACCTGGGAGCAAGCTCTACACTGAATTCACTAGGACTGGCTTCTGAGTAGACACGTAAACCTTCATAGGATTTAAAGGGGGTGGCTTTTGAGGAGGGGTCTGAAGGAAGAGGGGAGGACCTCTAGAGAGCGTTTGGAGCAGCAAGGGAGCATGCTCAGAATTACATATGTTATAAGAATTTAAGGTCTCAAATATAAATAATAGTAATAATAATAATAATAATAATTTATTTATATCCCACCCTCCCCAACCAAAGCTGGGCTCAGAGCAGCTAGCAACAGTAAAATAATACAACATTCTAAAATCAATTCATTATAAAATCAGTTCAATATATAAATTAAATGTTCAAGGCAAACACATACATAAATATATAAACCACATGTCTGAAACAGTGCAGGAAAACAGTCCTGAAACCATTCTGACTCTCCCAAATTGACCTCAAATGTTTCTCTGCAAGAACAAATGGGAAAACCTCCCCATTGTCTCTTTGCTCACAAATCCTGTCTTAAGGGTGTATCTGTGTATGAATAGGGTGAGCCTGTGACCTGGATTCAGGAACCAAGTATTTACCATCACAAAAGAATGGCCAGGCTGCCCAGGTAAAGCAATCACTGGCCATTGTCAGGTATCCTGGCAGACAGGATTTCTGCTGTAGACCGCCTCCTTCTGTGATGCATGTATGTATTGGAGGGTGGCCTTGAGCTACAGGGTGGCAATTTCAAAAGTACGGTATACAGTGGTACCTCAGGTTACATATGCTTCAGGTTACAGACGCTTCAGGTTACAAACTCCTCTAACCCAGAAATACTACCTCAGGTTAAGAACTTTGCTTCAGGATGAGAACAGAAATCGTGCAGCGGTGGCGCAGCGGCAGCAGGAGGCCCGATTAGCTAAAGTGGTGCTTCAGGTTAAGAACAGTTTCAGGTTAAGAACAGACCTCCGGAACGAATTAAGTTCTTAACCCGAGGTACCACTGTATGAGGGCTTGCACACCAATGTTCAGGGTTCCTTCTCCCTCCTTCGTGTGGTGAGTGAGGACCCTGTTGCAACAGTGTAATAAAGATCAGGCTTACAAGTTGCTTTGCTTCTCAGTGTTCTCTGGTTGGCCTCTGTTATTTCCTCCTACCAATAGGGAACCCGCTTAAGGACTCTATAGGGGCTCTTGGATACCCCATAAGGGAAAAGGAGCAGATTTTGTTTACAACATGTAAGAGACCAGTTGAAGGGGGCAGAACTGCAGGAACAAAACTAGAGGAACTGCCTGGGAGCTTTGGAAGAATCAAGGGCAGAAAGGTAAGTTGGTTATTTATGTATTTCTTCTTTGGCGATCACTCGTAGCCGGGTAAGATTGTCTTCCATAACGGTTTTAACAATGAGTCCATAAGTGACTGTGGAGGCCAATTCTGGATCCACACGTCCTTCCTCAGTGGGGATATTAGTTTCCAGGCGGGAGTTGATCTCAGCATGGATTTGCTAAGTGTGCCTTCCTCTTAGCACATTTCTGCCTTGCGTCCTGAGTTCGAGTGTCTTCAAAGCCCAGGACACCTTTGGTAAAGGCTGTTCTCCAGTTGGAGCGCTTGCAGGCCAATGTTTCCCAATTGTTGGTGTTTATACTACATTTTTAAAGATTTGCCTTGAGTGGGTCTTTAAACCTCTTTTGTTGACCACCAGCATTACACTTTTCATTTTTAAGTTCAGAATAGAGTAGTTGCTTTGGAAGATGATCATCAGGCATCCGAACAACATGACCAGTCCAACGAAGTTGATGTTGAAGAATCATTGCTTCAATGCCACTACTGCGACCCGTGTTTTGTTAGCCTCAAAATGGAAAACAAGCGAGGTCCCAACTAAAGAACAATGGCAACTTAAGCTGATGGAATGTGCGCAGCTTGCAGACTTAACATCTAGAATAAGAATAAGAAGAACATAACGTTTAGAGAAGATTGGGAAATGTTTATTGAATTGTGTACACTTGAAAATGTTGGCAGCATTAAGATAATTTCAAAAGTGTAAATAAGTTTTGATGGATGTAATAATGGAATACTGAATGGTTTGGTTTATGTAAAATATGCAGGGATTTGGGATATGTAAAATGAACCATGGAAAGAGAAGAAGGGAAGTCACTGATAATTTAATTATGTTTAAATGAGTATTCTAAATTGTAAAACAGAAAATTTAATAAAAATTATATAAAAGAAAGAAGGAAAAAGAAAGGTAAGTTGCAGTGAGGTCATGGAGGGCTCTGAAATCAGGCCTGGACATAGAAGGGAATGGGGAACAAATGTTCGGATTTGGGGAAAGTGGCCATCCGGTGGTCCCTTTTAGAATTTAGTTGCTACCCAGGGATTTATTGAGTGGGTGGGTTGCTGTCTAACTGGGGTAGTAGAGAGATAGGAAGGACATTTCCCAACCAGTCCCATGGAAAGGTGACCATTTGCCTCTCCCTTTCTCCTGTAGGATTTGATCACCCTGTAGTCGTGTAGAACTGCATTGCTTGTACCATGACGCACCGCGCATTCACTCTCTCAACAGCGATTTGCTTTGTCCTGGATTGCATGGGTGCTGTTTTGTTGCAGCAGAGTGTCGGGTGAGATGCACTTTCCCAACTTGGTGAGTCTGTGGTTTATCATTTCAGTAGCAGCTTTCAGTGAAGAAAGTACTTTGCAAATCTTAACCACATTTATCCACTTTATGACTGAGCAGAAATTTAAATCCGGCCTTCTGGCCTCCAAAAACATATATTTATTCACTTCACTTTGCTGGCCCAAATGGGGAAAAAACAGGACAATTTATTTTATTTTATTTTATTTTATTTTAGGCAAATGTGTGAGGGGCTTACAAATTTTAATCTTGAGAGACCAGGGTTCAAGTCCCTGTTTGTTCATGAAGGTGACTGGGTAATCCTGGGCCAGTCACCAGCTCACAGCCTAATCCAAAGTTCACAAAGTTGTTGTGAATATAATACGGAGATGAGATCAGTGTCCGCAGTCTTGAGCTCCTTAGGAGGAAAGGTGGGATATAAATTCAATAATAAATAAATAAAGTAAATTGTTTTCTTTCTTTCTTTCTTTCTTTCTTTCTTTCTTTCTTTCTTTCTCTCTCTCTCTCTCTCTCTCTCTCTCTCTCTCCATGTCTCTCTCACACACATACTTTGCCCCATTCTTCCTTGCCCCATTCTTCCATTGACATCCTTCTCTTGCCAGGATACCCTGTGATGGATTATTTGCCGCAGAAGCGGCCTCTGAATATTTGGCAGCCTGAAGTGGCGGTGGAGGGAGGATGGCTATTTCTGTGGAAACGAGTCAGCAGAACTTTTGATGAACTGGCAACTCTGCTGCATGAAGTCCTAGATTACGTTAATGTAATTAAACAGGGGCACTTGGTTCATGAGAGGCATCTGCTAAATGCACAAAAGCAATAAAAGTGAGAAATTGTGGCTTCGCGGAGACTCGTCCCTGCCAGAAAGCCAGCCAATTGTCATTAGGAGATTGCAAGCTCTTGGCTTTAGCTGCTGCCTGAGTTCTGAAACTGCATTATGCACGCTTAGAGCTCGTATTTGCATCATGGCTGACACCAAGTTCTTTTGCTATGGGGCAACAGGCGAAGAAGCCCTAGAGAAGGGGATTCAGCATTGTGTTAGGAACGATGCCAATGATTCTCAGAATAGAGAACCCCTCTGTGGCTTGGGATAAGCCTAGTGGTGGCAAGTCTCATCCTGAGTCACATTTGCACCCCACCCTTCCCCCAAGTAGTGAAAGGAAACATCCATGGGGTAGCGATTGGACCAAGATCCACCTATGGCAGCCTTCACAAACCTGGTGGCCTGCAGGTGTTATGGACTGCAGCTCCCATCTAGCTCAGCATCGTATGACTTTGCTGGCGTGGCCTGATGGGAGCCACAGTTCAAAACATTTGGAGGGCACCAGCTTGGGGAAGGCTGTGCCCCATAAACTTCATGAACCAAGCAGGAGCATGAAGCCACATCTCCTTGGTCCAAGTCCAATTCTCCGCCTGTCACATCGCCACACTGGCTTGTAAAGATAAGTAGTGGCAATTGTAATTCACCATTAAATGGGCTGCTCTATTAGGTATATATTGCAAAGCAGAAAATCCCTTGCTTGATTTCGTTTGTAACATTGGCACAGCTTTTGGTACAGGTTGTTATGCATTCCTTTTATTGTTTTTGTATGTCCCTAATGTGTTTTATTGTGTTGTGCTGTTTTGCAAGCAGCTCTGGCCATTTGACTGACGGGCGAAGTATTAATCTCTTAAACAAAGAACCACAGTAAATGCTTCTAAAATACACAGCTTTTATAAGTACGTTTTGCAGTTTAATCTTGAACAGACCCAAGAACAGGCCTTTGGACACTGGTGAAGCATTTTACTCATCCCCGCTGAAATCTTTGCGCCTTGCCCAAACTGAAATTTGAAATGGCACCTTGACTTTAGAAGTCATATTTCAAATCTGGTGATTTCCACCACACGGCTGAAAGCTGTGGGCGACTAGCTCTGGATGAAATGGCAGTGGCCACACCATGCATTGAAAAGCCGACACCATCTAGCTGGCTGGCAGGTCACACCCAAAATATGTAAAGCGATGTTGAGCACTGAAATGGCAGCATAACTTAATTGAAACTTGGAGGGAAAGAGAGGAAGAGCAGAGTGGAAATGGAAAGAGTTTGGAAATAAATTGCTGTATCCCCTATGGTGTCCCCATGCACCGTCCAGCCCAATAAATAAATCAGGAGTAGAAATCCAGGGGAGATTGGAAGGGGGTTGGACTAGATGACCCTTGGGGTCCCTCCCACAGCTCTACAATTCTAAGATTCCATCCCCAGGAGACTGTTGAGTGAAGCCGTTAACAGCCGTTGTCCAGCTCTATAAGAAGAGTACAGCTGAATCAGACCAAAAGTCCATCCAGCTGAGCAACCTGTTTGCTGGAAATAAACAGCTGTTCCTCACTCTTTGCACCCCATCCCAAGCAAGTGGTGTTCAGAGATACGTTGCTTCTGAACACTGAGGTTCCATCTGTCCCGCATGAGTATGTCTAACTAACCCCGCTTTAAAGCCGCCGCCACATGTCGTGGTAGCAATTTCAGCTGTGTACGCGAGAAACCATTTGTTGCAGGTCCGCCTTTGGCAATGCAGTCCCACGGACATCTACTTAGACCTAAGTCCCACTGCATCAAGTTAAGCGTGCGAAAGGTTGGCACCTGAAAGTTGTCCCTTTTGCACACACGCACGGATCCACACGCCTCTAAATAATGCATGCTTTGTCATACTCAATTCCCACTGCTTCGTTGCCACCTCCTCCTGGGTGATGCACTCTGATGCTTGCTCTCTCTCTCTCTTTCTCTTTGTAACAATCCACCCATGTCAAACAGATGGGCTCATTACAAGAGAAGGGGGTTGCCTCCTTGCGTTTTGGCTTAGCAGTACATCGCTGAGAGACCACTGGAGAGAGCGGTGCAGCCAATGAGATCAGATTTCATTCTCTGGCCCAAGCACAGACTGCTCTTGCCTCTGCCGGCAGCCAAGGGAAAGTGGGATCTGTCTGCGAGAACAAAGGCAGGATTCTGCCAGCTACGTGTCACCCTTAGTAAAAGAAAAGGCTTGAGAACGGCTGCCTTAAAAGTGGAGCATTTGTTAGTGTTGGCCTTCTGCAGACAAGCAACACCTGCCGCCCGCACAGAATCTATTCTGAGGAAAGCACGACAAGGTTCTCTGTCATTCAGGAACCAGGCTTCAGCATTCAGGGTCAAACTTCTCCCAGAGAGCCTGCAGACTAGCAGCAGGTACCTGGAAGACCAGAGGCCCCCAAAGGCTCCCCATCCCCACCTGCCCACCTCCCTGCCGACAAACATAATAGCCCTGGGGCTAAGGACTCCCCACAAACACTTTCTTCCAGTGTTCTGACTGGGAGCCTCAGATCTTCCAGCAGCAGCAGCAAAATTTCCCCCACGCCCTTGGTGCCGCTTGTGAAAACGAGTTCTGTCCTAAAGAGACTTCTACCTGGACCAGATCCTTCCCCAGCTCATGCTGGCTTTAGGATTACTTCACGACTAACCTGGCTACTTCCCTATAAGTGCATGTTTTTGTGTGTGCCACAAATGAACCATGAATGCGACCCACACGTATTTGCTGATTCTGGACTTGCACAAGCAGACTGGCTGGGGCTCACCGCTGAGTGTCCACTACCCGGCAAACTCAGTTTGTTGCAACGTAGTGTGTGAAGCATCCCTTCTTTACCCACACACCCTTAGCTTGCGTTTTGCAGAGAGATGATGACAAATTGCTGCTTGTTTGTATTCAGCCGGCATGGACGATCCGCCAATGGCCAGCCCTGTTGCTGTGCAGCTGTGCTCCCGCTAGGAATAGCAACCTAATCTTCCCTGACAGTTTGGCCACACCTGATCCTGCCACAACTCAGCTGGGCTGTCCTCCCAGATAGACGTCTGCCTGCAAGCCAGTTTTGCAGTCTTGACACACGGACTGACATTTGGAGCTAGGAAATTGGATCTGACCAAAGGGGTGTGTGTGTGTGTGTGTGTGTGTGTGTGTGTGGTGTTAGTGGACTCTTACATTGGAAATCCAGTGGGCTGGCAGCATGGGTTAAGAGAACTCATTTGGGGAGATGGTAGAGGAGAGAGCTCTCCACCAGCGCTTCAAATCCCTCGTTCAAACATGTTTCTCAAGTGATGTCTTTGGCTTAACTCATGAAGTTAAGTTCACTGCAAGAAGTTACAGGGAACCAGGCAGAGGGCCTTCTTGGTGGTGGCACCCTCCCTGTGGAACGCTCTCCCATCAGATGTCAAGGAGATAAAGAACTACGCAACTTTTAGAAGACATCTGAAGGCAGCCCTCTATCAGTCAGGAGGTTTTTAATGTTTGATGTTCTGTTGTGTTTTTATATGTGTTGGAGTGGCTGGGACAACCCAGCCAGATGGGCAGGGTGTTGTTGTTGTTGTTGTTGTTGCTGTTGTTGTTGTTATGAGTCCTCCACACCCAGCGACATTATTATTATCACAATTACCATCTTTCCGCCAAGGAACTCAAGGTGACGTGAAACACATGGTTCTCCTCCCTTTTTATTTTATCCTCACAACAGCCTGTGAGGTAGGCTAGGCTGAGAGTGAACGACTGGCCCAAGATCACTGACTGAGCTTCATAGCTGAATTTGAACCCTGGTGTCCTAGGTCACAGTTCAACACTTAAACCACTACATCACACTAGCTCCCTGCCAGGTGCCGGTCATGGACATAAGGTGGCTTTCAAAGGGATTTGACAAATTCATGGAGGAGAAGTCTATCAGTGGCTTCAAGTCACAATGGTCCTATACCGTCTCCAGGAAACAGAGGCAGGAAAGGACAGTTGCCCTCATGGCCTGCTTCTGAGCTTCCCAGAGGCATCTTGGGAGCTGCTGTGGGCCACCGGGTGATGCACTAGAAAGTCTTTTGGTCTGACCCAGCAGAGCTTCTCTCACATGGTCACCATTAGCTCAGAGGGCTTTTAAGAAAGCCTTGCTAAAACAGGCGCATGGAGGTCTTTGCAATGGCTCTTTGCTGCAATAGCAAGAAGCGGAATGGGTAGCACATCTTTGATTGCCCCCGAGTTGCACTGATGGCCAAGCCAACAGCAGCTCTATCCATTTCGCTGCTGCTTAAGAGTTTCCTGGGGGCAGCTGGCTGGCCTCCACCAGAGACAGCGTAGACTCGATGGCTCCTTGGCCTGCCATCTTTCTCCCTTTCTCTTTAAAAATTGGCTGGGACAGGAGGCACGGGTGACAGAAGGGCAGGGGAATGGACGGTGACTCACGTCTCCTCTCTGCAGCCTTGGAAGTGGCGGAGGCAAAACCGGTTGTCTCGGGTGTGCGATAAAAGGCTAATTTTTCACATCATGAGCTCGTCGCCATACAAGGGGGTGGCGTGAAGCCTTTGTTGCACGCTCACTTGGGATTTGCAAGAGGCACGCGATCTATAGAGCCTTCATGTCACTCCCTCGTGTGATGATCTTCTTGCCGTTCTGTGGGGCTCACGCACCTCAAAGGGGTCTCTATGACTCCTTAGACAGGACGGGTGCTAATTTGAACATTAACTAACAGGAGGGGCTGTTTAAGCTCCAGCCTCCCAGCTGCTGCCCTGCTCAGTCCCATCAGCCCTTCTGTGGCTACTGGAGCTTAGGCCCTCATGCATTTTTAACAGAAAACACAATTAGATCATGATCGACAGGCGCTCACAAGTGCCGTATTAATGGCCAAGGAGGCTATTACACACTTCCTTTGTCCGGGACCGTAATATACTGGGCTAGTTAGCCTGTGATGCATTAGGGCTGTTCCCCTGGCCCTCAGGCTCACACTCCCAGCTTCTTCCCTTCCTGCCGGCATTTTTGGAGAGGCCTGACGGTGACAAATTGCTTCTTGTTTCCATTCATCCCTCATTGACAGCCTGCCAATGGTAAATCTGGCTGTTCTGCTGATGTTTCAAGGACTGGCTTGGCGCTGGCATTTTATCACTGCTGGAAGCGCCCTCCTCTCTCTCTCTCTCTCTCTCACACACACACACACACACACACACACACTTTGCTAGCTGCAGTTCGCAGCAAAGGGCTGGTGTACTTTTCCCCTGGGCTGCCGAGAAGTCGTTTCGCGGAACCCGGGAAACCAGCATCAAGGGGACGGTATTTGCAGATGGTTAGCCATGCAGACGGCTGCCCCAAACCGGTGGCATGAGCTTCCAGAGGCAAAAGCCCTTTATGCTTCAGTCAATGCATAAAGAGCACAGGGAAGGGTGGTGTGGAATCTCTGCTGCGGTGCCTGGTGTCCTGTTCATATCCCCATGCCCACGTCGGGAGTGGGCATAGCTCACTGATGAGAGCATCTACCTTGCAACCAGAAGGTCTCAGGTTTAATCGCCGCTGGCATCTCCAAGTAGGGTTTAGAGAGATTCCTGCCTGAAATCCTGGAGAGCCACTGCTTCCAGTCAGTGTAGGCAGTACTGAGCAAGATGGAACAATGGTCTGACTAATCATACGGCAGCTTCTTCAGTGTTCCCGTCTGCACATTGTAGGAGTGGCCACTGAGACCATGTAACACTGGTCCTGAAAGACCTACACTGGCTCCCAGTACGTTTCCAGGCACAATTCAAAGTGTTGGTGCTGACCTTGAAAGCCCTAAACGGCCTTGGCCCAGTATACCTGAAGGAGCATCTCCACCCCAGGTCCAGTACCGAGGGCCTTCTGGTGTAGGGTTACCAGACGTCTCCGATTTCTGGGGACAGTCCCCGGATTTGCAAATCTGTCCCCGGACAAATTCCGTTCCCGTAATGTCCCCAGATTTGCAAATCTGTCCCCGGGAAACGTGACAGTGGCAGCCTCAGCAGCCTTGAGCCAGCCTGGTAGTACAATTGGCTCTGGCTGGCTTCAGGATCAGCTCGCTGCCATGGCATCCACCATTTTTCCTTTCCGGAAGTCCGCATATGATGTGTCTTGCTCCTGAAGCCAGTCAGAGCCAACTGCGCTACCAGGCTGGCTCCGGGCTGCTGAGGCTGCTGCTGCCAAAGGGGAACCAGGGACGTCCAGCAGTACAGATCTCCTGCCCCCTGCCCCCTTTGTTTTGACTGATTGGGGGAGGCTCAGGAGTTGCGGGTGGGCGGTGCGCTGTTGCCCAGTTTTTTAAAAACTCTGTGCATTTATGTTTCACAGGGTGCGAAAGAAGGGCTTTGCACGTTTATACGATATGCATGTATGCTTGGGCCCAGGGTCTTTTGCCTCACAATCCCCACTACTAACACGCTGTTTCTACTCCCCAGATTCATTGAAAAAGATCTGGTAACCATATTCTGGTGGTTCCCTCACTACGAGAAGTGAGGTTACAGGGAACCAGGCAGAGGGCCTTCTTGGTGGTGGCGCCCGCCCTGTGGAATGCCCTCCCATCAGATGTCAAGGAAATAAGCTGCTATCTGACTTTTAGAAGACATCTGAAGGCAGCCCTGTTTAGGGAAGCTTTTAATGTTTGATGCTGTATTGTGTTTTTAATATTCAGTTGGAAGCAGCCCAGAGTGTCTGGGGAAACCCAACCGGATGGGGCGGGGTATATATTATTATTATTATTATTATTATTATTATTATTATTATTATTATTGTCAAGTGAAGTCCTGTGTGAGAATGGAGGTGTCTCATTTGGAATAGGAACCCTCGATCGCCTCACTGTTGCTACTCAGTCCTGCGATAATGTCGCCGGAGGAGATACGGGGACAGCCCCAGCTCTGACCCTAATCCTGCCGAGATTCACCCTTCAGCCCCCTGAATGATTTGGCAATTGGCTTCCCTGCACCACCAGGGAGCCATCAGATCGTGCTCTGCGTAACCAGGCCTGGCTCTCTCCCTCCCGCCTTGGATCCCCTTGAGCCATTCGTCCCCCTTCATCTCCCTTTTTAGCAGCTGTTGACTGCCATGCAATTTGTCAGAGGCAATTTAGCATTCCAGAAGTGCCTCGTGAGCCTTCCCCCCCCCCCTGCATAAAGCTGCTACGGAGCAGTCATTATTATCCCCTTCCCCTGCCATTCCAGCCCTGCTTCTCCTGATTAAAATCATACCGTTCCACGTCACCCACAGATTTCCGAGGGTCAAGTGGGGACCGGAGGGGAAGGGGGAGGGAGAAGCAGGTGCATTTGAAGAAGGTTCCGTCCAGTCCTCTGTCATCAGCAGCGGAGGTAATTGGAAATAATTTTGGTCCGAAAAAAGGAAGTCTCAGCCATCAGTCTCTCCCCAGCTGACTGCTTGGCAAAGGCTGCTTGAAATCCTGAACCCTTCAAAATGGGAGACTTTCCAAGCAGTGGTGACATGGCATGAGAAACTCGGGCTTTCAGTATTTTGGTCCCTTTAATGGACAATTCATTATTATCTATAGTACAAGGCATGCTCTGACAATCCATTATTTCAGATATATGCTTAAGACTTAAAAATAAAACAAAACCCTCTTCTAGAAAGAACGTTTTAATTGTTGTCTGTTGACCATTTCATAGTGTTTACCTGTCATTTTAACTCTATTTACTTTGGCATATAATTTCTGCCTTGTGCTTCGTTTTTTTGTGAACGGCTCGGTGCTGTGGGCTAAACCACAGAGCCTAGGACTTGCCGATCAGAAGGTCGGTGGTTCGAATCCCCGTGACGATGGGGTGAGCTCCCGTTGCTCGGTCCCAGCTCCTGCCAACCTAGCAGTTCGAAAGCACGGCAAAGTGCAAGTAGATAAATAGGTACCACTCCGGCGGGAAGGTAAACGGCGTTTCCGTGCACTGCTCTGGTTCGCCAGAAGCGGCTTAGTCCTGCTGGCCACTTGACCTGGAAGCTGTACGCCGGCTCTCTCGGCCAATAAAGCAAGATGAGCGCCGCAACCCCAGAGTCGGCCACGACTGGACCTAATAATCAGGGGTCCCTTTACCTTTACCTAGTATACAGAATGGTCTGTAGATTTCATAAGACAAATAAATCAGAGGACCCGATGAAGCTCAACATCCCCCTTGAATACCTGGGGGAAGCATCCTCATTTTAGATGAACCAAGAGTCCACCCTGTATCCTCTCTTAATTTCAGGGAACAGCCTTTCATCATGACCCAATAAAATGGCATATACTCGGTTCTGCGGTGCTCATGTGAGATCTTGCATGGCTATCTGGGTTCCTGCAAGATCTCACCTGAGCATCCCAGAGGCTGGGTAACCCACCTTGCTTGGGTTCAACTTGCACAATTTCAACCAGCCTGCCTTCAACTGTGTATGGTTGAAATTTCGCAAGCTAAACATGCGTAAGATGTGATCGTACTGTACAGAATCATTTCCATTCCTTTCTGAGCAAGTAGTTCACCTGGTGTGCACCCATAGAAGAGTAGGGTGCAGATTTTCCAGTTCATAGAGTGGATATTTCAACCTGAAAAGCTTTGGGCTCTGTTTGTGGGATGCCCAAGGCAAAGAGGCAATATGATGGACACCACTGCCTAGTTGGCTTTTAGAAACATAGGATTGTAGGGTTGAAAGGGACACAAAGGGTAATCTAGTCGAACACCTGCAATGCTGGGTCCTTAATTTGAGAGGACAAGTGAGCAAGAAGCAAAACACAGATGGGAAGGACAAGGAGAGATCAATTCTGGGAAGAAGGTGAGGCTCAAACAGGATTGTAAGGAACAAAGGACTAAAGTTTCGTTTGAAGGGATACGCATTTACTAGTACCTAGGGCAAAGGGGTCAAACATTTCCCTCTGCACATTTCCCTTTATTTTATTTTAATAAAGTTTGAAAAGATATACAAAAGTTAATATCCAATATCTTTTTAGGACATTAAAGATAAAAGAATCTCAATAAAAACCCAAACCAAAAAGAGGAAAAGAGAAAGAAAAGGAGAACATTTATTTTTCTTTTTGTATAATCTCAGACCGTCACTGTGCCTTTTCCCATAAGGCTCCATGAGGTCTAGGAACTTACTATGTTCAGAATAATCGCCGAGAGCCTGGAGAGGAGTTCCGTTTCCCAAAACAAAGACTGTTCACGTGTAGTGGTATCGTGCAGTCACAAAAGATCCACGGGGCATGAATCATAAAACTGCCCACTGCCACGTTCACGTCTGATCTGGGCCAAGCCAAAAGGTCAAGGAGCCCTTCTGTTTCAACAAGCCATCCTCTCGATGGAAAGGCACAGGCCTCTCCTGCTAAATGAAGTTGTCTTCATCTATAAGGAAGAGAAGGAGCAGCACACAAGGATTCTCAAAGGCAGGTCCTTAACCACCAACCTGAAGAAAGCTTTTATCACTCATCCTGAGTGTCTCTAAGAATCAGCTGAAAAACTTATCATTCCTTCCTCTGGAGGAAATGGAAAAGGGAGACAAAGACTAGCTTTGCCAAAAGCCATCATTCTTCTACGTTAAAGAGGCTGCAGTAGTCCTGAAGTTATGATCCTGGGGCAAACGCCATCTGAATTATAGGCAGAGCTGTGTGCATCAAACAACATTCTGAAGTGCAAGGAAAGGAAGGGAGCAAGGAAATTCTGCAGCCTGAATGTGTGGGGTTTTTGTTTTTTAAATTTGCATAGCTTATTCTTCTATTTTGCATAATTTATTTGGCCTTGGCAAGGGGCAGAGAGCTCTGTGTGACCCTGAAGCTGCACGTGCATCCCAGCCACTAGAAGTCTCCTCCTCCTACCTCTTTGATCTCTGAGAAAAGAAAGTATTGGCCACTCACTTTCAAGCTCATCTTCATAGCCATAAGGACTAGAAACTTGAATGTCATTTTAAAATCTTTTTGTAAACCACTTTGGGAGGCTGTGTGCCTGAAAGGCACTACAAATCCTAGAAAGAAAACCAAAAGCTTAGTCTTGAGGATCCCAATTCTCCTTAATTCCCTCTCAGCAATAAGAACTTTAAAAAAAATCTGGACTTTGCAAGACTCCTTCTGCCATTTTCTAATTCCACCACAGTGGATTCAGTGCCAGGCTTAGGCTACCCTTGTTCCTGAAAATACCTATCCATTATCCTTAACACAGGATGACAGCCAGCCAGGATATGTCCCCATTGCCCGTCAAATAGCGCAAGGCAACAGGTACTCCCAAAGCAGTAACAATACAGTTTTGTTTGGATATAATCTCTTCTGAAAGATTACCTCTAAATTGGAAGATTATGGGTCATAATCACATAAGGCTATTTGTTCTAGTTAGCTAGAGATGCCACACTGACAAGCAACAGGATGCGCCAGTGAGACGGTGCTGCAAATGAGTGCTGTGCCCTGCAATTCCCAATGCTTAGGTTGCCCAAGGAATAGGCACACCAAGAATTCGCTGAGATCTCTTTCCCCATTTTCGTTGAGCAGAAGTTCAGCACTCAGCAACCTGATCCAAAACATCCTTCATTGTTTGCTGGGGGTGAGAGCCTGATTTCTGGACCAGCTCGAAAGCAACCTTTCACCCGTGAGACTGTGTAGTCAGTCCAGTGAATGAAGCACTGGGCTTAGAAAAATTGAGTCCAAAAGTACCCTTCCTCATTAAGCCCTCGTGCAAAGTATTGCAAACGAAGCTGAGTGTTCTCTGCACCAAGCCCTCCTCCTAATTCCGCACAAAGGGATGCTAATTCTGCAGTTTGAATAAATTATGCAGATGTGCATGGTCCTTTGCCTAGTGCATTCTGCTTCTGCTGGCTATTAAAGATGAGCGAGGAGCTGCAGGAAGCAATTCGGGGGGGGGGGCAATCAGTCTGCCTCTCCCCCCTCTGGCTTCCCAGTTTTTACCAGGCATTGTCCATATTTTCTGGTGCTCTGGTCCATGGGGTCACAAAGAGTCAGACACGACTAAACGACAAGTCCATATTTTCAAACTTTTCCAATTCAAATTGGAAGTGGAGATTCTTTGATAGCTAGTGTTACAATCCATATTTGGCGGAAGTGAAAGGGAAAATTCCCACGGAATATGGTGGTTCTGAGTGGCACTGTTCGTAGGGTTCTCCCCACACCCCCTCGGAAAAAAAGAAATGACAAAACATGTTCCAAAGAGCACTTTCTGGGAGAGCAGGGAAGGGTCGTGCAGAGGGGCAAGCCATGTTTGTGTACGTGTGTTGCCTTCATTCCCTTCTTGTAAGCTATCCTGGAGCATTTGGGCAGCTAGTACAAGAGACACAATGCTACTCCTTGTAGCTGTTTACTACGCCCTCAGAGAGGTTGTGATCTACATCAGTCGGTCATGGAACAGTTTTTCTCCCTCTCTTGTAACACTAGAGCTCATGGGCATCTAACATGGTCTCCCAGCAAGTCTCTGAGCACAATTCAAGGTGTTGACCTTTAGAGCCCTAAATGACCTCGGCCCAGTAGACCTGAAGGAGCGTCTCCACCCCCGTCGTTCTGCCCGGACGCTGAGGTCCAGCGCCGAGGGCCTTCTGGTGGTTTCCTCGCTGCGAGAAGCCAAGTTACAGGGAAGCAGGCACAGGGCCTTCTCGGTGGTGGCCCCTGCCCTGTGGAACGCCCTCCCACCAGATGTCAAAGAGAAAAACAACTATCAGACTTTTAGAAGACATCTGAAGGCAGCCCTGTTTAGGGAAGCTTTTAATGTTTGATGGAGTACTGTATTTTAATATTCAGTTGGAAGCCGCCCAGAGTGGCTGGAGAAACCCAGCCAGATGGGCGGGGTATAAATAAATTATTATTATTATTATTATTATTATTATTATTATTATATGTCTGGATTGCTTTGAATGGGAAAACTTTGATTTGGTTTTAAATCTTAAAACGTTGATGGTTTTATTGTGTATATTTGATGCTTTAACTATATATGTGTGCAAACCTCCCTGGGATATATCGCCTTGAAGGGAAGTTTGGAAATCATAGGAGACGGCCGTTTTGTAAGGGTGAGTTGGACCCCTAAAGCTCTGGGAGGAGGATGTTGTAGTCCTTGAGTCTAAGTCCCTATGAAATAAAAGCATCCAGTGCTATAACCTCTCTTTCCCCATCATCCCACAATTCTGTTGCATAGCTATTTTGACTGCCTGAGATAAAAGGGTCAGAGAGGGCCTGGTAAAATTGTTTTCTCAGGACACCATGTCCTGGCTTCATTAGGCCTGTCAGCAGATTCAGGATTGCAAAAAACAGAATAAGTGCGTCCTCAGAGTTCAGCAACGCAGTTGAAAATATGGTCCAGAGCTGACCACCTCTCCCCTCTGAGGGAGGAAGCAATGAACCAGTGAAGCCCCTGGAAAAAGATGGGATGACTCACAGCCGGCCTCAGACTGACTGTGCCCCACTTGAAAGTTCCTCTCATCTCTGTCAATGACACAATCAAGGAGATCTAGCAGGAAGGGACCACTCTTCTGAACGAGGCCGGGAAAGTGCCAGCAGAAGTTCCTTGGGGAGGACCAATCACGAAATGTTAAGAGAGAGTCCGTAGTGGAGCAGTGGTTAGAGTGTCGTACTAGTCAGACAAGCAGGATTCCAGCAGAACTGGCAGTGCAGTGGGGACCAGACACTTGAGTTTGCGTAAACTTATAATCTCTCAATTGGGACGCGGGTGGCGCTGTGGATTAAACCACAGAGCCTAGGACTTGCCGATCAGAAGGTCGGCGGTTTGAATCCCCGCGACGGGGTGAGCTCCCGTTGTTCAGTCCCTGCTCCTGCCAACCTAGCAGTTCGAAAGCACGTCAAAGTGCAAGTAGATAAATAGGTACCGCTCCGGCGGGAAGGTAAACGGCGTTTCCATGCGCTGCTCTGGTTCACCAGAAGCGGCTTAGTCATGCTAGCCACATGACCCGGAAGCTGTATGCCGGCTCCCTCGGCCAGTAAAGCAAGATGAGCGCCGCAACCCCAGAGTCGGTCATGACTGGACCTAATGGTCAGGTGTCCCTTTACCTTTACTATAATCTCTCAACATTTAGGACCTGGGAGACCAGGGTTCAGATCCCCACTCAGCCATGAAGCTCACGGGGTGACCTTGGGCCAGTGCAGTTGACTGGCTTCCTGCGGAGCATTCGGAAGCTTCCACATTAATGCCTTGCGCCACACTCCCAGGCGGTCTGCTAAAGCTCCCAGCCCTTCCCTGATAACTTGCAACTTCATTGTTTCTCATCTGGGCCTTTTACTGATGAGGGTGAGTCAGCTTCCTAGTATGGGGTTACTGTGTTATTGGTGGTTTAAATATTTCAGCAGATGCATTGGGAAGTCATGAATAGAAAATGAGGGTCCTTATTCAAAACCATCTCGGTGCTGCCACAGTTCAATGACGGCTGCAGGTCCAGAGGCCAAAGGAAATGCAACGCACTCTCCCCCTTCCACAAGAATCCCTCGCAGCATTGCAGGAGATGTTGGGTGGCTAGAGGCTGCAGCTGTCAGATTGCATGCAAGCAGTGATGATGGGAGTTGTAGTCCAAAGCATCTGGAGGGCACCAGGTTGGGGAAGGCTGGCGTAGCCACTGCTTCTCTGCAAAACAGCCATGGGAAGGTGCTTCCGGAAAACAGTAGATCTATTCCTACTTCACATGCTCCAAGATTAAGCCAAGATGTGGAAAACATAGGCAGTGGCTTAGCCTCGCTGCAGATTAAGCCCTGAACCCATCACCAAAGACAAACCATTATCTCTCCATTGCTGTCCCACCCCTTTCATGTGGGGACCTACCTCACAGAGCTGTTGCATGGATTGCGGAGATATTGTACATAAATCACTTTGCAAATGGCACCATATATTTTCTAAGGATTATTATAGAATCATAGAGTTGGAAGGGACTCTGAGGGTCATCTAGTCCAACCCCTGCATTTCAGGAATCTCATCTAAAGCACCCATGACAGATAACTATCCAACCTCTGCTTAAAAACCTCCAAGGAATGAGAGTCCACAACCTCCCGAGGGAGACCGTTCCACAGTTCTTGCCATCAGAAAGTTTTTTCAAACAGTTCTTGCCATCAGAAAGTTTTTTCATATGTTTAGTCAAGACAATAAAGATTTATTGTATATCGTAGTCGGAATCTTCTTTCTTGTAACTTGAAGCCATTGGTTTGAGTCCCACCCTCCAGAGAAGGAGAAAACAAGCTTGCTCCATCCTCCATGTGACAGTCCTTAAGATATTTGAAGAGGGCTATAATATCCAGGCTAAATATGCCCAGCTTCTTCAACCGTTCCTCATAAGACTTGATCATCCAGACCCTTGATCATCTTGGTCACCCTCCTCTGTACACCTTCCAGCTTGTCAACATCCTTCTTAAACTGTGGTGCCCAAAATTGGACATGGTATTCCAGGTGTGGTCTGACACTGCACACACACCTAATACACACCACGCTGTGGGTTAAACCACAAAGCCTAGGACTTGGGCCCAGAAGGTTGGCGGTTCGAATCCCTGCGACGGGGTGAGCTCCCGTTGCTCGGTCCCTGCTCCTGCCAACCTAGCAGTTCGAAAGCACGTCAAAGTGCAAATAGATTAATAGGTACCGCTCCGGCAGGAAGGTAAACGGTGTTTCCATGTGCTGCTCTGGTTCGCCAGAAGCAGCTTAGTCCTGCTGGCCACATGACCCGGAAGCTGTACGCCGGCTCCCTCAGCCAATAAAGCAAGATGAGCGCCGCAACCCCAGAGTCGGTCACGACTGGACCTAATGGTCAGGGGTCCCTTTACCTTTAATACAGTGGTACCTCAGGATGCGAACAGGATCCGTTCCGGAGCCCCATTCACATTCTGAACATAACGTAAGACGCGTCTGTGCGTGCACGGGTCACGTTTCGCTGCTTCCGCGCATGCGCGTGACGTCATTTTGACCGTCTGTGTATGCACGAGCGGTGAAACCCGGAAGTAACATGCTCTGTTACTTCCGGGTCGCCACGGAGCGCAACCCAAACGCGCTCAACCTGAAGCATATTTATCCCGAGGTATGACTGTACACAACAACTCATAAAAATTGGAGACTGCTTGTGGTTGTGGAGGAAGAAGTGGCACCCTTCTCATGCTTAGTGGCGCTCTTACCTTTATATTATCAGGTAACCCTTCTTAGCAAGCCCTGCAACCACCTAGCAAGCAAGCAAGCAAGGAATACCCACCTCTCTAGCTGGTTTGAGAAGGAAATTGCTTGCCAAATGACGGATGTGGAGCAGGATGAATGCTAGAGAGGCCTCAGAGGACCTCAAATGAAGATTGTCAACTCCATTCCTTTAACAAGTTTTATCTAGCCTCCAGGAATCCTCAGAAAACAGCCGTACCTCAGTGGAGAGCATCTTCTTTGCATCTGAAGGTCCCAGGTTCAGAGAGACCTCTGCCTGAAACCAATGGCTTAACTCATAGGCCCATAATACCTGGGACCAGGTGGTCCTAGTCAAAGGACTTCTTGCCCTCGTCTCTACCAGGATGAATCACAGACTTACAGGGAGGGTTTATGCATCCTGCAGAGTGCTTGCCATGGACTTCCACTGCTATCAGACTCATCTGCTTCCTTCAGTCTTTCTCTGCTTCGAAACTTCTGCCTCTCCGTAGGTTTCCAAGGAACTCCGCTGAGCCGACTGGCCAAATCTATTTGAAGGGTGAACTTGAAAGCACCCATTAATCAGTGGCTGTGCCTTCTTGCCAAGACCCACTGAGATAATTGAGTATTAATTGGTGGCAAGGCTTTGCCCAGGAAGCTTCTCACTAAGAGCCTGGGGCCTTCAGCACACAAGATGCAGTTTCCACCGCTGAGCTGAGAGACCTCCACTTTGGGCAGCAAAGCGACTTGTGTCAGCTCTGCTTACCATTCCTTCTCATACCCTACGTCTGTTTTCTTCTTTAAATGGATTGTGTGGCAGGTTAATCATGGGGGAAGCTCTTACACAGAGAGGGCTGCCTTCTCATCCCTTCAGGCCTTGGAGTCAGTGTAAAAAAAACTACCCACCACTCTGTAAGATGCCAGGGTCGCTTCTAGGATGAACTGTTTACTGAATATTCCAGCTGATTTGTTTGCAGAAGTTTGCAAGGAGGTGATAGAGGTGGCTGTTTATTGGATGTTTGTTCTGACTTGTTGGTGGGGAGGAAAATTATTATTATTATTATTATTATTATTATTATTATTATTATTATAAATTTTATTTATATCCTGCCCTCCCCAGCCGAAGCCGGGCTCAGGGTGGCTAACAACAATAAAATAGTACAACATTCTAAAATCATTTCATTATAAAATTAATTCAACTCAAATTGATGGCAACCATTAGGCTAAAGTTCTGTGAAGATTGCCAAGGCCTGGTGGAACAGCTCTGTCTTGCAGGCCCTGCGGAAAGATGTCAAATCCCGCAGGGCCCTAGTCTCTTGTGACAGAGCGTTCCACCAGATTGGAGCCACAGCCGAAAAAGCCCTGGCTCTAGTTGAGGCCAGCCTAACGTCTCTGTGGCCTGGGACCTTCAGGATGTTTTTATTTGAAGACCGTAAGTTTCTCTGTGGGACATACCAGGAGAGGCGGTCCCGTAGGTACGAGGGTCCTAGGCCATATAGGGCTTTGCAGGTGCTGTGCCAAGCAATTGTCAGCCCACACTTCCCAATCCGTTTCCCCCCTCACTTTCCTTCTTGCAAGACGTCTGGTTTTTCTTTCCTTACTTTGTATCTTTATATACTGATTAATATTAAGGCAATTGCTGAGCAGCTTACAAAATAACAAATATCGCACAGAGAGAGAGAGGCAGCATATAAAAAACAATAAAATCCGCCCACCTGCACAACAAAGCAAAAATACAGCAGCACGATTTTGAAGTGGGTTCATTTCCCCTGAGTGCCAACACCACTTTAACTGCCCGATCTGAATGTGCTGGTATGCAACTGAATCTCACCTGTGAAACCGTGACAGTCTGAAAGTGGCCAAGCGCAGCCTTCGCCAACTTGCATGTTTCAGGCTGCCTTTCCCATCAGCCCCAAAGCTGGCATGCTTGGCTGGTGAATGCTGTCTGAGAGCATTCGCAACTGCAGGAAACTGCTTTCTGCCCACTTGGGAAGAAAGGGAACAGAATTGCCACACTTTGTACAGAAAGAGCAGCCAAGACACACAAGCCTCCTTACACTGAGTCAAACCAGGGTTCCATATCCCCTGGCAGAAGAAGAGTTTGGATTTGATATCCCGCTTTATCACGACCCGAAGGAGTCTCAAAGCGGCTAACATTCTCCTTTCCCTTCCTCCCGCACAACAAACACTCTGTGAGGTGAGTGAGGCTGAGAGACTTCAGAGAAGTGTGACTGGCCCAAGGTCACCCAGCAGCTGCATGTGGAGGAGTGGAGACACGAACCCGGTTCCGCAGATTACAAGTCTACCGCTCTTAACCACTACACCACACTGGCAGTGCCTACTCCGACTAGTGGCAGTTCCCAAAGGGCCTCTATTATTATTATTATTATTATTATTATTATTATTATTATCATTATTATTATTATTACACTTATTAAATTTGTAGATCACAGTGCAGTTCACAGCATTAAAATACAAAATGAGGACACAAAAGACATGACAAAAAACAAACCTGTAACCTTCTCCAACAAACATTTATTATTATTATTATTATTAGTAGTAGTAGTAGTAGTAATAAATTATTTATATCCCGCCCTCCCCAGCCAAAGCTGGGCTCAGCATTCTAAAATCAATTCATTATAAAATCAGTTCAATAGTATTAGTATTATTATTATTATTATTATTATTATTATTATTATTTCCCAAGCCTCTCTGCTGCTCCCTGAAATTCTTGAACTAAAATGACTGCAGATGAAATCTGGGTCCTTCTAGATAATGTACAAAGCATGCGCTCCAAAGCGCTCTTCTGCACACCTCCTCCTGTGACATTCCATGTGCTCTTTTAGCACATAGGTGTTCAGAATCAGGGGTGGGGAATCTTTGTATAGCTGCAGCTCATCTCTTCTCCCTTTTCTTAAGGCGGCAGCTAGCTCGTTCTTCTCCCATAAGTCTCTTTGCTCCCTGATCCTCTACCAGCTCCTGGCACCAGCTCCCAAGCTTGGCACTGCTGCCCGGGCTGAACATTGGCCAAGAGAGCAACTCATCATGAGTCAGACAAGCACGCCTGCCTGCGAGCGCCTGATCTGACCGTTTCTGACAAAGTGCACCACCGGCGTCAGTGAAGCATTTCCATGAAAGGAAAACAACAAACAGGCAGACAGGCAGGCAGGCAGGCAGACAGGCAGGCAAACCCCAAAGTGCTAAATATAGACTTTGAAGCAGGCTCTTGACCTGTCTGTCCCCTCACCTATGACTCCCACTGTGCACTGAGCAAATCAGAGAACTGTAGAGTTGGAAGGTACCCCCCAGGGTCATCTAGTCCAACCCCCTGCAATGCAGGAATCTCAGCTAAAGTATCCAAGACAGATGGCCATCCAACCTCTGCTTAGAATTCTTCAAGAAAGAGCCCACAACCTCCCAAGGGAGGTGGTTCCACTGTCAAACAGCTCATGCTGTCAGAAAGTTTTCCCTGGTGTTTAGTCGGAATCTCCTTTCTCGTAACTTGAAGTCATGGGTTCAAGTCCTACCTTCCATGGGGTCTAGGAGGAACAGAGGGCCGTGTGCCATGGACAGCAAGTGCGGGGGGCAACAAGCAAAAGAGCTTTGGAGGTGGAAGAACTGTGACAGAAGGAGAGAGAACCAAGAGAGGCAAAGAAGACAAAGAGGTATAGGACAGAGAGTGTCCTCTCTCTCTCTCTCTCTCTCTCTCTCTCTCTCTCTCTCTCTCTGTGTGTGTGTGCATGCCTGCATGCCTGCAATTCACACATTGATCACCAGTAAGCATTCATAATACAGTGGTACCTCGGGTTAAGAACTTAATTCGTTCCAGAGGTCCATTCTTAACCTGAAACTGTTCTTAACCTGAAGCACCACTTTAGCTAACGGGGCCTCCCGCTGCCGCCGTGCCGCCAGAGCACAATTTGTGTTCTCATCCTGAAGCAATGTTCTTAACCCGAAGCACTATTTCTGGGTTAACGGAGTCTGTAACCTGAAGCATATGAAACCCGAGGTACCACTGTATTTCTGGGTTAGCAGAGTCTGTAACCTGAAGCGTTTGTAACCCGAGGTACCACTGTACTGGATTGCAGCTCTCAAGTTCTTAATAACTTCTTAGTTCAAACTGTTCCACTCCCCTTTTCTGAGGTTTCAGTGCCAGCGCTGGTCAATAAGCAACCAATCACATGGAATGTGGAAGGAACATTTCGGACTGAAGCCCTGGGGCAGATGACACAGTAGGGGACCAGTTAAAAAGCAGATTGCACGATGGGTGTTTAACTACGTTTATTAGGCATGTGGGGGTGGGGTTATTATTGTTATCACGTTATTTATTTTGTGTTTTTATGCTGTAAGCAGTCCTATTATCTTTGGCTGAAGGGCAGTATATAAATGTCATACAACAACTATAATGGCAGTACCATTTAATGTGCGCTTAGGTCTCTGAGCCACGAGAGATTTCAGGGGTTCCTGCAGATACCTTTTGAATGAAGTCACGGAAGACTTAAAGCATTCTGTGATATATTTATTTATACATATCCATTGGTTGCACATAGGTGGAAATTCGCGGCATTAATGGCACATCAGATTTCTAAGAGGGCCCTTGGGTAGCGGTGTACACAACCTAACACCACAATCCATAGCTATCCAGTCATTATTATTTTTTTAGAAAAAGCTGGCTTTTGGTGTGCTTCCCAAAAACCTAGCATTGATCCAAACTGAGGGAAAGAATGACCTAGCTGCGTTTTAAGCCTCAGCGCAGATCCACCCCCAAAAGTCCTGGGAATTGTAGTTCCCACCTCACAGTACTATAATTCCCAACTGCCTTAACAAGATACAGCCGCTGGGATTCTCTGGGAGAAGTTATGTCCTTTAAATGTGTATTGGCCCAAAAATGGAAGCAAGAAGAATTACCGACGATTGAAGAATGGAGAATGAAGTTAACGGACAATGCAGAACTAGATAAACTAACAGGAAGGATTCGAAACCGGCGGGACCAGAAATTCACGGAAGACTGGAGTAAATTTACGGACTACTTGAAAAGTATTTGTGAAGATCAGACGTTTGTAGGTTTGCAAGAACTTTTGTGAGGAGTATTATTGGAAGTATTGCAAAAATGGAGAAGGGGAAGGATGATTTGTTAGGAGATGTAAAAGCAATATAAAGTTAAGAAATGCATAAGAAGTGGTTAAAACGGTGGATCATCAGAGGTGCTGATGGAAGTCTAAAAAGATTGTATAAGTGATAAGTTTTGTGGTACATTTTATAATTTATATGTTAAAACCAATAAAACAGATTTAAAAATAAAAATAAATGTGCATTGGGTGTGCCTTAAATGTCTGGGGTGGGTCTGCTGCCATTCTGCACATTGCACAGAAGGTCCGTCCCCTTCCCCAAAGTCCCTGGCCAGGGACTGACCACAGGTGGCTCCAGTCTTCAGTCTTCTCTGGCCTCATCACGGCTGAATGTAAACAGGGTCTGGCTGGAAATTATTGCCCCAGTTGCTTCCAGGACAGGGCTGGGAGCATCCGCCCCTCCCTTATCACTGTATAAACTGTCAAGCAAACAGTGAACAATATACAGAGCAGCTGGAAGCGTGGGAGGAAGGCTAAACGAAGTAGATAAGTATTTAGGAATTTGGGAGAGAAGTCAGCAGAGGCTGGGTGTGGAGGAGGGAGGGAGAAAGTACACTTAAGAGAACATCAACGAGGTGGAAAAACATTATTTGGAACATGTGTTCCTTGAGTTGAGTCTGGGACAAGAAGAAATAGAACTTTTAGTGTCATTGGCCTGGTCCTGTGGAACTCTCTGTCACTAGAGAAACAGGACTGCAATATGTTGGGATACTGTCGGGGAGATGGGGGCATCAGGCAGGCCCCCAGCTGGCTCCGGACGATCACCGGTCTCCCGTGGAACAGCATCAGTCAGTCAGCGACATGAGCCTCAGATACGATTAGAAACCCATGCACACTAATTAGCAGAGTGGATAAATCTCCACAGTGAAAGTGGTGGACAGAGGCAGATGTAAGCATTATGTACAAGCGTTTTATTCAGCATAGCTCAGGAACAAAGGAAAACATGTCTGCTTGCCTTCGTGTCCAGCAAAACAGCAGTAACACAAAAGCTATCGGTATATACAAAGAGAAGTTCCCAGCGAGAGCTGGAAGTAAACAGGCATGTGACACACAATAGTCATGCCTGTACCCTTTTAAGGTGGGAAGGAACTATATCCTAACACAATATCCAAAAGGACCACCTCTCTCCATATGAACCTACCTGGACCATCATCTGAGGCCTTTCTTCATGTGCCTCCTCCACGCGAGGTCCAGAGGGAGCAACACGAGAGTGGGCCTTTTCTGCAGTGGCTCCCCATTTGTGTGATGCGCCCCCCAGGAAGGATCACCTGTTACCTTCATTATACACTTTTGGGCACCAGGGGAAAATGTTCCTCTTCTGCCAAGCCTTTGGCTGATAAACACCCAATACACTTTAAAATGTGGCGTGGGTGGGGGGTTATTAGTTTGTTTTTTCTTCCTGTTTTCATTACGTATTTTGTGTTCTTACCTGTGCATCTCTTCCTTGCTGCCAGACCACCACCCCTTTTGGTAGCCCCAGAAAGACCTGACCCAGCCCAGATTGACCAGGGGCTGCCTCAGCTTGACCCAGCTACATCCCAGGCTGACCCGAATTCATCCAGATGGATTTTGGTACACAACGCTACTGCAAACCTTGAGGTTTCCCTCTCACTTTATGCTCTGGGGTGCCGATTTGGCTTCACAAACATCAGCACTCACAGGCTGAACATCGGTTATAGAGTGGATGCTTCAAGCTAGCAGGTCGAGCAGCTGGGGCAACCTAGTCAGATGGGCAGGGTAAAGGTAAAGGACCCCTGACAGTTAAGTCCAGTCGTGGGTGACTCTGGGGTTGCAGCGCTCATCTCGCATTACTGGCCGAGGGAGCCGACTTTTGTCTGCAGACAGT